GTTCATCTTTCGACGTCTCATCGATAAACAACAGTTGATCTGGTGTATACTGTGCCATCTGTCGCTTGAAGTCTGCATGGACGTCTTCATTGTGCTCCTTCGCAATCTTGTGGAGTTTTTTGAGTGAGATGCCAGCTCGGGTGAGCTCTCGGTGAATTGTAGAATAATGGACAGAGATGTAGTGATTGTGTTGCATAAGTGTTGTCAGCTCATCAAGAAACCAATCAGGATGGTGATGAATAAATTCTAGAAGGTAATGGAGGTCTTCGAGATTGAAAACATGCGGACGACCAGCATATCAGCTCCTTGGCTTGACAACGTTGCCAGTCACATTGTAGAGCTTCTTGATTCTATAGAACATCATGCGGGAGAAGCCAATGCAGTTGTGGATCTCGTCGAGTCTAAGAATTCCTTGTTTATGCAGGCGAATAGCTGCCAGCTTCAAATCAGCCAATATCTTCCTGTTGCCCATGGTATTGACGATTGTGGTATGCAAGTCTCGTAAAATTTACGCTAAGTCTTTTTTTGGTCTATGTTATCATCTGTTTTACATCGAGGCACCAGTACCATTACATATGCAAATGGCTGTAAGTAATGCAGTTTTAAAGAATGATGTCAAGAACACACCAAACTTGTGTCAGGGCAAGTATTGGATTGTGCTCCTCTCTTCCAGAAGAAGATGACCTAGCAATAGAAGAATGTCAATGTCAGATCAGGGTTAGATCATTATCAGTTATTACGGAAATGACGATACCTCTTGAGAGAACATGGAATCATGATCATACACCACAAGAGTGAATGATGCCAGAGCCAATTGCCTAGCGGCAATGCTTGCTGACTGCACCTGTGCAGACATATCAAATACCTTTAAGTGCCTAGAGCTCGAAGTAGGGAAACAGGGTGTGGAGAAGAAGTTAGTACCCACCTTTCTGCCCACAACATTGAGTTGATGTATAATTCTCTAAGAATGTGGGCCCGGGCAAGCAATTGCGTGTTCTTCATGGTGTGTGACGGCTAGCAAGGGAAAATAAGGCACATACAGTGGCTCAAAAAACTGTCCGCATGTTTTCACATTTTTCACTATCTATGATATTGTGTGAGAATATACAAACACCTCAAGGACATGCTGGTACCATATTGTAGCACCACTTCAGGGCTTTCAATTGAGCACTATGGCGTGGGAATTGGTCAAGATATGGTTGAGATATGAGGCTTCCAAAATGATGACTCATGCGGACAGTTTTTTGACTCAAGTATTTTACAGTGATAATCAGGTATTCTAGTACTTTGTGTGACCTCCCTTGGCTTTAATTACTGCCTCTATCCTTCTAGGCATACTCTTAAAACTATATCTAACTATATAAACCAGAATGTTTCATGTGTCATGATCATAATCACCATTAAAGCCATCTCCTCTGCTCAAAGGGATAATATCCTCTCTTTGTCCTATTCTGGCCTCTCTGCTCATCAAATTTCCTCTAGAACTGGAGTATGCAAGTCTACTGTGGCCAAGTTTATCAAAGAAAGCCACCTGGACATGGAAAACTCTTGTGGAGGATGTCCACCTCTACTAATAAGAGGGTTAACATTCAACATATCACTGCAGGAAAGGCTGATAATGCTGTCCAAGCCACCCATTATATCAATTCCACCATCACCACCACTGTCTCTTCACAAACTGTGAGGGATGTTCTCAAGGCAGTTCATCTCAAGGCAGTAACAAAGAAGAAATGCCTCTTCTCTCTATCAAACATAGGCAGAGAAGACTACCTTTGGCTTGGCCCATCAAAACTGAACTGTAGAGCACTGGAAGCATGTTATATGGTCAGATGAGACCAAAATCGATAGGATTGGGTCAGATGGGAAGGTATATGTATGGAAAAAGAAGGGAGATTCTCTAACAGACAGAGAGGTTGGTGAGACTGTCAAATTTGGAGGAGGTTCTCTAATGGTACAGGGCTGTATTGGATGGAATGGTGTGGGTATGCTTGCTGAAGTTGAGGGGAGGATGGATGCTGAGCAGTATGTGGACATTCTAAATGACCACTTGCTGCCTAGCATAGCTGAATCAGGGATTGATGAAGAAGACATCATTTTCCAACAGGCTAATGATCCCAAGCACACATCTAGGAGAGCCAGAAAATGGTTTGAAGAACATGATATCAATGTTCTTGACTGACCAGAACAGTCCCCTGATGTCAATGTCATTGAACATCTCTGGGGAACACTCAAGAAGAAGCTTCAAGCCTCTGAAACCCCCCTAAAGGAGTATGGGAGCTATGGGAGAGAGTAGCAGTGGAATGGGGAAGGATTGCAACAGAACATTGCCAGAAATTGATTGAGAGTATGCCTAGAAGGATAGAGGCAGTAATTAAAGCCAAGGGAGGTCACACAAAGTACTAGAATACCTGATTATCACTGTAAAATACTTGAGTCAAAAAACTGTCCGCATGAGTCATCATTTTGGAAGCCTCATATCTCAACCATATCTTGACCAATTCCCACGCCATAGTGCTCAATTGAAAGCCCTGAAGTGGTGCTACAATATGGTACCAGCATGTCCTTGAGGTGTTTGTATATTCTCACACAATATCATAGATAGTGAAAAATGTGAAAACATGCGGACAGTTTTTTGAGCCACTGTATACCATAATGGAAAGTGGCTATGCCATGGAACATCCTATAGGTGTAGCTCTATCTGTTTGCAATAATTGTCCGACAAAAAAAGTAAAAACAATACTAGTTACCTAGGCCTCCGTACTTCGTGACACGCACATTGACGTCAAGTGATGGATAAGTATTGCAATGTGATTGACCGATCAAAATGTCATACCAGTATGAAACTTCAACAAGAACAGATAGATAACGGGTCCGGGGATGCCCAGAGGGCTGTTCTATACATTATACTGGATGTTTCCACTAGTAAGTTGTGCCCGGGTAGAATCGGCCCGTCATCGGGATTTCCCGACTTTCGTCCGATGACTCCGAACCAATCTTACTTCAAATCTTGTTCTGCAGACTAGACTTTGACGGTTCATGAGTATGTTGTACGGTATGAATTCAATTGAACACTCCTGCATCCTGAGTTATCAAGATCATCGTGTTTACTGGTACTTTCGACCATACTAAAGGCATACGACGATGGAAAGAAAAAGCCAAACCACCTAGGTTGGCTCTTGGTAACTTAATAGTAAGTATTGCGTCTCATGCAGTTGAACTTGAGTTACTAGCCTTTCAACCACCAGCTCAACTCCAACTTGAAGCCTTTCGCTACACTATGTCAGCTGCCATAAGTACTCGGCCTATGTAGGCCAATTGCTATCTAGGGTGTTCGAGTTCGAGGAAATAGACTTTGCTCAGATGACGAGGTGATTTCGAGGTCGAAGTAGAAGTTATCGATATTAATATGTAGGTCCTGGAATCAAATGTGGGCAGTGGGATGATACACGGGACATCGGACGAGGGAATCGGGAATGTCCTACAGTCAAAATGGCTCCGTGAGTCACAGTTATGATGCGGCATCGTAGTCGAGTTCTTTGACCGACCTTTGAAGCTTCCTAATTTAAATCCTATGGAACGCCCAGCAGCTGGTGAGGTGTATCATTCCTGTGGCATCGAACTAATGCTGACATGTTCGTATAGTCGTCTATTGTCCGCAAATTGTCACTTAACAATGTCCTGTCACGGTGGTCAATGAGGTCCTAAGTTGATCGTTGTCATTCGCTTCAACAACTTACTTAAGACGCCACCACAGTTCTGACCACCGCACGATTAATCCACAGGCCCTCACAAGTAGTGATTAATACTACCCGTGGCATTGTTCACCGACGCCGCGATGACGCTGTGGATGTTTGAAGACAACCACAAAATGGTACATCCACAGCTCTAAACTACTTAAAAGGACGCAGTTCTACAAGTTAGCCATTAAGTTCGTTCAAGAGTGAACAGAAACAAAACCTCACTCCCCTTTATCATCAGACTTATATTCAAGATGATGTTGCCTGACGGTCGCCTTCGTCTCAGCCGCAATGTCACACTCAGGCTTCTTACTGCATCCTCTCCGAGACCATCAGACGGTTCGCATACCTGCAAAGTTACCCAGGAACCATCTCACCAAGATGCGACCCGGCTCACGAATGTCATTCCCCCAAAAACGGCGACGCCTTGATGAGCGCCAGCAGCCCTCCGTCCCAAATCTCCCCCGAGTAGACACCCCCGGCATCGCCCCTCTGCTCATGAGGAATCCCTGAAAAGAAGCCACAGGCCTCCTCTGTGGAGAGCAGTGATGATTCAGAGGAGAGTGACTCTGACGATAGTGATGAGTCGGAGGATGCCGAGTCGGACGCCATGGTTATAGAACCTACAGAAGTCCAAGAGCAGTCTGACTGGGACATGTCTCCAGCCAACTCTCCTCGCACTACCACTCCGCACGCATGTCTTGACGTCAAGGGCGTCCACCCCACCTGTATGTCTAGATGACGGTTAGTATTTTATGCATTTTTCAACGGTTGGGAGCTGACTCGACATCATAGAAATGTTTGCTGTGTCTATGTAGAAGGTTCAGAAAGGGCAGTCTCAAAGACAATCGTAATGAAGACTCTGGGTCTTGGGAGGAGCTGAGTGTGTGAGCTACTAATAGGATGTGTCGAGTCATTGAATTGGATATATCGTTTCGAACAAAGCTGCATGGTCACATCTGTTTTAAACGCGATGGTATGTGCATACGTTGCAGCCACGTGAACTCTGTTCTTCCCTGTCCAAGACTTAATTACAAATGGTTGCTTGATCTTGATCCGTCCTTGGTAGGATTCTGTACGACGATTAACATTATCTTGTTAATGGTTCAGGGAGATTGGCCTCTATTGGATTGCACACCGCTGCCTTAGTGTTGTGAAGGCATTGCATATGATCTGGCTGGAACGTCAGATCGTTTTTGTTCACATAGTGCGCGTCTATTTGAGACTTATCCGCCGTGTTATCGTGTAGCCACAAGTATATAAGCAATCCATATCCCGTCAAACTCTCAATGTTTCTAGATCCCCCAACCACTACTTCGATCTTGTTAACGATCCATGTGAGAGGGCTATAGCGTTGCAATATTAAAAGTCTCAGACACAAACTGGAGTTATGCGAAGACTCCCAGACATACACCTGAACCCTAGTGTGGAGCGATATTCTGGCGCACTAAGCATATTGTACAGGCAATACGGAAATGCTGCGGGTATTACAGTATCATACAAGTTCGTCACACACTATCGCAAGTTTCCCACTGCGATATGGCCTTTGCGACCTTATTCCTCCTCAGAATCACTGGCATCTGAATCATCCTATGCAAAGTGTCGTCAACCACAGAACTTGTCCAGTGCGATTTGATACTTACGTCGATGCATACCGGCACCTCTGTGCCATCCTCACGGAGAGCTGGCCAAGGGAGAGGAGGGGGAACCCATCTAGTATGCCCCTTGATTAGCCAACACGCCAGGCTCACGGAAGCAACGAGTGCACTCACAACTGTTCGCCTGTGCGTTCTGGGGATGGCGACGATCTCCTGTAACGAGGGTGCCTAACATGCAGGAGTTCATATAAAGGAGTGAAACAATGCTCTGGGTTGCTTCCGTAGCGTGTTAATCCAGTTTGCGTGTCATTCCACCAACGCATGGTAGCCTGCGCTTCAAGAGTGCCCACTGGCGCCACAACTGGCGCGGAAGCTAGAAGAGCTACGGAGAAACTTTCGCCGCCTACCACTGAATGAGTATAGCTCGTGTATGATAGGATAGCGCACTCACCCGCATCCGAGAGGTGCAAGGAATAGGCAGGACAATAAAACACCTTGGTGACGAGATGCATGGACTGAAGGAGTTTAATTTTCGCGAGCTTCCCAAGCACGTCTGAAGTAAGGTGTTTCATGCGAGGGTTGTTCATGAGCAAGACGGCACCAGTGGTGCCTCTCTTGACCTGCCATGTCCCTTTGAGACTGGCTGTGGCAATCCCAGGGACACCTCTGGCAGATGCGACACCAGGAATAAGACAAGATAGTTGAAAGCTAAGGGCTTGGAAACTCACGCCTGGGATTCAACGCTCAATTCCATGCGTTTCACGTTTTTAGACCAAGTCGTGTATGCAGCCTCTTCTGGACCGTCTTTGGCATGATGCTCATCAGAGTCAGGATCGATACCTGCTTCGATGAGGCTCTGCTTGAATTTCTCCGAGTAGATGTTGCCTTGGACATCCAAGTTGCCCGTGTCTTTGTCGATCTTTCCGAACGACCCAACCTGCTCGATGTTAAATACAATAGATGGAGATTTCAGCCACTCATAAGACGCACTATAATTTCGGAGGGTGGGTCCCAGTTGGCATACTTTGCTGTCTGACGGAATATAAGTTCGACGAACTTGCGCTGTGGATGGGAATCCGGCTTGCTGTTCCAAGACCACGCTGCTGGCATGTGCATGATGGTAAATATGTTTTGGCTGCTGCTAGTGGACGACGAACTCGAGATATATAAGAAGGATCAAGGCAGTGTGCTTCTTTATCGATGCTGTGTGGCAGCAGGCGCCAAAAGCCCTTTATCCCTCCTTCATCCTTAGGTGTTATCCTAGTAGGTCCACGTTCTGGCCTGGGATTATGTTACTTTATGTCGCCAAGATGCAACTTGATACGCCTTGTGCAAGTTGTGCTAATTTACGACTTGCCTAATTGGGCTCCGCAGCGCCCTTGGAAATCAACTGCTTTACACTGGACCAAAACCTGTGTGTGATGGAAGGTGAAGGACGTCGTGTGCACAGCCCTACGCAGTGCCAGCCTCGTAATGAGTTGTTGATTAGATTCTAGAATCATTCAGCCTGAGCTTGCCATCTGATCAAATTTCCACCCATTTGGTGCGCCTTCGTTCACGTCGTCCTGATCTGTCTTATGTTCACTGCTAAGGTACTAAGGACGAGCTGGTCATCTGCCTTTGCGTTTCTGGCGCCCCGTCCGAGATTTATTGATTGTCCGGTCCTTGTTAGTGATCTGAATCATATCCTCAGTCTTGGACAAGATCTTCAAGGATCCCCGTGATGAGCTCCCATGACACACGGCATCTTTATTTTGTTCTTGCCACAGCCTAATCCCAGTGTACACGATTGGTGTCGCTAGTATGTTGTTTGGTTCCGCGGAGGCAATTCGTGTGACTCCCATGTGCGTACTCCACTTGAGCTCCACTGCTCAGTCTTTTTGTTCGTGGCATGCCGGGTACCTGCTGGTACCTGCCACTCTTTGCAATACCGAACCACCACTCCTTCGTGAGCCGGGCCGAACGACACCGCCTGACTACGCTTTATCAACGCTCGCGTCTTCACAACGACTGTCTCAAACTCATTCCTGTCTGCGCCATCTGACGCAACATGTTGGTTGAAAATGGTTTTTCGAATTTTGGTCGCTGCCCCGCCCTCTATCGAATCAATTGATTCATACCAAAGTTTTTGCTTGCTCCAAACTTTAATGTCTCCATCTAAGTAGCTGGACAATTTCCCTTACGATCTGTATAGTACGCGGTAGCTCACAAGGTCTTGATCTCCGACACGCAGTACTTCATGTCGTCGCATTCCTGCTTCATTTGGACAACAAACGAAGAATAAGGATTGGCATCAACTTCATCACTAGTTATTGTATTCAAGCAATCAACTCATCGTAACGTTATAATATCATAATATATAATCTATCGATTCGATTGATTCAACACCAGGGCGTTCTACAGAAGACACAATACAAGAATATGTATGACTCCAAGCTGGACACTACTCGCTGAATCGCAAATGGTGAGAGCTAGTCGGAAAATGATCGCGAGGAGTGATGAGGTTCAGCGTCGTCAACGCCACACCTGGTAAGAACAATCATGAAGAGCTCATCTTACAAATTCATCGAGATGACCTGCGAGAAGCGCAGGTCAACCATTATCAACCACAGGATGTATGATGATAAGGTGGTCGCTTGCAGGATCGTCTTGAGTGAGTGCGAGAAGGTCAAGGGGCGAGCTTGCCAGCCGCGCCAAGACGTTGATCCATGATAGTGGGTGAACGACGCAAAACCTTCGCGATATAGTTACACACCAGGAATACCTCAGCGCTCAGCTTCCGTCCTAAGATCGAACGAAAACTGTAACTGCTTGATGATCCACTAAACAACTCGGGTACATCTTTTAGGGCCGGGTCTGTCGGTATCGCCCCAAGCTACAGAACTGTTGGATGACAGGACTCGAATAGCTGATCTCCAGCATTTGCGCGAGTCAATCTTGATGGATAAGTGGATGCCTGCGGGTATGCACGAGGAGGGGACATTGAGATTCTTTCCGTTGATGACTGTGGATAGAGCGTGAATATAATGAAACGAATGCCACGGTTGTATGAAGTAGCGCACCTTCAAGCCAACTTCCAAGCTGCAAGGGAGATAGAGCAATGAAGCCAAGGATCAGCGACACGAAGGATGAATGATGGGTTGATCCAGTGGTGAACGAAATGAAAGGTACCCGGGATAAGAGGGATATGAAGATTGTAGATGAAGTTCGGGTAAGTTACAGCAGCTGGTCAGAACGATACATGCTACTGAGTAATGAGACCCAAATTCGATGGCGGTAGCTGGCATTAGTGCTTGATAGAGTATGTGACAGAATATTCGGGAACGTGCGTTGTCACACCCCATGGCACTGGACGTTTGGATGCCTGTAGAGTTAACGATAGTAGTAAGTATATGTGCATGCTAGATGGATTACGGTTGGTCAATGAAAGGGCGATCAAAATACGCGGCGTTCTGGGGCATATGAGTGAGTGGGTAGACCCAGTTCTCTTCGCGCTCTGAACAGCAAATGGTCCGTCCCCCTCCAACAGGCTTCTTTGCGTCAAGTCAAAGACCAGTTGCAGAGCAATTTCCCCAGACTGGGGCATGTGCTACGTTGGCAGATCCAGGCTCAGAGTCAGACTCTTGAGCTTGAGTAGTTCAACGGTTTAGGGCCGGGTTTGTCGCGTTGATCATGTGATCCGACGCGGTCCATGCACCATGCAAACTGAGGAATCTAGGATGTCTTCAAGCCCATTACTGGGTCAATGAGACACTATCACTCATTGATACAAAACTTGCTTGCCTCACACAACAACAACAATGTATCGAGCGAATGTGTTGATGTACAGCAGGGCTGCCAGGGCAAGTCGACTTTAACACTAAAACCTGCGTACGCGCGCAGTGAGCATTTCGGCTCGACCTCGTTCTTCGGCCAGCTGACATGCTCCCCGTGACTGTAGCGTTGAGGTGAAGTTCAAGAAGTCGAGTGCCAAATCACATGCCAAGGATTCAGACAATTATTTACATTTAACACCAACGCAACAAAAACTTATCGGTGTAGTAGCTTGCAGCAGGCATGTTCGTGAACGAGGAACAAAAACTCTCAACTATGAAGTGAAGTTATGGATTTCGAATTCTTTGTACTGCCAGGGCCAAGTTGTTGATTTATATGACTGCTTCCTGCATCGACAGGAATACCTTGAATTTATTTGGCAGGCTGCCAGCGCTGCATCGACGATTTCTGTCATTTTTATCACCGCCTCTTCCTCCAGAGTCCGACCGACAAGTTGCAAACAAACGGGAGCGTTCCTGAATTTCTCCGGGTCGTCTGGATCAATTATTGGGCATCAGAAAATCACTCAGAGGCTCAGCGCTGGAATTACTGACACATTTCGTAGATGTCCTTATCGAAGTCGTCATAGAAATCATGTGGAGGCTCCTTCCCATCGAGAGTGGGGTTGACAGTGGTCACAGGAAAAGTCGTGGCGGGATAGTCGAGCGCATTCCAAACGGTGGTGTAATTAGTGTAGCTGCGTGTTGTTTCTCATTGACAGTTCAAATATCTGTGATTACAAAGACACTGACCTATTTTTCCCATGGGAGGTGCCGCAGACGCTGCGACCGGACAGATGATAGCATCGACAGGCCGTCCTGTCCCAGTCTCTGACGCAGTTGCTTCCCAGTGATCTAGGTATTCTTTTCGGATATTTTGACGCAGCTTCTGCACTTGCCAGAGTTGGTATGCGGTGATACCGCTGTTTTGCGGACGGAAGCCTGCATCGTCCAGCTCCATTGTTGCAATTATTGGCTCCCCTGTGACAGAGGTCGTGATCATGACGTCCTCTACGGAAGCGGCGGTAAAGATATCCGTCTATACAGTGTTCCCAGTAGGTGAATAGGCAGGCATAGTAAAGACATGACTGCTCACCGCGATTTGTAGGAGTAATCTGTGCTTGATGGGTTTCCAATCAACAACTACCACTAAATGAGCATGATTCAGCAGAGTTAAACTAGAGAGAAAACCTTTGTGGCCCGCCTTCTGGAGTGCCGCTTTTGTGATTTCCAGAGACCTCCTGATAGGTGGGTGGGGAACAACAAGGCCATCGTCCCACATGATCGCAAAGCACAAATCTTTGCCAGATCCATGGTCCGAGAGATTGTACTCGTCTCCGTCCCATTTCTTCCGAACGACAAGAGGGTCTCTGAGCCACGGTTTAGTGTCAATGACAGCTTTCATGAAGACCTTGACCCCGCCAACGCTGGTCGTTATTGGACCGAACACGGAGAGAATCGAGTCTTGGCCTTCGAGTGAGTTGCGGGCACCACAGTACGGTACTCGCCCGTATGACGGTCTCAGGCTGTATAAGCCGCAAAATGCAGCAGGAACACGAATAGAGCTGTTAAGAATCGTCAGAAGGCTATTACCATGATACCTCCAAATCCCCTTCATACCCTCCGATATCAGAACCGACTCCCAAAGGGCTTCCTCTGATAGAAACCAATGCACTCTCTCCTCCGGATGACCCACCCGGGGTCAGAGAGCGGTTGTATGGGTTAGTCGTCCGGCCAAAGATATTATTGAAGGTTTCTGGCCACTGAAGATACTTCTAGTACACCAGTAGCATCTATCTTGGAGGTGCGCTCACCATGACCGTCTGCGGAACATTAGTGCGGACGAATGGCACGGCTCCGCACTCGATCAGAACGTCGACCAGCACTGCGTTTTTATCCGCATACTGCCCAATCCACGAGACATAACCTACAACTTAGTAAATCACAATGCGTTAGACCTAAGTCTAGATTATTGCTCACCAATCGTAGTCTCTAGTCCCTTGATGCTCAGCTGGTCCTTCAGGGAGATTGGCAGCCCGTGAAGGGGACCAACGACCTTCCCTGTCTTCTTCAAGTAATCGTCGAGTTCAGCGGCTCGAGCCAACGCACGATCGACAAAAATTTCCGTTAAGCAATTGACCTCGTCGGCTGATTAATACAATCTCGTCAAGCAAATGCATCACAATTCGACTCACAAGCTGATGACCCACAATAGCCCTCTTGGAGAACGCGGTGGTCACCTCTACAGCTGTCCATTCCGCACTTGCAAGTCTCTCTAACAAAACATCCACAGAAGTATTGGTGATCTCAATTTCTCTCGCGTTCAAAAGCCCACACGTCTCTGGAAAACTAGTCACATCCAGAGTAGAGACTGGAGGAGGGGTCACAAGCCAATGCTGAGGAATGGACTTTAGCTGCCTCTGCTTCTTTCCTGCGACTAAAGCAGTCCAATGTGGCATGTCGGTCTGCGCTGGGGATGGAAATGGACGACGGAACGATAACGCTCAGACTTTAAAGAATGCTTCGCAAGAGATAAGGCGGAAAGGCTGTCCGCATGCGACTAGAGATAAGGTCGCCAAAAGCGCGCTGATAACGCAGGGCTGAAGGTTAGATGGGTACACGAAAGGGGTGGATTCTGGTCGTGCCGGTATGACTGCACGTAAACAGCCAAATACGTGTATAGTTCCGTCTGGCCTAACGGAAAAAAGTGTCAGCTGAAAGCTCGAATCAACGAGGCTAAAACAAAAGAATCGTGCTCCAAAAGTCATCCAGTGACACAGGTCCGTTAAGTTACGTGTATCAAGTCGACTAAGAGGTGCAAGTGGTAGTTGATATACAACACTCGCCATTCGAGGTTCCATGCGAAAGAGCAAGACATGTCTCAAGATCACTCACCCAAGCAATCTGTCTGTCCAAGCATATGGATCTTAACTTCCTCACCCGTCAACTATGCAACCGCCTGTACCCGAGCCGTGTAAGAAGTGTAAGATAGCCTGTCTTGTTTAGTATTAACTTCTCTTCAATTCAGAACATTAAAAATGCGCACCATCCCGCTGCCACTGGTGCGCCATCCGTGATTTTGCAGATAAATTCGTCAAGGAGGTCAACGAGAAAACTCTTCGCGTGGGGAATAGTGTTCCGTGAAAAACTCCCCCGTGAGTTCTTGGCATGTTTTTAACTCGGTACCTCCTCGACGGGGTTTTTGACACGATATATAAAAGTTCGAAAGTGGCTATTTTCGTTACAAGAAACTATTTCCAAGTTACTAGTATCACAGGTGAGCAACTTGAAGCACCTGGCTGCTGGGTGTATTTTTTCTAGTAGCTGGTTGAGCCGTGCATGCCAACTCTGGTAGACGTGTTATTTAGCCGTCAAAGGTAATACTAAGGTTATCACAGACACACATTGGGACGCGCAAGTACTTGCTTTTTTCGAACAAAAGCAGCCTCCATCGGTATGTGACAAGGACTCTTAAGCAGCTTGTTCCTTTAGGGCTTGGTAATGCGCGCAGGGAGACGATATATTGCGCCAGATTCGCTTCCAACATCCGAAGGCAAGTCTGGGTGCGGGGCTTGCTGATAAAACGAGGTTCCAAGGGCCAAAGAGGTAGGTGAAGTTGGTTTTTGATCAACATTCCATACGGCATCTCCCTGATAACGCCTGCTTCAAGTGCGCTCGCGGTTAAATTTAAACCCCATCGTTACTATATAACGCATAAATGTCACGGACTATCTTATGCATTCGTGTCTCGATGGAGAGGCACTGAGTACACAGGCTGCCGTAGGTGCTGCTACTATCCACGGAGTTTGTGTATAGGCTGGGCAGGTCCGAGTAGCTCGAGGCCAAGATGCACCCTCAGGCGGGTTGAATACGACCCTACCTACTGCCCAAACTGCCCGAGAGTGGTATTCTAGTACATACTCCTCTTGATGAGTTACAGTCGGACCGACTGTATAACCGTGCGTGAACCAATTTTCTCAAGATCTTACTAGGAACTTGCGAGGAAGGATTAATTATATTTCCCGTAAGATAGATTCTTCCTACATCGCCGTGGAGTTCTGCCAGAACAATATTCAACACATAAAAGCAAGCCGTCTCCCTACCGTTCCCTTCAGATTTATTTGATCCCATATCACATCCGTATAAACAATGCGTTTCTCCCTCGTCCTCGCCGTTGTTGCTGTTTTGACAGCATCAATATCTGCCAGTGAGGCTGATGATGTTTGTCCCAAATATTGCCCCACCGAGAACAATGCAGGTTGCTGTTTTCGACAGGAATGCGTGGAGAAAGAGGACCGAGCATTCACCGGCCTGCTCAGAGGAGTATGTGTAGTTTGCCTCCTGTATTTAACCATATGACTCACTGGCATGACAGTACATCTGGGTGTGTGTGGATGTCACGGTGGATGAGTGAAACTGTAGCATTTCGCGACAGTGAACTACAGTAAGTCAGTGCAATATGCTTAATGGCACGACGCGTAACTTACTAGTGGTTTTTTGTTGAGTTGATCTACGTGGTTGCTTCTGAACAAATTTCACCGCCGCTCGAGCGATGGAGATTTTAGAATCTCAAACGCTTGAATACATAGAATATGACTGAAGTACTTACGACGCAGTTTTGTAGTCTCGTTGTAAGCTTGAACATAGAAGCCCTCGATGATACCACAACTCCTCCCTTACTAGGTTCACTTTACGTAATTATTTGAACGTTAGGGTCAACACTCAAGCCATTTCAGACGTACAATATAGCTGTTGGACAGGGTGCTGGGATTTAAGCCAGCTCATCTTTATTGCCCTTATTCTACTTTTTTTTCTCAGATGCTGTAAAATGCTCTGATCCCCCTTGTGAATATGACTGTCACCTTAATTGAAGCGTTGATAAGCAAGAAAAGGTTGAATTAAGTCTGAAAAGGACGGAAAAGGAATGTGGGGTTTTACTGATGGGAGATGGCTTGCTTATCTGTCCGAGTCTGCGTACGTGCATTCTACTAACTGGTTAACTCTTCGGATTCAGCAACACTCATTCCTGGGTGAAAAGGTTCTGCTGCGGGTTTCTGATGATGTGAGGAGAATGGATTGAGAAAAGATGATGGTGCCCCCCCTCTGCCCTGTCCTGCAGGTCGTGCTCGTTTCAAGCTAGATACATTTCCAGTGCTCTCTTCTTTTCCAATGGACCCGGTTTAGCAGTGCCCAAGGGCTTCAAGGGTGCACCAGAGGATGATTTGTTAGGCACATTCTGGTGCGGCCCTGCCATCTTTACGACTCTGAAAGGCCACTGGAGGTTGATACTGAGCATGCAAAATGATTGGGAGGCGGTAGAAGCTGGTGGAAGGTCGGAATTGATGTAATTGTCGGTACCTAGCTGGCGGATCTGTACTATTGCTTCGAATGCCAAATATAAATGGTATTGAATATTCAAGGAAAGCCAAAGACTTTATTTGGACGATATGTGCTGTAAACTGGGACTAAACATGATTGTCGTTGTCGTATGTTTATTTGTTCACCTCAAAGTGCGGTGACATTGTCGCTGAGTGCTCCGCGCTCCCACTGACTCCCCCACCAACTCCAGCCTGTAAGTTCGAAACATCTTACGTGATCTTCCAACCCACGCGCCCTTGAAAACGGTCCAAACGGTCTGTCGGTCTTTGAAAAAACGGTCGACCGTTTGTAAGCGAGCCCTTGCCATGACGCAGCTGTCCTTCTACGGCACAACTCCGAGTTTCAGTGGATTGTTGTGCTACACAATCCCAATGTACGAACCGGTAGTGATCGAAGGCGAAGGTCATACTGGCAGCATTACTGATGATGAGTTGTGAACGGTCTATAGGTTTTCCCGTGTGGGAGTTGAATAGGACCATGAATATTAGTGAGCCAAAAAATTGTAGGGCTAGAGCGCGATCGCCGATTAGATCAACAACAAGGTCGAACTCAAAGCCAGTGATGATAATGACGAAGATGCAGCGCTGTATGCAGCGACAGGAAAGGGTTAGTTCTACTGCCACCGTTGAATCAGTTATTCACGTTTACAGAACGTGCCGACCTCCCCTGTTGTCGCTTCACCGAAGATATCAATGTCCAGATTGCGCTCTGTAAATCAAATTTCCATGCCGGGTGCTTGATTAGCATGTATCCGGCAAGTTTCTTGCATCATTGGTAAGTTTTCATGCATGGGCGCCCTCTTCAGCCGCTGGCTCGTAATACGCACGGGGAAAAAACTACAGACCGTCCACATGATCCCATAATGACATTAACTTGTATGCCGTTGGCATGGGCTTCGCCTTCAACTACCATATGTTCGCACTGACGCGGAGTTGTATTGTGGAAGTGAGCATACTCTACTTTGTCCATCTCACAGACCTGTTTAGCTAGCTCAAGATGAAGGTTATCTATCCCTCCGGCGACAAGTTATGCTCACTCTTGAATTTTCGGCATATGTCCGGTTCATAGATTTCACGAATTTCTCCTATGGCGCGCGTCACTTAGTCACCACCACCTTTGGCAGTTCCCCATAGAAATTGGTCTGGATCATCGCTGGTAAGTTCCCATGCATGGCCACGTTATTCAGCAGCCAGTTCGTAATACCCAAGTCCTACACGGTAAAAACTATAGACCGTTCACACCTCATCAATGCCGCCAGCATGACCTTCGTCTTCGGCTACCACTCGTGTATACTACTTCAATTGCGCGATCGGGGCCGGCTCGTACATTGGGATTGTGTAGCACTACAATACACCGAAACTCAGAGTTGTACCGTGGAAGTGAGCATACTCTGCTTTGCCCATGTTACACGCTTATGGATGAAGGTTATCCATTTCCTCCGGTAACAACGTTTTGGCAAATGTCCGGTTCATCGATTTCACCGTCAACACGATATTCCACTATGGTGCGCGTTACTTACTAGTTGCCGCCAACTTGTGGCAGTTCCCCCATAGACATTGATCTGGACGAGGGATTTGACTGTGGATACATGCGTGGTCTTGATGCGAACGCGTCCAGTGACTCGGAAAGCGAGCAAGAACATGACCAAAAGTTTGTCGTTCAGGAGATCGTCAGGTGAGCAGATCAACTTTGCATATTCTTACAGAAATTCCATTACGAGCTCAACGTCATTGGAGGTGTCATGAGACACCATCTTGGAGCACTGTAACAATACTTTTGAGGTCCTTATTCAGAAACCGAGGAACATCTGGTTATGCGAGCAGACGCACAGCTAGATAGGTGTTCCCTACACCACATGTATATAGACCAAAGTACTAGCTTTCGACTCAATAGAAAAACCCCATCAAGCCTTAGCCTCTCTTAGCCCGCAACTATGAAATTCATCTCACTGGCCACTTTGCTCATGTCTGCCACAGTGATAGCTGGCGCAGCTACCGGGGCATCTAAATTCACCCCCGTCGGCCAAGACTGCAGACCACGTGGTGAGTACTCTTGCAGCCTACCGTGTTCTAGACGTGTGAACCTTAGACTGCGTGCTTACGGTTGCTCGCAGGCAAAGTGGGGTGCGATCTTGAATTAGGTTTTAACAGCGGCAATTCGTTCTTGTATTTTTGTTCAACAAAAGGGAAAATTCTGAGTATCATACCATGCGATTGTAGGAAGTGCTGCGTAGTGACTGGTGATCTGACTGGCCATTGCTAATGAGAGGCAAGAATGAGCATGGTTATTACTGTGTCTCTACGACAGCACAGTGCCTGGGGTGAGCCTGGGTCTTCTCGTTGCCTCCCGAGTCCGAACGAACACTGATGTGGTTATTCTCGCCAGAACGTTCATGAAGGCAATAATGTAGCATGGTACCCGTGGAGGAGTGCGGTAGCCTATTGTCAATTACATGCCATAGAGTTCTGGGGCCAAATCCGCTGTCTATAACAGTGCAAAACAGATGAGCCAGTCCCCCATTAGGTATGCGTTGGATCGCGTCACACGAGATTTCATCAAAGAACTCCTACACGCCATATCCAGACGCTCGTGATGAGGGCAGACAGACTGCTTGCGTGATCATATACGTTGTGACAGCGACCACATGTTTGCACTTCCTCAGTACAAGCTAGGAATCTTCGCGCGTGTCGACTGAATCAGACGCGATATGCGGGGGGAAAGTGTAATGGTGGAGCTGATAACGAACCTGCGACCTTGCGAGATAGAGAACGTTAGCAAAGTAAGTACCGGGATCCGAGAGATTACCCGAAAGGCTACTGGAGTGACTAGCCTGACATGTGGGAAACACAGGCGGGTCCTTGACGAAGTCTGCGGAGTCTGGGAAGACCTCTTTCCTAGATGTACACAGAATTGCTCAGCCTTCAAGGGTGGCTGGCAGCATCGATGCGTGCGATGTTCCAGAGGTTGGGTTTGTACTCTACAGTCTCGTGCCGCGAGGAGATATCGAGCTCTTGGATGAGTCTGGAGTGGTCGGAGGAGATATTGGTTTAGAGCTGGTTTCGGCCTCGGATTCAGAGTCGGATGCGTTTTGAGCTCAGGTACGGAGGTCTAACGTTGAACGACCACATATTTTGTGCGTCCTTTATTTCTTGAGGATGCATGTGAGTAATCGGTAGTTCATAATTGTCATGTGGTCTGGGCGAAAGCAAGCAGTCACCGCATGCAAGCTTTGCGTAGCACAGGGTTGTGGAGATACGTCGAGAAGAAGGTATACATATAATTGTATCACCTGAGTGACACCTGTTCCCACACTTGTTGTAATTCTCAGTTAGCCTCGTGCCTCGGCTAGCAGAGAATGTACGGAACTCGCTGTGAAACTGATCGATACACTCACTTAGACCTCAAATACGACCCGTCCCAGAATTTCTGCTTGTGTCGTCACTTTTGTGCGTATCTATCCTGATCTCACTCGATTTTGTGTTTATCAATGAGACGCTTAACAGTCAGCTGGGTGTCTCGTCAACCCATTGCGCTCCTCGGCTTAGATCTCCCACTTGCATTCTTCGCACTCCTTCGCTATAACAACATGGCGCACGGCGTGGAACAGTGTCGAGCGGCCTTGCAGGAATGTCCTCCTGGCCATCCTCGTCGATCTGCGTGTCTCAGCAACCTTGCCAGCAGCCTTCGAAACAGCTTCCAGCAGCGGGGTATCCCTTCTGACCTTGATGAATCCATTGAGCTCCATCGAGCTGCACTGGCACTCCGTCCCTCAGGCCATTCTGATCGATCCTCGTCTCTCAAAAACCTTGCCATCAGCCTTCGGGACAGATTCCAGCAACGGAGTATCCCCTTCTGACCTGAATGAGTCCATCGAGCTCCTTCGAGTTGCGCTGGCACTCCGTCCCCTAGGTCATTCTCGTCGATCGTCGTCTCTCAACAATCTTGCCATCAGTCTTGGATACAGATTCCAGCAGCAGGGTGTCCTGTCTGACCTGGATGAGTCCATTGAGCTCCTTCGAGCTGCACTGGCACTCCGTCCCCCGGGCCATCATCATCGATATTCGTCTCTCAACAACCTTGCTATCAGTCTTGGATACAGATTCCAGCAGCGGGGTGTCCTGCCTGACCTTAATGAATCCATTGAGCTCCTTCGAATTGCACTGATGCTCTGTCCACCCGGCCATTCCGATCGATCCTCGTCTCTCAACAACCTTGCCATCAGCCTTGAATACAGATTTCGGCAGCGGGGTGTCCTTTCTGACCTGGATGAATCCATTGAGCTCCATCGAGCTGCACTGGCACTCCGTCCTCCAGGCCATTCTCATCGATCCGCATCTCTCAGCAACCTTGCCATCAGCCTTAGGGACAGATTCCAGCAGCAGGGTGTCCTGCCTGATCTGGATGAATCCATCGAGCTCCATCGAGCTGCACTGGCGCTCTGTCCCCCGAGTCATTCAGATCGATCCTCGTCTCTCAACAATCTTGCCATCAGTCTTAGATACAGATTCCAGCAGCGGGGTCTCCTTTCTGACCTGGATGAGTCAATTGAGCTCCACCGAGCTGCACTGACACTCTGTCACCCCGGTCATTACGATCGGTCTTCGTCTCTCAACAACCTTGCCGTCAGCCTCAGGGACAGATTCCAGCAGCGGGGTGTCCTCTCTGACCTAAATGAGGCCGTTGAGCTCAATCGAGCTGCATGTATGCTATGTCCCCCCGGCCATTCTGATCGATCTTCTTCTCTCCACAACCTTGCAAACACCCTTCAGGCCAGGTTCCAGCGGCAGCTTATCCTTTCTGATCTGGATGAGTCTATTGAGCTCCATCGAGCTGCACTGGTATTCCTTCCCCCCGGCCATTCTGAGCGACGAAAGTCGCTCAATGACCTTGCCATCTGCCTGCCATCTGCCTTGGAGACAGATTCCACCGGCAGAATATGCTCTGTGACCTGGATGAGTCTATTGAGTTCCATCGAGCTGCCCTGGCGCTTTGTCCCCCTAGCCACTGTGATCGATCCTCGTTTCTCAACGATCTTGCCCTCAGCCTTCAAACCAGATTCCATAGGCATGGTGTATCATCGTCGTCAGACTTGGACGAGGCTTTCATGCTTTATTCACAACTCCCCCAAGTATCTCATGCAGTCTCTCGTAGCGATTTTCGCGCCGCCAAGTCATGGGCTGCCTCTGCCGAGCAGCTTAAGCATAACTCTGCACTGATCGCCTATCAGACCACATTGAAATTCCTGGATGAGCACGTTGCTGTTTTGGCGTCGTCTCCACACCATTTCGACGTCGTCAGGGAGGCCTCATCCCTTGCAATGGACGCATTTTCATGCAGTGTTCGTCATGGTGTTCTGACAACTGCCGTCGAACTGGTGGAACGAGGTCGTGCAGTGTTCTGGACGCAGATGGTACGCTTCCGCACGCTTTCTGCGTCAGGTGGCGAAGCCCTAGAAAAAGAGTTCATGCAACTCAGCTTTCGCCTGCGTCACACATTCAAGGTGCCTACAGAAGACCAGTCCCTACACATACAACAACTGGCTGTACAATTGGATGATGTCATCTCACGCATCCGCATGCTGCCTGGCCTTTCCCGTTTTCTCCTGCCTCAATTGTTCTCTGACCTCCAGAGGGCTGCAGAAGGAGGTCCGGTCATTATTGTCAATGCAAGCCAGTACAGCTGTGATGCCTTGATAATCCCGAGTGCCCACGATCCGGTCCATGTTTCACTCGATATTACACGAGCCGAGGTCTCCGAATTGTCCTCCGAGTTTCAGTCTCTCACAGAATGTGTGGGTTCTTCTGATCATCAACTTGAATCAAACAAGATGATTGGTGTCCTGCGCACACTCTGGCATCGCGTCGTCAATCCTGTAGTTCAGGCTCTCGGGGGGTTAGTGCGCCCTCACTCACGCATCTGGTGGTGTCCAACCGCTGAGTTCACGCTACTTCCTCTGCATGCAGCAGGACCCTACGAGGGGAAGAGTCACGATGGGAAGAAGAATCATAATTTGTCTCACTTTTACATATCCTCTTACATCCCAACTTTGGCGGAACTCATTCGCGCGAGACAGCAAGTTTCGCGAGATACGACCGGTCAGCACTTTGTTGCGATTGGTCAAGCGAACCCGGACGGAGCAAAGCTTCTTCGGTGTGTCGCTACTGAGTTATCCGTCGTTTCTCAGTGTCTCTCACCTCTCCTGTCCTTCACACCACCTACCTTATCCTTCACGCAGCTCGCGGACAATGATGCGACAGTCCGCGGAGTATTCGATGCGTTGAGCCAAAATCAATGGCTTCACCTGGCCTGCCATGGAATGCCAAATCGAAAACAACCGTTCGAGTCTTCCTTTGCCATGCGTGACGGGCCTTTAACAATCAGGGAGATCATGCGATCTGACTGGCAGAATCCGGAGTTTGCATTCTTATCGGCTTGTCACACCACCGTGGGTGATGAGTTGAGCCCCGATGAGGCGATTCATCTCGCTGCGGCGATGCAATTTTCTGGATTTCGTAGTGTGATAGGTTCTATGTGGTCTGTTGATGACAACGTTGTAGCCCAGATTGCCTCTGCTTTCTACAAGAACCTGATCGATGGTTCTGGGAGATTGGAATGCACACGTGCCGCGGTTGCGTTGCACAAGGCTGTCAAGACATTGCGCAAGGGAATTCCACTGGAACAGCGGATCGTATTTATTCACATAGGTGTCTAGTTTGACTCCTTCGGACTATTTTCTTTTTTATTTGCTGTAAGTACATCAGTGATCCATATCCTGTCGGCATACACGCTAACAATGTATCTAGATCGCCCGACCACTCTTGCTAACTGTCCAGATCTGAGTGGTGTCTATAATGTTGCGACGGAGTTTGAGATGGCGGACACATATGAATCTTAATAGAGTGATATTCTGTTGCATTCAGAGTATCTAAAATTACAATCCGTATGACATTGATAATGTTTGCTGCTGGTATGTTACAAGCTTGTCGTGAGTCCCAGCACAGACACTGCCAATATGTACACTTCAAGCTAGTGGCAATGGTTATTCATTGTGGGTGTACTCTTGGCGACCTTATTCCTCCTCAGAGTCACTGCAATCCGTATTCTCCTGTGCGAGGAGTCGTCAAATACCGAAGTTGGCCAATAACTACTTCTCGGCTGTCGTCACTGGCTCGGACGTTTCGGACTCCAACACTACCTAGTACCTACTGCCCAAACTGCCCGAGAGTGGTATTCTAGTACATACTCCTCTTGATAAGTTACAGTCGGACCGTCTGTATAACCATGCGTGCAACCAATTTCTCAAGATCTTACTAGGAACTTGCGAGGAAGGATTAATTTAAATTTCCCGTAAGATAGATTCTTCCTACATCGCCGTGAAGTTCTGCCAGAACAATATTCAGCACATAAAAGCAAGCCGTCTTCCTACCGTTCCCTTCAGATTTATTTGATCCCATATCACATCCCTACAAACAATGCGTTTCTCCCTCGTCCTCGCCGTTGTTGCTGCATTGACAGCATCAATATCTGCCAGTGAGGCTGATGGTAGTGATTGTCCCAGATATTGCCCCTCCCAGTCCAATGCAGGTTGCTGTACTTGGCAGAGATGCCAGGAGCATGAAATGCGATCATGGACCGGCGTGCTCAAAGGAGTATGAGTAGTTTGCCTCCTGTATTTAACCATATGACTCACTGGCATGACAGTACGCCTGGTTGTGTGTGGATGTGGATGAATGAGACTGTGGCATGTCGCGACAGTGAACTACAGTGAGTCGGTGCAGTATGGTTTATGGCACGGCGCGTAACTTACTAGTGGTTTTTTGCCGAGTTGATCAACGTGATTGCTTCTGAACAAATTTCACCGCCGCTCGAGCGATGGAGATTTTGGAATCTCAAACGCTTGAATACATGGAATTTGACTGAAGTACTTACGAGCAGTTTTGTAGTCTCGTTGTAAGCTTGAACATAGAAGCCCTTGATGACACCACGACTCCTCCCTTACTAGGTTCACTTTACGTTCGACGAACAGCCTCAAGGTTGAAGGCTTTCGTTTCCGACGCCGACAACGAGCGACAACGAGGCACTTAATTATTTGAACGTTAGGGTCAACACTTACATAAACCTTCGGACTCCAACACGTGCCGTTTTTGGATCTTCAGCTTTCGCAATTCGACGACGTCGATTTTCAACCATCTAACGGGGTCGTGATAAAGCTCAGCGGCTTAGTACAGACCAAAAATGGAGGAGTCGTGGTGTCATCGAAGGCTTCCATATTCAAGCTTACAACGACACTACAAAACTCAGTGTAAGCACTTTAGTCATATGCTATGTATTCAAGTACATGTTTGAGATTTCCTCTATTCCAAGATCTCCATTGCTCGGGCGGCAGTGAATTTTGTTCAGAAGCAAGCACGTTGATCAACTCAGCAAGAAACCACTAGTAAGTCACCGCGTCGTACAATCAACCATGCTGCACCGATGCGAAAGCAGAAACATGGCTCACTGCAGTTCATTGTCGCGACACGCCACTCACTCATCCACACATTCATAGACGATCTACCACGCCGATGAGTCATACGGTTAAATCCAGGACGCAAACTACTCATACTCACATCCCATTCCACGTGTTTTTGCACGCATTTCTGACCAGCGCAACACGGTAAATCGTGGCAATATGAGTGACAATCATCACTGCTGACAGCGTCACTGGCAGATATTGATGCTGTCAAAGCAGCAACGACGGCGACGACGAAGGAGAAACGCATTGTTTGTATATAGGATCAAATAAATCTGAAGGGGACGGTAGGAAGACGGCTTGCTTTTATGTGCTGAATATTGTTCTGGTAGAACTTCATGGCAATGTAGGATGAACCTATCTTCCGGTAAATATATTTGATTCTTCCTCACATGTTCCTAAGAACTTGAGAACGCTGCCACGGGTATTCTCGTGCAGCGTGTATATCAGTCTTGACGGGGCCAGGTGGAAATGACGCGGCACTACTATACATGTTGTGTCGCTCGAAATCTCCATCTGCGTACAGACGGATCAAATAAATCTGAAGGTAGGAAGTCGGCTTGCTTTTATGTGCTGAATATTGTTCTGGCAGAACTTCATAGCGATGTAGGAAGAACCTATCTTCCAGGAAATATAAATGATCCTTCCTCAGATGTTCCTAAGAACTTGAGAACGCTGCCACGGGTATTCTCGTGCAGCGTAGATATCAGTATTGACAGGGCCAGGTGTAAATGATGCGGCACTACCACACACGTTATGTGTTTGAATTTTCATTATCGCCATCTGCAATGAAGCAGATGACGAATGACAGCGGAGGAGTGATACTACGAATCAGTTCTGTGACCCAAGTTATACTTCCGACTGTTTTTTATTTGCAGTATTACACGAGTACGAGGTGGTCATGGAAGATATTCTGATCGCGGCTTCCCTCCTTGTTGGTGTCGCTCGGGTTTATACTTATAATATCTGTGGATGACAGTACAATATCATCTTTGTCTATTATGCACTAGGGCGTTTTACAGAAGATGCTACAAGAATAGGATACAAGAGCACTATAAATAATATACATAGAGCATGCATGCAAGTAAATCATAGTGCAAATAAGTCCTTGGGCATATTCAAACTTCCGACGATCTCATCCGCAGTCTTAAATACCACGAGACTCGAGACGGTTGCGGAAGATCTTCTGGAATTGTGGAACGTGATCAAAGTCCATGAGTGTGTAGTGTTGTCCGGGAACGTCAGTGTATGAGGCCGCGCCACGGCTGAAGCCGTCCCAAGGCTTGAGTTGGTTGTTCAGCCAGTCAGACTTGCTTCCTTTCAAAGGGATGGCGTAGAAGACATCAAGAGCAGCTGGAGGTGGTCGTCAGCGAGAGAACAAAACTACAGGAAGAAGGGCACTCACAAACTGAGCCAGACGGGTTGTAGTCCTTGCCGCATTCAATCAGAGAACCAGCAATGTCGACCCAGTGGTCAAGCTTCTCTTGCGTGAGCTGGAGCTCGATAAGACGATCTGGAGGTGATAGTTTCCACACCACCTCCAGTTGCTCCTTCCGCGAAAGGGGCCTCAAAGTGGGCGCGAGGTCATTGGCGTCTTGCTTTGTTACAAGGCCAAGGAAGTATGATAGGTTGAGCATACCACCAGTCCAGTCGATCTCGTGCATGCGGTCGGCGATATGAGGGGGGATGTTGATAAGACCGACGAATTTGACTTCATCACCCATAGCCTCGAGGCGCTTAGCAACCTCGAAAGCGACAACACCACCATAACTGTAGCCAGAGATGGCATAAGGACCGGTGGGTTGAGTTCTCTTAACTGCAGCAGCGTATGTAGATACCATTTCGTCCATGGAGGTGAAGAAAGGGTGACCTGGCTCGAAGCCACGAGCCCGAAGAGCGTAGAACGGACGCTCATTCTGGAAGTACTTGGCAAGGTTCACGAAAATGAGAACCTCGCCGACACCGGGGTGAACGAAGAATATGGGTGTCTTGTTACCCGTGAGTTGTAAGGGAACGATGGGGTCGTATTCCTCGGTGGTGCTGTCCTTAGAGAGCAAAGCGTTGATGTAGTTCGCCAAGCTGGAGATGACGGGGTGCTTGAGAATCTGAATGGTGGGTATCTCGGGCAACCCAAAGTGCTCTTCGCCTTCGCGCTTGAGTCTGATAGAAAGAGACGTGAGAAGTGTTCATTATCAAAGCTCTTGCATTGCCTACCTGATAACATCAATAGAGGTACCACCGAGCTCGAAGAAGTTGTCGCTTGCGGACATTTCATTCTCGTTGAGGTTGAAGATCCCAGCGTAAATATTAGCAAGAGCTTTCTCAGTCTCCGTGGAAGGGGCAACAAACGAAGCACCGCGTGCCTCGCTCAGAAGCTCTTCAGCACGAGCTATGTGCTTAGCAAGTTCGCCCTGCTTGAAGAGGCTGATGAGGCGGGCTCGCGAGAGCTTTCCAAGAGTAGTCTTCTCCATCTGGTTGATGGGGATGGGGATGACAATCTGCGGAGGGAGGGTGATCATCTTCACAGAGATGTCACGGAGGGCGCGGTGCGTGGCGAACAGTTTCGTGGAAGCATCCTCTCCGTCAAGGTCGAAAGTAGGAGAGTAGAAGATGATGAACCCTTCAGTTTCCTGCCCAGGTGCACGGTAGGGAGCAGCAGCAAGGAAGGAGTGCGTGACACCCTCGATAGTCTGGAGGTGCGTCTCCAGCTCTGGAATGCCGTATGACACACCGTGTACGATGACAGTGTCTTTGATGCGGCCACTGAGACGCATGACACCATTCTCGATGATGCCGACATCACCGGTGCGGTACCAGCCACCTTCAACAAAGCTGGAGGATGTGGCCTCCGCGTCGTTGTAGTAGCGAACGAATACCATGGGGCCACGGACTTGCAGCTCAGCCACTCTCTCCATCCCTGCGGACCGTTTTGCTATCTTCGGGGTCGACGATGCGCATCTCACAACCACGCACAGGGCGACCCAAGTCGAGGAATTCGTGCTTTGGCTCAGTAGTGCTGAGGTCCACCGGATCATAGATACATCCGGCACTAGAATTAATTTAGTTTAGCGACATCGAGGTAGGTCAAAAATAACTCACCAAGTCTCGGTCATACCGAATCCAGCTGAAATGACGAAAGAAACTTTGAGAGGGTCTTTTGCGAGCTTCTTAAGGACAGTAACGAATGACTGGGCAGTCTTCGAAATGACAGCCTCGCCTCCGCTGTTGATACGCTTGATTGAAGAGAGGTCGAAAGCCCCGATAAGATCGGACCTCTTCTCCAAGTCCCGAGTGAGTTTCGCAAGCAAGAAGTTAGGACTAAAGGCGATGTTGATGGACTTCTCGTCGATCAGACGGAGGAAACGAAGAGGATCGGAGAGGATAGCGGAAGCGTGGACGTGAAGTTGAGAGGCACCAAACAATAAGGGAGTGATATGCATTTCCAAGGAACCCGCAACATGGTCGAAGCCGACCCCTGAATGTAATATAAGAATTGGTGACGACATAGCAATAAGAGAACTTACAGTTAAGTACATTAGTCTTCGAAGTCAAACCATATGCCTCTCCTTTGGCGTAGCAAGCCGCCAAAATAGTGCGATGGGTGTGGACGACTGCTTTGGAGAAGCCGGTCGATCCAGAGGTCAAAAATAGGATTGCCTCGTCATCCGGCTGGGCCGTACGGGCGACCCAGTCAGCAGAAACGTTGTATTTTGAAGCGGACGCCTTGAGCTCCGAAAGAAGGTGAATGTCCAAACCGCTTATGGAATTCACCTGGTCAGCTCCGGCTTCATTAGTGAGCCAGATGGCGGAGGAGAACAGGTTTTTGATATGAGCGACATGGCCCTCCTTGTGAGCCTGCTGGGCACTAAGGGCAGGTTGCAAGCACGGGACGTAGCCTGCGAGGAGACAGGCCCAAACAGCAGCCATGTTATCCTCGTGCTCAGTCAGATAGACAACGATAACTGAGCCAGCGGGCTTTTCCCAAGCCAGCATGGCGCGGGCGAGGTTGCGCACATTCTGGTTGAAAGAGCTGAATGTCGTCGCTCGGATGGATGAATCGTGAGCGGAAGATGTGATGAAACCGAACTCGTGCGAAGGGTATCGCTCAGTAGCTTGAGAGAGAACGTCGTGGAGGGTAACTGGGAGTGCAGCAGACATTGCGATACTAATCTATGGGTTACGAGAGATTAAATTTAAGTTGATATGCTCTATGGGGAGAAAGATAAGAAGAATAAGAAGATGAGGCTGCTGGTTGATGCCAATTGAAGAAGACTTGATACCCTTTTTATGGAAGAAGAGGAGCTAGGATCGACCTCGAGGCGCTAAAGAAGTTGTAGGATCGTTACCGGTAATTCCAAGCTAGTGGACATGCGGTTGTAAAGTGACAGAAAACTAGCGCAAAGCAGCGCACAGGCTCGCACAGGACAACATGAAAAGAGGCTAATAAGGTTGCGCCCTGGAGATCGGGATATAATTGCTGACGATGATCGTAGTGATGATGAATGGTACCCGTGGGTGTTTATCTGATATGATGATCCCGGCTTCTCGTTTCAGGAAGGCCCTGGGGTTGCAGAAACTGATTTCGAAAATGGAATGAGAGTCCACCTGCAGCATGCTCTTGGCATCATGACAATTGGTTAACAGAAGGAGATGTTGCACGTCGAGATTCCTATGGACGCACTTCATTCAAGATCTATGATCACGTAAAAAGTTGCAGAGCATGCGTTCACAGTTTCGGAGCTGGGCGCTATCATATACATGAAGTTAGCTCGAGCACAGCAAATCAATTGACTAGCCTGGTACCGTAACATTGAGAACCGCGTTTTCTCCACTGTAGCTAACCGGATAACGTAGCTGCGCCCGCTACTTCACCTAGGCCTCTGTTGCAGTTGCGCTCATTGGGCGCTGAAGATCTGTTATACTGAAGAATAGCCATAGGGCGGGTCTAACCGCATAGAATGATCTAAGCTGTGATTGGCGCATAGTGTGACTCCATTGATCTACTAAAAATCCAAATTGCAAATATCGTGCAGTGGATATTTGGCTCGGGTGAGAGTCAGCGCGCCGGGCCCTGTTTGTCGGCTGTATCAGACGACGAATTACGACGAACGGCTTCGATCTAATCCAAGCATCCAGTGACGATGTGTAGGCTTGGCAGCTACTGTCTCGAAAGGGTGTAAACGTTGAATCACTAGTGGTGGTGCCAAATTCACGAACACCGGTAATTCGACGTGGCAGACGGCGATGTGGTGTCTAAACCCAGCCGGCAGCTGCCTGAAGCTTCCAGAACTCGACTCCCACGACTGCACTAGCAAATTTGCTGCAAATATCTAAGTATTGTCCACTTGAGTATACAACACATACCTAGTAGACTTCCTACAGGCTGCAGCTCTGTTCTTCGCTATGGACAAAGAGTTGCATAGGGGGATGCCCCCTTATTACAGGTCTTGGGGCCCTGTGGAATACCTGGCTTCTACTCTTACATAATCCCGAGCTTATTACTATGAAGGACTGATCACGAGCAAATTGACGGAGCACAGGCTTACCCAAGCTAGCTTATTACTATATGTGCATTTCGCACGATCGCCGAGCTCTTCTCCGATCAATGCGGGGTCGCATCTCCGATATCGACAACATCAAGACTGACACTGCTTTTGATTATCTGGTGGCAAAGTGCGCATTTCTCCGTGAACGTGCAACACACTGGCGGACACGATCCGTGCGGCGGCGAGGAATTTGTGCTTTGGGAGAAGAGTCTGGTTACCACTTGGTGAACCCATTCTCCAGACCATACGAGTCACAACTAACCAGAGGTGTGTGCAGTTGTCAAACATAACAATGCTCAGACTCTTATGGTACACCCTTTGTACTTGCTACCGGCGACACCATAACGGTTGCGGGTAAGTATCATTAAAGAATTCTCTTTTGGATATCTGATATGTTCTTGGAACACGTTCATGTCGGGAAGTCGCGTCAATCAGTTGACGCTAAGACTTTAGAAGTAATCGACACCGTAAGGGTTTGGCCCATCTGTCGCCTCATCGCGGTTGTAAGAGTCCCACTTGGGCTCATCCTGTGATAGTTATTCTCATCCCACAGTTTTAACAAACGGCAACTGCGATTTGGTCAGTCCCTCCCTATTGCCATGTCGAAGAGATTCATAACTTTTGACACGTTCTTCTCGTCAAGGGTCAGCGGGGAGATCATGATCACCGCATCCAGCGAATCATTCATGATTAAGAACTTTACACATGCTCTCTACTCGGCCCCGCAAGTCACTGCCCTCGAGAGTGTTCTCGTCTGATCTCCTATGCCTTACCGTTACTTAGCATGGAAACCATCATCTTTTGCAGCACGTGCACTCGTCGTAGAAGCTCTTTAATTTGGACTCGTATAAATCTCCGAGGCACCTTAGTGATTGTGAGCACGTCTTCATTTCTGTCAAATTTTCGAAGTGTCTTTTGTATACCCGTCGAATTTACATGTTGATCTACATGTCCGACATCACAAATATCGGGCCATGGATACTGAATCACTCGTGGTGTCAGATTTCCCGTACTTTGCTCGAAGGCGAAGAAGGGTGAGCGCTTGAATGTTCACATACTCATTGCTATTACAGATTTCAAGAAATAAGCTAGACTATCATACCATATACGCAAACTCGTTCATCGGGCTCCTGCACCTGTGTCCAAAGCGGTTCATCTCCCTGGCACCAAACCGCACTGTGCCTGAAACGGAGACACAAAGCGAGGAACTCCAACCTTTCAAAGTATTAATGGTGTTAAGCGGAATTTTGGTGATCTTCTCGTCGTCAGTCCCCCATCCAACATGCAAATTAGCAGGAATGCCAGCTCGTGCAGCAGAACGTACGCCTTGGTTTCGTTTTAGAAACAGCAACCAGGCGATGACCAGGGACATGGGGATAACGGAGTACCGTTGAGGTTGCTTCACGGTATAGCTTTGAAACCAACCCGAGGGTGAGGATGTCTTGGAGCTCGAGACGAAAGCCGATCTCTCGCCAAAGCTCAGGATGCAGCACCGCACAGCTGATGCTGGGCGATGCATCGTTAGCTCCCCCAGCGAACGATTTCAATTTATGATCAGTGTGCCACTTGTCCATTCCCGGGTGCCAACGGCAAACTTCCATAGCACGCATAAAGAATGATGGTAAAAATCGGAGGGCGGTCGTATGACTGAACGCCGTTTCATGTACGTCTTTCACAACTTTGACAATCGCACAATGGGAGACGGAGAACGCAATCCCGAAGTAATCACCCGGAAGGTCCTTCTGCTCTAAAGTGGCATTGATCAGGCGTGACATGGAGGCCTGAAGACATCGCTCGTTGTGTAGGTGTGTTGCAATGCAAAAAAACGGCGTCTTCGCGAACACATGTGAACTCCAAGTTGAAAAATGGTATCCCGTTGACATAGAAAATATTGCGATCAAGGTCGATCTCGTAGACCTACTCGATGAAGAGGTCGTTGTGCGGGCGCTGACGTGAAATGTGAACCTATCTTTCCACGGTTGAGAACGTGGATTGCCATTCAACTTGTCCGACATCCCGTTCAACTTCTGCTGCTTGTTTGTGATTGCACGGGGAGATCGCATAGACTGAAGCATGTCCACGCCTGAGAAAGTCCGGGAAAGAATCGCAATGGTTATAGTAAATGAAATCCACATTTCGATAGCGGTACACATAGTACCCGCGAGTGCCCACGCCTGCAGGTAGGATGTCAAAGAGACCTAGACGATGGTCAGTTTATGAATTAAGTAGTAGGCACAGCGTACCAATCCTCCGGGGAGGCAAACTTAAGGGTGTGGATGCGTTAAGAGGTACCCCCGTCCGGTGCACAAGTTTGTTACAAGAATTGTTCCCAGGGGCAGAACGAGTGGCGGCAATACGTTCGGCCAACTTTGAATTTAGTTTGATTACGTGCGAAAGTGAACCGTGTACATTGACCACAACTAACCCCAACTTGATCTCCTTGCGGCAAAGCCTTGGTTAGATTGCCCTGGGGCACGTCAATGTGGCCCTTCGCGTCACAGTAATAGTAAGTACAGTTCTTCAACGTCTTGGAGGCTCTCACTTGCCTAGATATAGCTCATGAAATCAGTCAATCGGGAAGCACAATCTCCCCACGAGATGTCAGGAAATGGACTTCACTTGGAGACCATGACCATGCGACATGCAAAGCTCAAAGCGTAGAGACTGCGGGTCACGATATGACCATGTCCGCCTCTGGATCATACGATTCGTATGTGACATTTGTGTCCCTGACGTTTTGCTCTTGACTCAAGTTGTCGAAGGGAACGAACCGAGGACGCTTCCAGAGTGTTCCATCAATCAGCAGAATTCACGAACGACATTTCTTGTCTACCATCAACTTGCATCGACACGGTGATAATTCATCGTGGGACTCACTTGACAGTCGTTGGCCACTCGTGTCAGAAGCCCTCTATCAGCTCAAACATTTCAGTGGTATGTATATATTTCGAATTTTCGCTCGAGGTGGACCCGCAAGTGTTTTCCCTATCAGAAAGTCAGTCGGTAAGAGATCTATCATTCTGCCTATGCCATCACCAACTGTAACGAATATTCTAAAATTGCGGCATCATTCAGATTTTCAGTGATGCTGCGAGCTTAAGACATTCGTGTTCCACAGCGTGTACTTGAACCATATCGTGATCCGTTTCGGCGACTCGGGTCTTCCTCGTGTATACAAGCCGTGATGCGCGTTCGTCAATTCAACTTACCCAAACTGCCTAGGCATAAAATAGGGAGCTGTGCTTTCAGGTGATCGAGCAAGATCTCTTCGGTGACAACTATAGTGGTTATCAGTGACATGCATGCGGTAGATAATATCGCTACAACTACTCATCGTTACAGAACTCTTCTTTACATCGACCTCTGGTATATACTCTTGAACACGTTCTTATTAGGACAAACTTCAAGCAGGACGCCATCCTTCTCATTTGCTTCAATCAGTTGACAGCTAGACTCCTTAAATAATCGACACGGTAAAGGTTTGCATCTGTCGCGTCACCGCGGTTCAAAGGAGTCCACTTGGGCTCATCCTGCGAGAGTTTCTTATAAGTCCCATACGTAAAAAGGAAAGGAAAAAAGTGCAACTGCGAACCTTGAAGAGACGCAAAGCTTTAATCATGTTATTCTCGTCAAGAGTGAATCGGTGGTAGATGCCAGCGGGGAGAACCAAGAGATCACCCGCGTCTACCTGACAACGGATCCATGAATCTGAGGGATGTTCTGGATGATGAACTATCAGCGTATAGCATAGACTGGGTGATTCTCTACTCGCCTCGAACATCGAAAAAGCCGCTGCCCTCGAGAATATATCTGATCTCCTCGTCTTCATGCATGTGCCTGATATTGTTACTGAGCTCGGGAACTATGTTTTGGAAGCATGGCGTACTCTTCATAGAAGCTCTTTAACTTGGACTCGTATAAATCTCCAAGGCCCTGCTTGGTGATTGTGATAACATCTCTGTTCTTGTAGCTTCTTTCCTTTGCAACCGCCTCAATCTCGTTCTGTTGGCTCGTTGGGATGTGCCAGTGCAGTACTCCGGTAGACTTCAGGATCTCATCTGATACAGGGTTTCCGGAATCGTGCAGCAGCCGCTGGTCACCTGGAACGTTGTCGAAGTAGTAGGCACGCATGGTGATGGTATCGCTCCAAGCAGTGTCAGCGTCAATCTAAGACTAGTGATATTAGTAAGATCCTTATCAAATTGGTATGCTAGTAGGGACTGGTTCACTCTCCGTGTCTCAATTGTCAGCGATTCACCATGTATTGCACGCTAGAGTCTTGATGCATTCATAAGAGTCCACTAGCAAGCTTTGTTATCTTCGTGTGGTCTGCAAGTGGGTTCACCCAGTGGTCGCCAGCCTAAGCAGTAACCCTCTTCTCGTTGGATCATATACAGATGATTATACCTATAACAGCCCGAACTTAAGAGATTCTCGAACTCAAGAGTGCTGCGTGATAGCCATTGTGATACATTCAACATCAAGCAAGATCATCAAGTTTGACCAGAGACAATATCTTTTCCACCAGTTATGATACAATTCAGTGTACATTGTACAAGAGTTCTGCTCTGTTGCAATCTAGAAACAACCACAATGTCAATACACACGCCAACCGATTGTCTAATGAAATCAACACACCATCGACGCGAGACAAGGGCCCAAATCTGATTGGCAGCCTCCCAGCTGCCCCAAAGTTCAACTTTCGTGCCTTCTGTCGGATTTCCATTGTCAGACAGGTCTACGCTGAAATTCGTACGATGGGCCAATATCCTGCCCAGCGGTAAAAAAAAAATCAGTCCAAAACCAGATATAATAAAAAGGAGTATGCGTACCTAATGCCTTGGACGCCTGGGACGTCAGAGTCTCTGACGTCCCACTTGGCAGGGGACGAGGTAGCAATGACCTGGACGCCATCACGAAGCTCGCCTTCAAACCCAAGGAATTGTCCGGAGCCGACGGACTTGATGAACCAGCCATGGTCTTCCCCGTGTCCACGCTGCTCGAAGATCCACTACGGACCACGCAGCTAGTCAGTGCAACCCTTCTGCAGCAGTATGATTAGTGCATTACCGCCTGGTTGGGACCATTGTGGTCGTGATATCCGATGACTGCGGATTAACGCAACGTCAGCATTGGCTTTGAACACTACTAGAGTGGGGGTGATGCGTACTGGAACGGTCATCTCCACCCGAGAGGTCGAGGACAGTACCTCCCTTACAGTTTCTGAGAGTGTAAATAGCGTTGTTCTGAATGCAAGCCATGATGGTATGTGATTAGAATGCTGCCAACAGCGTCGTATTTATACCTGACCAGGGAATATGTCAAACGTTCGAACGGATTTCCAAGCTCCAGGTCTTCAATCACGAATCGATACTGAAAGGGGCTCGTTCATCCCGATGAGTTGGATTTTATCAGCAAGACGCCGCTATCGATGGCACTATGACGAAAAATCAGTGATCAGACAGGGGTTATCTTTGCGCCTCGGGGGTAATCGGGAGAGAAGCAGGCCCTCATGATGCTTGTACACGTAATCCCCGTCATACCAAGACCACTGCTTAGTTCTCGCCAAGAATCGACTAAGAATCAACTAGCAATCAACGATCATCTGCTAGTATGCGAGAACATCCAAAACACGTAAGTATTGATGGGATCCTATATGGTGAAATAGAGCTTGTCACCTCGACCTATCATACAAGGGACTTGCAAAGCATGTCTTCAAGTACTCAGTACTCAGGCACAATAGCAGCGTACGTCATGAACGCATCGACGTAGCTTCGCCGACCCAATCTGTGCCTCGGCGTCGGAAGGAGGCATAGCTGTTACAGGGGTGACCCAGGGCGGTTGTTTGTGACCAACGACAGCTCCAGCTCCACCATCTGGACCCTTTGCGCCTGCATTGAGATCCGGAGTCGTGAATGCGGTCGAGAGATCCACCACTCGCACAGTATCAAGCCTGGAATCTGTGGCGTTCTCACGCGGCTAATGTCCCGGTCGAGATCCCTGTCTGCAAATCCGCTCGCAGACACTGAAGAGGTGAGCATGCCACTCGCATGCCCCATCTCCTCCACCTTTCCTTCATTCTACTCGACAAAGACTGTGGAACCCAGTCCAGAGCGATAGCCGTAGGGGGTGCTAGTACCGCTGTTGGCTCCACTTCCTCCGTTCGCACCCACAGAGCATTCACATTGGTCCGAAGTGACGTACCACCGCTTACGACCCAGCGTTTGTCATGCAACCTCCTGGTGTCCTCCTCGAACCCACCGGGTCCTCGACAAGTACTTGATCCATCGAACGTTCCTTTCCCCCATCCACCGCGCGAAATACACACTGCCAGGGAGATCTGCGAGTTAATAGCCTATGTTCCAGTTCTCCAGTTGGACGAAATCATTGCCATGACCCGATTAGCCTTGTTTTTCGAGACACCCCTCTCCCACTTCAACCTGGGTGCTGGGCGTGAAGATAGGTGTATTGAACACATTGCCTACAAGATTTGCAATGGAGGAGAAGTTGGAAGCTGCGCCAGTGACGAGCATTCTTGCAGAGAGCGAGGAATAATCATATGAATCGAAAGAGACTCCAAGGCGGGATACGATGTTTGGGCGAGAACTTTGCCCTCATGGCGTTGAAGGACTAGATGTTTGTGCCACGTCCCCCCGAGACCGGCTGATATTCGAACTAAAAACACCAGTGGCGATCATCCTTGAGTATCGAAAGCGGAATGAGAGGACCTGACTCTCGAGGAGACACTAAGGATTTGCATGGAGGTCTCGGAATTCATTGACCTTGATACCAGTCTCGAAACGATAGATGCCTTTGACATGTGACACTGACTAGGATAGTGAGTAGCTGTCGCCCTGTAGGAGCCAAAAACTGAAGAACTTATCGTCAAAGAAATGTTTTGAATACATTTGCATGTACAAACCCTATGGTTCGGGCAACTAGCCGATCAAACGCTCTCCAGCTCTTCGTATTCGTGTCCCTTACAAGAGCACGCGGAGCGTTTCTGCAAATAAACACGAGAAGCTAATTCAGTTGTGAGAAGAGGCGGTCGCATACCTGGTGAGCATGGCGATGTATCGTCGCGTTTTCGCTAGCATCTTGAGCAGCATGGGGTAATTGGCTATAAAGTCGAGTTGGTAGGCAATGCTGAGTGGGTGTGAGGAGGGCATCCATTGGTCCAAATGAAAGCACTGTGTCTCCAGAGACAGACAAAGAGATGGGTATGAGGAAAGGTAAAGGGAGTCGCGGGTCCAATGCGGGAAATGAAGGGATGAGTGTCGATTTCCACGACGCGACAGACAGCATTCTGTAAAGTGGTATGTGTCACATCGGGACGCGGTCTTCACTTTTTGGATACGAACGAGTTACCAGAGCACAATCACGGATTGTTTTTATCCTCGTTACATTGTGATTCCTAGTCAATCTTTTGATCTGTTGCCGCTAACAATTAGACTCGTGACCAGTCCGTCTATGAGGCAAACCGTAAACGACCATTGCTTCTGTGGTACACGAAAACACACCTGTTCAATGTCTTCAGCAGACGCGAGTTTTTATAGCCTGCCGCATCAACTGCTTCCTGTTTGTTATCATGGAAGAACAAGGTTTTCGGAATCATCATGGAAGCTGCATAGTCAGGTGGGATGAGACAATCAAAGTTGCGAAAACTACGAGGGCCACCGATCAGAGGTGTTACAGCATAGATTATGTTCGGTCGATTAGTCGAAAGAGTCACTGAGTGATTGAATATAGTTGATGGGGAGCCGTTCTGCTATCAACGAGCGAGCGAAGGAATCTAGTCCATCCAATAATGCTTCCCGCACCGGTTGAATGATAGCATTCCGTCCATTGAAGTTGTAGAAGGGATACATACATATGCGCGACGCGTCGCACCAACATTCAAACATTAATTTCATTATTAAATCTTATCCATGTCGAAAATTTGAGTTTTTCCATTGGTTAAAGATCACGTTACTACTCTAACCCGCGGCGGTTGTCAAGTGGTACGTTTCGGTGGGCCTAACTCTACTACGGTTAGGCCCACCGAAACGTAACACTCGCAGTAACTCGCAGTGCTAACCGTGCGCCGTTGGTTCTAGAGTCGACAAGGTATCAAGGAGAGAGTAGAGTTTAAAATGGATGGCTCGGATAGACTTTCGTTCGTCAAAGAAGATGTGACGTCGAGTATTTAGCGTATTAGGCTCGAAGACGACGACACAATAAGAACACTCTCATGAGGTAACGGACGGGGTTGAACGTTGAAATCTGGTATTCTGGGGAACGAGAACGTTGCCCTAAGTATGTGACACTTACCCGTATTTAAGCTAGTGAGTTACGATAAGAGACGCCCGGGAAATGTAGGAAACGATAGGTAATGGTATGTATGCATGGCGTCTCTCACGAATAAGCATTGTAAAGGCACAAAGCCAGAGATAGGAAGAGAACGATCGTAATACTTGGGACTGGAATGGGATAGAAACGGAACGCGGCCGTTACAATGAGCTAGAGCATTTTTGGCCCATGGTATGGTCAAGGTGACTGTGATCGCAATAGTCAGAAAACCCCGCCCAGAGGGCAACTGCAGACGATTTAGTGCGATGAATACCTTATTTTGTGATGCAGTAGGATTGGAAATGACCGATTGTTGGGCCTGATTCTTTTGAGCACGGCGAAATGCAGCGTTCTCCGCCTCCGTCTCATCCACCCATTTCTTTTCATCGGCCCTCAAACCACCCGGAAAAAATACTGGAATCAGCGACACTCCAACTCCGCGTTCCAGCTCTTCCGCCTCTTGCAGAGCCTTGAAGACCTTATCATCGTGCACCTCACGGGGGCGTTCGAGGTGAAACCCAAGTGCAGCTGCGCTGCGTGAAGCGCCAGCGGCAATCAGGTTCTGAATCATGCCAAGACCACCGATTCCGAGTAAGAACCATGCATCATCTTGTAAGGTCTGCACAGTGAGGAGGTGAACGATCCAAAGGGTGGCAAGGATAAGAGTCATGATAGAAGTTGAACGGAATAACTCCAACCGCGCGGCAGCAAGGTCCTCAAGCCTAATCCCTGTCTCGTCACTAACAATAACAATGACACTGTTGCTACCATTACCACGCGTCAGACAGATAATCTCGCGCTTCCCCACTGGCCGTGCTTTCCATTTCTCTGCGCGCCACTTGGGGCAAAGCGCCGCCAATGAGCGCCAGTAAAGTGCCGCCGGCCGTGATTATGAAAATCAACCAGTCTTGACTGCGGATCACCGGAACGACAGAAATGACGAGTTGTGCAACGATAACGGCGATACCGCTATAGTATACCCAGTCTTTACGAGGAATACCAGCGGGTTTGGACTTGGAAGCGAAGTACATTGAAACAGTGAGACCACTATGACTCCGATAATGAGGGGACCGGTGGTCGCGCAGGAGTCGGCCGAGAGGCCAAGACATGTTTGTGCGAACGTATCCGTTTTCTGCGTTTACGACGATGGACGGACAGTCAGATGGGGGCATAAGACGGCCCTCCCCAACAGCAGAGAGCAGGGCGCTGAAGGAGTAGGCGACCCAGCCAAATGAGAAGGCAACGGGGGTAAAGTAAGACGGGCCGCTGCCTGCGAGCTGTGCAATAGCGCGCTGCACGACGTCGCCGCCGATGATACTGAGAACGGAGAGGACACCACTGGGGATTTTGCCATTGCGACTTGAGGTCGTGAAAAGACGACTGTCGGGGCCAAAGCTGTGAATATTGTGAAGGAGGCATCACGGAGATATTGAACGTTTACCGTCGTGAGCCAAGTTCAGATGCTCCGAATAATGGATCCGCTCTTATAGAAGCTTTAGCGCCCCAAACCTTCCTTCCACTCCAATTCCACTCCACTGTGTATCTGCGAGATCTGACGTTAGCCTATCATCAAAACGCACCTGCCGCATGTCGTGCTTTCAACCCCAAAGTTCAAATCGGTTCACATCGCGCCTATGCCAATACAAGTTAGGACCCTGGACGATCAACAATCTATCGGCATCGAGACTCGAGTGTGGAGACTTGCCACTTTAATATAAGGTTGTGATGTCCCATCATTCTGATTCATTCAAAATCGCGGCGAAAAGAGGGGAGTCTCAAAGGTACGTGATTGCAACCAACTTAGGAAATTTCCGACAAGAATTGAGTGGGCGACACAGAGTTCAGACGTTCCACGCAATGCCACCAGGGAATAGCTTAGTTGCAAGAACGACTGGTCTACAACAAGTGAGGTACTGGGGCTTTCGTAGGTTTCCTATAAACGAGACACGTGAAACGTACGGTATTACAGGCGTGCTCAGCACGCTAGAATGTCGTAGTCAAGAAATAAGTAACTGGCAAGAAGAAAGGGAAGGTTTCAAATGGGACGGGAGGCATGTGAACACATATTGTAAAGGGGAAAGCAAATTCAACAGCATAGAAGGCGACTCCACCGGGCGAATTCACCACCTCCAAGGCGGAATTCACGCGCCGGACCGGCCAAGCGGGAGCTCAAGGCACGGTACTGCGCATCAGACAGAATGACATAGGAGCGTCTGTAGACCGTCCCATCCCCGTTCTCCTCCAAAAGCAGGGCCCTCCCGAGATCTTTACCCAAATCCTGTGGAAAGATATTATGAAGCCCGGGATAGGGTCTCAGCTTGCCAATCAGTACGAGGTAAGCGCGTACTGGTTGATGAGGTCGATGTTCACGTATCCACCTGGAGCCGTCTGCCGCCACGAATGCAGGGGAAATGATCTTGTGCACCAAAGGCACAGCAGGGGCGGAAAATTTGAGGTATCCGCGATCATCCATCGACCCTGATGGGAGGTCATCGAGCCATCCTGTCCTAGCATCTAGCAACTCTGCCACTCGACGCCTCCCCAGCATTGCTGGTTTTGCCACAGACATGCGCGGAAACTTTGGGAATGCAGAGAGCCCTTTTACTGGGGGAAGAGAGATGAATGGAGCGAGCCAACTCGCGCGTTGTCCTTTCTGTAGTAACCCTTTCGCAAGGGCAATGGTTGCACTTTGCCGTTTGTCCTGGAGTCCTGAAGTCCTTGGGGTTGAGCGTTACTCCGAACGCGCCCATGATGCTGAACACAGGTATCCACGGGGCGTGAAGATGAACGCATCAGTGAGCATCGCCAAATTCCTTGACGATAAGCATCTTCTACCTCACTTAGAGAGCGGCGTGCTTGTGTAACAGCGAAGCGTGCTTCTGAAACATCGTGAGCTACTTTTTCAGGAGCGAAGCCCGCTTTTGTAGTGATAATGCGTTGTGTTTCTGTAAGATCGCGTTGTTTTTCTTCAACAGTGTCGCGTGCTTCTGTAACAGCGTGGCGCGCGTCTGTAACAGCGAGGAATGCGGTGACATGGGGATCATTTGTGCGACCGACGAGATTGATTAATATTTGATGCCCCCCCTGTTCTGTGAGGATAGGGAGTGTCCCGTCCTTCCCGAGGCAGTTGCACTGAAGGGCGATATCAAGGGTACACATGGCCGACTCTCCTGGGCTAACTTCGCTATAATGGAAATTGGCTCCGTCCTTTCCGTAGATATCCACCTTTCCGTGTATCCAACGAAACAAGACAAATGCGTTTTCCAGTTGTGCTATGGCTTCTTGGAACGTCCACGAACGCTGGATCCAGGTGGTGTCTTCCTCAACTCGTGCAAGTCTGCCCATTCCACCAGGCAGAATGATGCACATCCTACATTTGGAGTAGATGTCCCACATGTGCATGATCTGCCAGTCCTTGTCCTTTTTAGCCTTCTCATCACGATCCTTCTTCTCGGGAGTCCTGACATCGGGAGCCTCGTCATCGTGATCCTCCTGCAGCATGCAGAGTTTGTCAAGCCAGATGTACCTGCAACCTTTGGCAGACTTGTTCTTGAGGTTGTCACCGTCACTTGTAGCAGCCTTGCACGCATGTGTGAGGACATCGATGCTGACGGGCTTGTACTTTTTAGGGCCCTTTTCTCTCTCTATTTTTCCAGTGCCCTCGACAGTGAATGTGTTGTACGTGTTATTGTTATTGCGAGGTAAGCCCTCCCAGGGGTACGATATAGCTGCGTAGGAGTAGGAAGGGATATCGAGGCTGGAGATCTCGTGGATTGCGAGGACTTGTTCATTGAGAAATCTTCCGCAGTGGATGAGGCGGAATTTGCCAGGGGTAGCGTATGTGGAGATGTCTAGAGTAATACCTCTGAGTTCACCAAGTGGTATGGCAAAAATCTGATTATCCACTGTGTCACTAGCATCGTGCCACGCCTCCACGAACTTGTCCACGATTCGCATGTTGGGCGGGAGGACGAAAGGCGAAAAAACTTGGACAAGAAGGCAGACTTGGCAACACCTCTTATCCGAGCCGAGTTAGGGAACGAGGACTTCGCGAGACGACATCCTTTCATTTGATTCATGCTTGACGCGATGGAACATAGTATTAACATGCACCATGCACGTTTACATCAGAGGAAATATAAAAGGAAACCGTGGCTGTGCTGTCAAGAGGAAAACACTTGTTTCCGTATTGATTTCGACGCGAAAAAAAAACATATAGCAGACCATGTAGGGGCGCGATGTTTTCCAACACAAAAATCTATCCGTCGAACATGTGGGTGTGGGTGCATATACCAACAGGACCACTGCTCGAACACGGGTTAAATTACTTACCTTATGGACACGAAGGAACGATTGTCTTTCTTCGATTAGTCTAGCTAGAATAGCCTCGAGGCTTGAAGGCCTTCGCTTCAGACGCCGACAATCGAGGTACTTACATAAATGATTTGAACGTTAGGGTCAACACACAAATATTGTATAGCTGTGTATGGGAAGGAAGATATCGGGATACTCGTGGATTGCAAGGACCAGATCTCCCCCTGGATAATCCAGAAAGTCAGGAATTGACAAACTCTGGGCTACTCCGGGTCCGTCTGGCCTGTCTGTCTGGCTATGTAGGTCAATTCATGTTTTCAAATCGGTACAAAGAGGGTCACCTGGAACCATTGTAACAACATTGAATTTGTTTTACGATTCAGCGGTAGCCTACAATCTTGCTCTCGCGAGCCAAGTTTGTTATGTAGGTTCATCATCCCAACCAAAGGAAAGTGCTTGTCCTGAACCTGCAGCGTCAACCTCATGGTGATGGAAGTAATCATGAAGTATAGTGCTGTGGGGCCCGTATTTCATGGCTGAATCCTGATTCCACAGCCTATCGGGTTGGCAAGTCTCCACACTCAAGCATCGGTATCGATAGGCTGTTGGTCGTCCAGGGTCCTACCTTGTATTGACATAGGCGCGACTCCGGCGCTACGTGAATATACAGTTTGAATGTGGAAAGCACGACATGCGGCAGGTGGCAATTGATAATACGCTAGCGTCAGATTTCGTCAGATACATAACGGAGTCCCAGTAGAATTGGAGAAGGATGGTTTGGGGCGCTAAAGCTTCTATAAGAGCGAATCCGCATCAAGTTGGCCTTCCTGAACTTCGTGTCATCGACTCACGACGGTAAACATTCAATACTTTTGTGATGCCTCCTACACACTCACAGCTCTGACCCCAACAGCAGTCGTCTTTTGACAGCCTCAGGTCGCAATGGCAAAATCCCAGTGGTGTCCTTTCCGTTTTCAGTATCATCGGTGGCGTGCGTTCGGACTTGGTGGACCAGCCCTGCTCTTCTCCGCATACATGCTGTTCGAAGATCCACTACGAACCGCGCAGCTAGTCCCAATGGGTTCACCCAGTGAAACGATAACCTTATCAGAACCTACAACAGCCTTGCTCGAGCATCACAGCCATTAGGTTGCAAGCAAGCAGAAGGTTAACGTGTTCAACGTCAAGCAAGATCGTCAAGTTCTACCAGAGATGATATTTCTTTTTTCCACGAGTGGTATACGCACACGACAATTCACATTATGCGAGAGTTCTGCTCTGTCGGACTTGCAATCTAGAAACAATCACAATGTCAACACACACACTTACCACTTGTCTAATGAAATCAACGTACCATTTTACGAGGCACAAGAGTCCAAATCTGATTGGCGCCCGGCCAGCTGCTCCAAAGGTGAACTGCCGTGCCAGATGTCCCATCCCCATAGTTAGACAGGTCTACACTGAATTCCTTATCATGAGCGAAGACACATATCCTGTCAAGCGGTTTAAAAAATCAGTCCACGGCCAGACACGCACTAAAAGAAGGGGTGTGCCACATACCTAATGCCTTGGACATCAGAGTCTTTGATATCCCACATGAAAATAGTCGAGACAGCAACGAGCTTGGTGCCATCGCGGATCTGGCCATCAACCCCAAGGTATTTTCCAGAGCTGACAGACTTGATGGACCAGCGCTCTCCGCGGTGCTCGAAGATCCACTACGAACCGTGCAGCTAGTCAGTGCAACCCTTCTGGCAATGGTATGATCAGCCAAGTACCGCCTGGTTGGAACCACCGTTGTTACCATAACCGATGACTACAGGTTAACGCAACATTAGCACCTTGGGATGGAGTAGGGATGACGCTTACTGGATTTTTTATCCCCACCATGGAGGTCAAGGACAGTGCCTCCCTGAAAGTTCCTAAGGGTGTAAATCTGGTCGACCTGAATGTTAACCATGATAGTGGGTGCTCAAATTTCGTCAACGTTCGACTTGGACATGGATCTCGGCCCACGGTTTTCCAAGCTCCCAGTCTTCAATAATGAATTGATACTGAAAGTGGCTGGTTCATCCCGATGAATTGGATTTTATAAGCAGGGCGCCGCTATCGATGGCACATGGCGAAAGATCAGTGATAAAACGGGGGTTTTCTTTGCGCCTCGGGGGAAATCAAGAGATAAGCAAAGGCTACTAGCATCAGTGTTTGGACCCGTCGAAAAACTATTGTTGAATGATCCCTGTTAGGTATAGTCTCAGACTTCTAGTCCTCTCCACCAATGAGAGCGCTCGCTTAAGCTAGGGAAAGCTTCAAATTGTCAACATAACTTACATAAAAGAGAGGCCTTTCCCAGATGTAGGTCTCGTGCGCATGATGTTTGCACGCATAATCCCCGTCATACCAAGGGCATCATAACGAAATAAGTTTACGCCAAGTTGAAGAATCGAAACGCTAAGAACCGACTCGCAATCAACGATCATCTCCTAGAGCATACCAGAACATCCAAGACGCGTAAGTATTGATGAGATCCTATATATACAACAAATCGTGAAATCTTGTAATTTTTTGCACCAACTCACAATGTACAATACGAGAGCTTTTCACCACCACCCCACCAAATCATACAAGAGACTTGCAGAGCATGCCCTCAAGCCGGCAGTACTCAGGCACGATAGCGGCGTACGTCATAAATGCATCCACGTCTGCTTCAGCGACCTTCGCTAACCCGATCTGTGCCTCGGCATCGGAAGTGGGCATCGCTGTTACAGGTGTCAGGGTGGTCGTTTGTGGCACGGCAACTCCAGCTCCGCCACCTGGACTTCCTGTGCCTGCATTGAGATCAGGAGTCGTGAATGCGGTCGAGGGCGCTCCGAGAGATCCACCGCTGGTGACGGTATCGAGCGTAGAACCTGTGAGCGTTCTCATGCGGCCGAGATCCCTGTCTGCAAATCCACCCGCAAACACTGAAGAGGCGAGCATGCCGCTCGCGCGCTCCATCTCCTCTACCTCCTCTTCTTCTTCCTCGACAAAGACTGTGGAGCCTAGTCCAGAGCGATGGCCGTAGGGGGTGCTAGTACCGCTATTGGCTCCACTGCCTCCGTTCCCACCAAGAGGAGCATTTACATTGGTCCGAAGTGGTGTACCACCGCTTGCGACCCAGCGCTTGCCATGCAACCTCCTGATCTCCTCCTCGAATCCACCGAGTCCTCGGCCAGTGCTCGATCCACCGATAGCAGAACTACGCTCCTTTCCCCATATCCATCGCGCGAAATAAGCACCTCCGAGTGACGCACGACCAGGGAAGCCAGCAGCAGGTGCATTGCGGTGAGGTACCACTTGAGCGGAATCAACCTGGGTGCTGGGCATGAAGACGGGTGCATTGAACACATCTCCTGCAAGATTTGCAACGGAGGGGAAGTTGGCGGCTGCCCCAGTGACGAGTATTCTTGCAGGGAGCGGGGAGTAATCGTATGGATCGAACGAGAGCCCAAGGCTGGATGCGATGTTTGAACGGGAATTCTGCCCTTGTGGCGTTGAAGGACTAGGCGTCTGTGCAACGTTCCCCCTAGACCGGTTGATATTCGAACCAAGAACACCGGTGGCGATCATTCTTGACCACCGAAAGCGGAATGAGAGGACTTGACTCTCGAGGAGACACCGAGGATTTGCACGAAGATCTCGGAACTCGTTCACTTTGATACCAGTCTCAAAGCGATAGATGCCTTTGACGTGCGATAGTGGGTAACTGTCGCCCTGTAGGAGCCAAAAACTGAAGAGCTTATCGTCGAGACTATGAAGAATTAAGAGAAACGTTTCACATATATTTGCATGAACATACCCTATAGATCCACCAGGTGGCACGATGGCAACCAGCCGATCAAACGCGCTCCAGCTCTTCGTGTACATGTCTCTTACAAGAGCACGCGGAACGTCAGCGTTTCTGCAAATTAATGTGAGAACCTATTCAAGCTATGAGGCGAGGCGATTCCATACCTGCTGGTTAGCATGGCGATGTATCGTCGCTTTTCGCTAGCGTCTTGGGCAGGATGGGGGAATAGGCTATAAAGCCGAGTGGGTAGGTAATGTTGAGCAGGTGTGAGAAGGGTATCCATTGGTCCAAATGAAAGCACTGCATCTCCAGGAGACGGACAGAGGGATAGGTATGAGGAAAGGTAATCAGAAGTGAAGGGAGTGACGATTGTATCTGCAAATACATGAGCGCGTTGCACACACGTCGTAACAAATTAATCTCACCGGGTTCGAATCCGTATCGTTCGCATAGATACCGCGAGATATGGGCTGCCTTTCTTCCACCAGCGACCTCCACGTCGCCCATCCACGTTCGAATCCTCCGACCTTCTTCCCGACTTCCACCTAAGATCTCTAAAACACCCTCGTCCCAGCGCCCCAGTCCAGGCGCACCTTGTGCACCAGCGCCAGCATGCACCCACATGCCGGTCGCGCAGGCCTCTGACTCCCCCATGTTTACCCACTCCCCCACAATCATACTTGCAAGAAATTGGCTAGCAAGCTGTATCTTCCCCGTGCGTGACCAGACGTCAGATGTCCAGGACTCGCGAACACGGAGAAGTTGGGCAGCCAGGAGTGACGCGTTGGCGCATGTGCCGACGCGAGCAGCCATAAGGTCGGGCCCTCCAAGGAGGGCTTCGAGGGCGAGGGCATGGGTGTGTGCAGACGTATCTTGAGCGACTGGTGTGTTCGGTAACGAGAAAGTGTTGGGAGGAAGTTGAGAGTGAAAGGGGAGTCGCGGGTCCAATGCGGGAAATGAAGGGATGGGTGTCGATTTCCACCACACGATAGCATTCTGTAAAGTGGTACGTATCACATCAGGACGCAGTCTTCACGGTTTAATACGAGCGAGTACCTGAGCACAACCACCGATTGACTTTATCCTCGTGACATCGTGATTCCTAGTCAATTTTTCAAGCAAAAAATCTGTTGCCGCCAACAATGTTCAACCCGGTTATGTTTATAGGGGGGAAGTAAACAATATTTCCCGAGCACGTGATGGATGATCGAAAAATCCAAATTGGTTATTATAAGTCGAAGCAAAAAATTTGCTTCCGCCAGTTCACGCACCAAGAGCCTTGACCCACATATCTACTGGCGTAGTGTATGCATCTCCGGGAGTAGTGAAAATTCCTCCTTGTGTCCTAAAAAAATGTTAGCTTTCCAATAAAATGACGCTAGATGCGAGATGAAGAAAGCGCGTCGCAGTATTTTGGGAGAAATCCACTGAAAGTGGGAGACGGAGGAATAGGACATATGACACAACTTGGAGCACGTACTGATATTCTGGCAATTCTGAATCAAAATCAACGCATTCTACTCCCACTAGCTCCAAGCTCTCGTCCACGATCGATGCGCGCAGTTGATCGGTAGCAAGTTCAAGGCCAAGAAATAGGGCGGGACCTGACTTTGGACCTGGTGCCATCGTTAGTTGGATTAATTGAGGGTTCAGTTATGGATCGACGTCGTGATTGCAAATCTATGAGGTGGAGAAGATAATGGTATCGGGTATAACTGGCAGATGATGATATATTTTTTCAAGAAAAATTGGCAGGCAGATCGTCTGGCCCCAGTCGGCCACGGCAGCCTGTGGTCGTAAAGAAGAAAACAAGAAAAAAAGCAGAGAAGAACAATTATGAAGCAACGCAGCGAATTCGATTCTCAGGCTCGCGTCTCCAAGTGCAGGAGTACATGTTCATCCAGAGCAGACCGTTCCCACGCTGTTTACATACTATTTTTCTTCCTTGACCTCCTTGAGTTCATGCGCCAGTTTGACGACATCATTCTAAAACCAGTTGTTTATGAAGTCAGGCAAGAAATGACAGCAAACCTACTCCTTCACGAGTAATCTTCACAGCAGGGTCTCCCGTTCTCGCAATGCGAGTTACTGTATTGCCCTATGACATAGCCGCATATGAGCCGAGCGATAAGGAAACAGAAACGAAAGAAGACTTTGCGCCTTACCTTATTGCTCGTTACTTTAGCTTTACCCTCCTCGACGATCTCATCCACCTTTCCGGATGCATTCCCGCCTCCCCACCTCCACCTGTACAAACGGAGGGGTTTCGATGTCAGTTCACAACCGCCTGTATCAGTATCTGACGTACGAAACTTCTTGGCCTTCTTCAATTCTGTTTTCCATGTCTGTTTCTAGTAGCGGGAGGATGAGATGATGTTGGCGTTTCAACAGATTCGCACCCCCCTGAGAGCTCCGATCATGCATTCGGGCTGCAGCCACTACGTCATTTCTATCTAAACCACGTGTTTTTGCACATCTGAACTGAAACACGAACCCCTTGGCAGCCTGTAGGCGGTTGTGGGATGCGTATCGCCAGTACCCCGTTCCTACGTTTAGCTCACGACCATGCCTGACTGCTATTGATGTATTCCACGCCATTCTCTTGTGGACCGGCTGAACAAGCAATCACCACAATATTTGAGTAGATATATATCATTGCAGGCGTAGGTTTAGTAATCTACGGACGAGATCAGAAGAGCGCGGGAGCGTAGACGATGGTACAGGACAATGCAACGACAACAGTAACTTGCAGAAATACGTGACAACTAAACAGTAAGACGGCAACAAGGGAATAAAAGCATCGAGGGGTACAGAAAATGCAACAATAACATGGTCGATCGAATCTCTTACTAGATACCTATGTGAACAAACACGATCTGCTGTTCTAGCGGAATCTTCTTGCGCAACGACTTCACACCCTTGTGCAACGCTACCGCAGCTCGTGTGCAGTCCGATCTCCCCGAACCATCGACCAGGTTGTCGTAAAATGCAGACACGATCTGCCCTGCGATCCTGTCGTCGACAGACCACATAGAACCTATCACGCTGCGAAATCTGGATAATTGCATAGCCGCAGTGAGAGCCGTGACGAAGGCTGCATGAAAAAGCATTTATGGAAAGACAACAAGTGGCTACCCTGACGACATGGAGGTGGCGCGAAGAAGATGAAAAAAGAGCAACATGCTGATCTAGGAATTTTAATGCGGTCTGATAGGTGATCACTATAGAACCATGGTTCGTCTCCTCAGCAGAGGTGACCCACGATCTGGCAGCATAAAGATCGTAACGAGAGACTGTAGGAGATGCTTTGGACAGTTGTGAATAAAGATTAAAGGCCTCGTTCAAGTTTAATGATAGACCCTGCCGCTTGAATCTATGGTAAATGGTGCTCGCAAGGCTCAGGAGAGAACCAGATCGATCATAATGACCGGAGGGACGGAGCACCAGTGCAGCTGGATAGAGCTCGATGGCCTCATCAAGGTCAGACATGACACCCCGTTGCTCGAACCTGGCTTCAAGGCTGGAGGCAAGGCTGGTGAGAGATCCAGGTCGATCAGAATGGCCGGAGGGAAGAAGCGCCAGTGCAGCCTGATGGAGCTTAATGGCCTCATCAAGGTCAAACAGGATGCCCTGCAGCTCGAATATGACTAGAAGGCCGTTGGCGAGATTGTTGCGAGAAGCAGATTGATAAGAAGAACCGGGGGAACGGAGTGCCAGTGCGGCCCGATGGCGCTCAATGGCCTCATCAAGGACAGATAGGACGCTCCCCTGTGTGAATATGTGCTGGAGATAAGCGCCAAGGTGGTTGAGGGACACGTTGAGAGGCTCGGATTTATCAGGATCGCCAGGAGGAAAGAGCAGCAGGGCATTTCGATGCGAGGGCAAGTCCGTCTAGAACCCTGGGTCGATCAGGATGACTGGGAGGATAAAGTACCAGTGCAGCTCGACCACGCTCAATAGCCTCATTATTGCCAGATAGGTCGCCCTCCTGGAATCTGTCGTGACACCTTTCGGTAAAGTCGCTGTAACAGGTGCAATGTGAATGGCTAGGGGGACATGATTGCAAGGCCGGTAAAAACCGCTCCATGCCGCTTGCTATGTTATTGTACCGAAAAATAACAAGTTGAACAATGGACTAGGGGTTCCAAGGGCAAGGGCCACGCACCTCGACCATTTCCGTAGCTTAGTCAGCACATGGGTCACATGTTCGCAGTGTAGCATCACACAATCTCAGTCGATCTGCATGTCATCTAGGTCTCAAGCATTCGACACTGCTCCAACGAGAACGCAAACTGTCAAGAATGCGAGTAGCAGAACGGGGCGAAGACAATGATATCGATATTGCAGCTGTTACTGCTATGCGTCTTAGCAAGGTAGATAAAGGGGAATATGGATACGCACGGAACGAGTAGAAATTCGAGCACGAGAACAGCGGAAACCTGTGAGGGCGGTGGGTTTTTCAAGCTGGGCGCGCCAGTGCTTAGTATACGTTATGAGTAGTCGCACAATAACCGCTAAGATCACATGTAAGCTGTGTGTGAGAGACTATGCGACAAGGAACCCGCCGGAATGGTTGTCAACAGCAAGAATACGATACTTACGGATCAAAATTAAGTCTGTAAGGTACTGACACCTCCTTATACTGCATTACACTCTGACAGATTAATGGCGGTCATTTTACACACAGCAGTATGGAAACAGCAGGACCTTGGGCCTTGGCATGAGAAAACCCAGCGACGTGTCGATATTGAAATTCTGCAAATTAGGAAGGTATACTGAAAAAACATTGGAAAAACATGAGAGATTTCACAAGGATTGCAAGCAACAGGATTCATCATGTGACGCAGGGTACTGGACGCGAGGAAGGTGAGGGGCATAACAAACCGAGGACTATTCGCATCCAACAAGGCTCATCCATGTTCTACATTGCTCCAAATCGTCCTGCAGAAAATTTATGGGCTGATCATTACAAAAAATATCATGAATGGCGCTCACGTCGCGTATTTGAAGCACATCCAGAACATCCAGAACGACATGCTGCACAGTACTCATCGCCTCGCATACATACGCCTCCCAGGGAACTGCCTTGGTTGCGTTATCTGGTGTGCAAAATGACGGGGCCGGGCAACGACAGTACGAGTTCCGTTGGAAACGCCATGCATCCAGATCTGCTTCAGCTTTGTAATGGCGAGCGATGGCGATGATGAGACCGTCGAGCAGGGCAGAGGCCGTCAGCAGCGATACAGGAAACTGTAGAAAGTCAGGTTCTGAGGGGGTCAGACGATGCTAATGCTGATGGTGTTCGACTAAGAAAGACTACCTATCAAGGTATCAAACAGCCTATCCCATGTTTCAACTTGTACCGACTCCCAGCCATTCTTCAGAAGTGCTGTAACCTTCCGTAGCGTAGGTAAAGCTAACCAGAGTTCATCCATGTAACCTTGTGGTGTGATGCTGCCGAGACTGAAACCGCAAGCAGAAAGTATATCCCGTTGTGACACCTAATGAGTAACCACGGTATTAGAAAAACGAGACTGCAATTGGCCCAAGATGTGTCGATTCAATTATACCTCAAGGTCCTCGTATGATACGGAATGCTGTGCGAGGTTCAAGAATTCGTCCGCGCATACGGGACTGAGTGGGGCCAGAAAGTCACGGTGGAACTACCAAATGCAAATGAGGGTCTATCAATGTTGATCTGCAAAGAATCCTACCTTGACACAGAGCGCTAAAGATCCAAGAGCGATATCCCAGGTGACCGCCTCCTGACCGTCCTGCCAATCATCCGACTCGGACTCATATCCGTTTACCTGTTCTCCTTTCACCACGACGGTGTCATCAGATCCAGGATCCTCTTCATCATCTAACTCTTCACCAGTGAATTCGTCATCGCTATCTCCAGAACTCGAGGAGTCGCTCCCTCTTGAAGATTGGACGGGCGACTCGATTTTTGACAGGTTGATACTTAATTTCTTCTCTGTAACACGGAAGAAGTATCTGTGGAAGAGATGAACCGCGTGAAACCTTGTGTTTCGACAGGTGTCTAATTGGTCAAAAAGGTCATTGATTTCCGTATTGCCTTTCTGAGGGATGTTCGGGAGGACCTGTGTTTCTGTCAGCAAGGCCTTTCACAAAAAGCAAATAGACTCTTGCATCCAACATCCAACCAACTATTTCTTTGCGGAAGCCATCATCGATTCCGAGCGCCCTTGTCCATCGTTCACGACGCCGAGACTTCTCTGTGCCCAAAGATGGATCCAAGTTTTGACTCGCAACGGATTCGGATTCGGAGGTGGAAATCGAGCTTTCGTCTGTCCAGTATTCGTCGCCGGATACGGAGCTCTCACTCTCGCTTCGGTTGGAGCAATCATCGGGAATTTGAGGAAGGTCCAGGCCATCGCTTTCACGCTCTTCTCTTTCTTTCGTGAGAAGGATCTTGATCCGGTCTTCCGCCAAGTCTTCTTCGCACTTGATAACAAGAGGGCTAGGACGCATGGGAGGCGCGATGATGGGGACGCGTGGTATCTTCGGCAATTTTTTGGAGGACGCACGGACGGCTGGGGTACGTGAAAGGGGGTTTCTCTTTGCACGAAGATAGCCAGCTGTGTCAGGAAGAGGCGTAGTTGGCACAGTAGGGGGGTATATAGGCGAATCGAGCCGGGATGTTCGGTGCACGGCGTTTGAAAGAACTGAGTCCGGGTCGTCCAAAAGCTGTTCAATGCACGTCGTCAACTTGCATCCGACGGGAAATCCACGGGCATTTTGACAAGAAATCGTTTCAACGAACCTTGACTACGTCCTCATCGTCCCTTTCAGTGGAAGTTTGGGAAATGAGAGACTGGGCTCTGCGTAGACTGGCTGGTTCCTTCGAAAAAGCAGTCCGTATCTTGGGTAGATCAGTGCGATGACTGGCTAGACGGCCGATCCTGGCTTTCTTTGGCGGAGGTTCCTGCTCCGCAGATTCTCCTAGGTGTTCGAGTAGGAGAGTTCCGCGCTTGTGAAGACATCCTTTGCTCGGGCCACCAACGGTCGAGTGGGGTCTTGATAACGACTTTGCCGTTCTCAAGGTCTTGCTGGTCCTTGAACGACTCGATGGATGGGCCTTGATATGATAAGAACTCGAACACCGCTCAGAGGACGCGACTATAGACTTCTTCTCCAACTGGAGTCTAGTGGAAGGTGGTGGATCCCCTTGATAACTGAATTGGACAAACGGAGTGTTCGCTTGAGCGTCACTAAGAAGTCGACGTTTCGTGCTCAGGCGGTCCGAGATATCAGACTCTGCTTCAGCATGAGCAGTGGGATCCAGGAGGTATCTGCAAGAGCCAGAAGAGGAATGAGAGATCGTCTCCTCGTATTCATCCCCACGAGGGGATGAATCTTGATATGCAATCGGGGAGGAAGAAGGTGGGGGAGGGCTTCCAGATATGTCGTCTAATCCGTACTCGTCGTCAGGAGTGACTGGAGACACTGGATTATCTGGAAAATCAAAAAACGGGTATCCAGGATGGATATATGCGCGTCGATTGGAGCTCATGGTGCGTTCAGTGGGGCTTCCTTGGTCAACCGACGGGATTCCGATACGTGGTAGCTGCGATATATCGTGGTGTCCTCCGGTACCAGCTGACGGAGAGCTGGCTGGTGTGATGGTGTTGCTTGAGTAGCTGGAAGACCTGGATATCGAGCTACAAATTTTTGACTCCTCCATATTACTTGACCGCCTGAGTAGCTGTTTAAAAGTCGAAAAGTTAATACCAGCTCTTCAAGTCGTCAGGAGAAAGACTCGGATACGGGAAGTGGCTAAGTATGAATTATTTCAAGTCTTACGTATGCATACTCCCCCAAGAATGGTAATAAAAATAAGTCTACTACGTAGTACAAACATAGTACTAGCATGCAACTTTTGATGGGCAAACGAGTGTGTATCAAAAAAGAGCGTGTAACACGCGGTATGGTGTTAGATAGATAGGCTCCAGGCCATCTCACTAGTAATCGTATCCAGTGATGACACTATCACAGTTGACGAAAGATCCAACTTTTCCACCGCTTGTCTGCAATTGAGACCAATCCCAGATGCCTATCATAAATTGTCTGTCAGAAAAGAACTGTGGGAGGCTGAAACTCGTGTACCTGTGCACGATCCACTGCCACAGTTCACTGCGGCCATGTAAGCATCGTTCTGGGCCAGCAATGCGGTGGTGCCGGGGTTAAAGTTGATATTCTATGAGACAATTCTGTGAGATCTTCGTCAACGTAAAACTGAAGGTAACATACGGAGATAGTGACCCCGTTACCTGGAGTGCCGAAGTTGGAGGGATAACTCTATAGATGTGTTATATGATTGACCGATGGACAAACATGAGGAAGACAGTACCTGGGTAATCAGAACGCCATAGTCGGTACAGTTGCTTGCAGTATTGGCCTACCAGAAATTTAATCCACAATCACCATCATCAAAAACCACTCACTGTATACGTAACATTGCTGACAGAACTTTTTTTCGCAGATTTATCAGTTTTGATACGGAACGCGAATAAGCTGCTTATATCAGTACAACTCTAATTCACCCTTTTTCTATAGTCACCTGTCAACGACATTATTTCCAGAGATCGTGATATCGGAGACAACGACATTTGACGAGATGGAGCCCTAGATAATAAATATTCGAATAATTTAGTTGAAAAAATGTGAAGCAGCTCACGATGGAGATACCGTGACCACCACTACAGTAGTTGCCAGTAACGGTAATGTTTGTTCCCTTGCCGATAGCCACACAATCGTCCTGCAAAAAGAAATACCTTGTAGGCAAAGGGAAGTGCCAGGCTCGATCGTCAAACGAACCTGATTGAATACTTTGCTGGATGCCCGAGGATGTTCGTAAGTCAACAAAACACGACAACGTAACTCCAGCATAGACAAACCTGTTTTGAATGATCACATTACTACCGCCAACGTCAAAGCCGTCGGTGTTGTGTCCTATTCGGGTGGTAAGTTCAGAAACCGCTGGGTGAATGGTTGTGCCCACTCACCAGCTGGGAGACCGCCACTGTTCGAGTTAGCATAGTTACCCTGCGCTGTTCTTGACATCAAAATAAACGCCCCGCTACAAATATGTAACTACGCACAATCATCGACTGTGACGCCAGAGATTGTGATAGGTCCTGAATTTCCAATTGAGAAAGATTGGGCGGGAGAATTCACGACATGAACATCCTGAATAGAAAGATTAGCCATCTGTCTGGGGCGGCTGGGGCGACTCGAGCGCACGTTTAAGGTACCCGAGATCAATATGCTGGTAAAAGAAACTTAAAAAGAGAAGTATAACAGTATCTGATGAACTTACTGCATCATTGGGCGTGGCTTTGTCACGCCCCCACCCGAGCCCTGACCATCCTGCAACAGTGTAAGATTAGGAGATAATACTCGCACGTGAAACAGCGTATTCACCCAATAGAATGGTCCTCCACCATCCCATTTCTGGTTATTTCCATTGACTGAGAACCTTAGGAATCGCCACAACATGTGCACAAATCACGTACAAGTGATGTCGTTGCCTCTGTTGAAGACGATGGCCTGGGTCAGGTTCTCTGAGGCGCTTCAAGTGGTGCCTACACTCACTTGACCTGGAATAGGGGACCCGCCCAACTCACGTTTCCGAACTGAATCTCACCCACTAAACGGAGTCAGGCATCGAAAACGCAAAGGAACTCATCATGCTCACAAACATTGACAGTGGTACCGTCCAGCAAATTCAGCTCGAATGTTTGGCCAGCAGGAACTGTGAATGCGTTGATATTCACTGTCGTACATTCGACGGCACTGCTAACGTCGTTCAAGGACGAGATTGTACCGACGCAGCTACTCTTGCTGGCTGCGGTGGCTGCAGCTATCCCAGCCGCGAGAAAAAAGAAAGAGGGAAGCATGGTAATTAGTATCATGAACAACTTGGAGCCGTATATTTAATCTGCCAGAGAAATACGGGAGACACGATACGTCAGGATTCCTCCCTATACTTTGCAGATGCGATCATCGGACTTTTGGTTGCGGCGGAGTGGGAGGTAGAACTAGGTAGAGCCGTCATAACGCCTAATGCCAACGTTGCACTGCAACAAGAAGTTAGTCTTCAGTAGCCATGCAACTGCAACTGCAGAACACCCGAACGAAATGCCGCGAAATAGGGTCATTATTTCGCGGCATTTCGTTCGGGTGTTCTGCAGTTGCATGGCTACTGGAGACTAACCGCGAACAGCTACTCACGCGAAAGGTCCATTGGCACCCGTTCTTATCCGCTCTCAATATTTTCATGAAACATCGTGATTCGTTGGGCGGCACCGTTGTCGTGGTAACCATATCGACCGTCATATATGTGCATTAGGTCAGCCACTGCTAGGGGTCTACTTACATACCTCCAAATACTTTCTCTAGTAAGTAGTACCAGCTGGTCAAGGAGATCATATGGTGAAGAAGCAGGCAGGGGTAAGACTGGGTGAGAACACAATGATAAGGCTGCTGCAAAACAGTTGATGAAGGCCCGACGGCCGGCCCGCAGTTGAACTCGTCTGAAGTGTCGCCGCAGACCTGGGACAACGCAGTCCAACCGTCTAAGCAATTCGGCCACAATGATTGCTCAGGATTGCCCCCGCAATATATCTTTCCGGGTAATGATTCATGATTCATGTTACCCAAAGACCCGAATGGAGGTGTGATGCCAGTGATGAGGCGTGAACGGACGAGCGCAGTTCACATTTTTAAGCGTGGTGCCATGATGACTCGGCCAGATGAGTCGGACGTGGTACTACATCTAAAGCCTACATTCTCTCTCCGCGAATGTAGCACCTACTTAAGTGCATTGTCAATTATTCCCCACTCAATGAGTTATTTCAAGTAAGAATGGATTGGGGTAAAGGAGCATATAACACGTACAGTTTTTCTGATGGTATCCAGTGATGAGATCGTAGTTAGGCATCCGTCCCACCCTGACTGAGGGTGGCTATATAGGTGTGTGTAACTTGTATACCTGTGCATGATCCCTTGCCATAGTTCACTGCAACCATGTAAGGATCGTTTGGGACCGCCGCGGAGGTACTAGGATTGAAGTCGATATTCTATGAGACGGTGCCGTGAGATCTCCGTCGCCGTAAAACGAGGGTGACACTTACGGAGATAACAACACCGTTTCCTGCCTGAAACCTGGGGTATCCGAGGTGTCAGGATAGTTCCTGACGGGCAAGCATGAGTAGGTAAAATACGCCATTTAAGCACCTACGATCATGCCAGAGAATGAGGCTTGTTTATGAAAGGAAATATAAGCTATGTGTCTAGCGCGACTCGAGCGCGTACATCCAATATGCCCAAGAGTTCGATTCTGGTGAAAGTAAACTTAGATTGAAGTATAACGGTATGTAGTTGGTAAACCTACTTCCGCCATTTGCACCCTTATCATCCTGCAACAGTGTGAGACGATGAGATAATGCTCGCAAGCCAATCAGCGTAATTACCCCAATAGATCATCCACCATCCCACATGTGCTTGTTTCCAAGTGATATCGTTACATCTGTTGGAGATTATTGCCTTTCGCAGGTTCTGCTGCCGCCCCAAGTAGTACCTACACCCACTTGACCTCGAAGGGGAGACCTACCCGGCTCATGTTTCGGAACCGAATTTGATGCCGACCCACTAGTATGACAGCAGCGAGTGAGTTGCTCTCCCAGAGAGACTCGGAGGGCGAGTCGCTCACTGTTGTCATACAATATAAATAGTCGGGTATTTTAAGGATCCAATTACGCTCACAAACGTTGACAGTAGTGCTATCCAACGGCTTCAACGTCAACCTGTTGCCAGCAGGGGTAGTGAAGGCATTGGTGTGGTGCACTGGAGAACATTACAGACGTCGGCCAAGGACGAGATTCTGCCGACACAGCTACAGCTGTTAGGTGCGGGCGCGGCAATAACGGGCACGAGAGAAACTAGAGCGAACAAAGGAAACGCGGGGATGTGTGAGCGAATCGGGTCTGAAATTTGTGGAGGAACACGGTAGAAGGTGTCATCCTCTTTGCGTATACTTGACATCGCGGCGGTCATACTAAGCAAAACATGAGAGGTAGAATTACAAGGGACGAGCGCTGCAAAAAAAGAGGTAAGTTACACCTGGCAACTTTCAAGTGGTACACGAAATGAATACTTTACCAAAATGCCAATCAGCAGGCTCCAGTATAGGGTGAAGCACACAACGGAACCACCAGAAAGAACGACCAATATACAACAGGCGACTATTGGACAACAATAACGTGGATGCGGGTTTGAGACATTTTGAATCCTGGAACGCGCCAGTCCACAGGGAATCTAAGTGACCTGACCGGTCCCCAGAGCACTCTATAGAGCGTAGCATTACATTCCCGTTAATGCACTTGCAAAGGCTGCAAAACGTTGGCCTCCCCGGTGTAGAAAACTAGGAGGTGCAGTGGAAGTGGAAGAAAGGCACTTCTGCGTGTGGCTGTGCCAGTAGGTTGTCACCTCAGCGCTTCGGTTCTTGAGCTCACCTCCATATCCTCGTTTCCATGTCATACTTCCTTCCCCACCTGCCCAGCGGCTGGCACGTTGATGAAGCCATCAAATCCGAAGAGGACCGTGTCGTTGTGATCCGCTTTGGTCACGATTGGGACCACCAATGCATGACGATGGACGAGACCCTCTACGCAGTCGCAGAGAAAGTGCAGAACTTTGCAGTCATCTACCTCGTAGATATCACTGAAGTCCCGGACTTCAACAAGGTGTGCATGTTCCAGGTTTTATTGTGATTGCGCTAATCGTTGCTTGTGGCGTAATGGTACAGATGTACGAGTTGTATGATCCGTGCACCGTCATGTTCTTCTATCGGTACGATCTTTATACTCGGTTGCTTCATCATACGTGCAGCTGAAATATTGCGCGTCAGTAACAAACATATCATGATTGATCTTGGAACTGGTAACAACAACAAGATGTACGTGGCCCATCCACCTTGCACATTGACCTATCTCAAACATTGCATCACCTGCTGTTGTAGAAACTGGGCAATGAATCAAAAACAGGAGGCACGTTATGATTGGTCTTTGTGGGCACACTTTATTGATGTATCTAATCACAGCTGATTGACATCATCGAAACTGTTTATCGTGGAGCCTCCAAGGGCCGTGGTCTTGTCGTATCCCCCAAAGGTTTGACTTTGATCATCGTCAGAATTACACCAGGGCTCATCATCACTTTCTCAGATTACTCCACACGTTACAGGTATTAGATTGATGTCCGCGCCTGTCGCGTTTCTGCCAAATTATGTAGAGCAGCAAATGTGGTGTATACACGTGTGTTTCCCCCTTTTACTGCCTTCGAATGTTCAAGAATAGATATGCTCCATTGAACAATCATTGGAGCCAAGGTTCGACCTGAAAGGCTGTTCTCCTCCCTCGGCTATCGCTCCCAGAGAATTGTGGCATAGCATCCCATAACGCCACAGGTAATGCACGTATTCAGGGTACTGCAGCACGCTGCACGAGTGCCAGGAGAGCTACTTCCTCCAAATGCAGCAAGTTTACTATTTATTCTCAAGGACACATGGACGCTCCGATTCGGAACATAACTATTCCAGGAAAAGACAAGGACATATACGTTGTAGACATCCCATTGTGCAACTTGAAATATCGCGCCAAGCTTTTCGCATGCATTGCCTGAGAGCACCCTGATACCACGAGTCCGATCACGTAGAACCATTCGACAAACAGCGATTGGAAAGTCAAACTCCAAAAACATGCAAACCCACTTGGTGCGCGGCCTCTATGTTTTGAACACCCACTTACACGTGTCTGTCCCATGTGCGACATGTCAAATGCTTGATCAGGGGTTGATAACAACGTTCAAATGCAAACGCCAGCCAAGCTCTCCAGTACGCCGCATCTAATTGTCAACGCCACTCACGCGCTATGGCTGTTTATTCGCTCGCAATGCGTGCCAATTATTCACCTGAAAGTCCATGATCTATCAGTTACAACACGAGTGGCGTACTCGATCAAGCTACCACCGCCAGCGATGGCGGTACCATCGATGGTGGCTGGCCGATCTGCGAGATCAACCTTTGCTGATGTTTGTTGAGGGACGATAGCAATAACGGCACGAGTGGTTCGTCATTCAAGCCACGACGATGGAGTTTGGGACGTGTCAAGGGAGCACTCATTTAGGGTCTTTGAATTCTTCTGATAGCCTTCAAAGGACTGCGCCGCTTTCTAACAAGTGTGCCTTTTCCAGTACAAATAGTATACATAGTATCAACTGAGTAGTAAGACGATGGATGATTACTGAGGATGGACAAGATCTATAGGAGAATGCATATAAAGTTGGAACGTAAAACGACAGAGATGCTGCTCTAAGGTAATACCACTGGACTACTACATCAACTTACGAGACATCAGGGAATGCATATGACGTTTTGGTCGATCGACCGACCCCCGTCAAAGCACTGGGTGTCAATTTCCAGTACCCCGTCTCCGTACGAAACAGCGGGTCTTGCGTACTGGCAGGCCGGCTTTTCCTGAGTATGCCTTCGGAAGGCGTCCTCTCGCGAAAAGAGTTCGCTGCACGTCAAACAAATCCATCGTTCTTCAAGGTGTGTTGAAAGTACATGGCGCGGCAGATTGCCTGGTTTCATCTGGAAATCGAAACAATCCACCCAAAGACAGGGTATTCTGTGTGTTTCCTCGTTTGTAGCGCTGATGTTGACACCATGGCGTTGCTGTAGGTGTTTGGCAACGTGCCTGTGCTCTACACCAACGTGCATCGTGCAATTGTCCCACTTACATGGGTGCACTTTGACTTTGGCGCCATTCTCGTGCAGGAGATCCTAGTCAATCAGGATGGGATTTACCCCGGTATGCTCCTGGGGCATCGCATGGGCTGAAACAAAGGACAGTCAGCCGCCAAGAAATGATAGAGAATGTACTTACTCATGGAGTAGTTGCGAGCCGGATGAAGGAGCGAATGTCTGCATTCGTCTAAGGTCTGCCTATGGGAGATTGATGAGGCTCTGCGCAACTAGTTGACTAAGCTCAAACTCGGTCGCTGAGCAAGAGGAAATTGACAGTCCTTACGAATTGAGTTCATTGCTTATAGATCGATTAGTAGAGATTTAGTTGATTTGTACTTTATCGATTATCGATTAATGTATGTGTTTGGATTGTTACAAGTCTAACGTCGGGCCCTCAATCCGATCGGCGATACTCGGATCCCACGGTCCTTGGACTCTTTAGTTATCTGATAACTTTTTCGAACTTCATCAATAAGCACAGTCGTGAACTGCTTCTCTTCCAAGTCCCGTAACGTGTCCATTTGCGCAAAGGCGCTCCATTTGCCTTCGATGTCCATGCACACAAAGTCCCACACGAAGACGGTCGTCGTCCTGGGCGGTTCCTATGGAGGTGTGTCATTCAGCATACGTCAAAACTGTCAATTTGGCTGACCCTGCATCCTCCTGCCATCCTCCTCTAGGCTCCAGAGCCGCCCAAATTCTTGCAGAGGGTCTGCCGCAGGGTTGGAGAGTTGTTTTAGTTGATAGAAATTCGTGCGTTGTTATGCCTTCCGATTAAGTGGTCGTGTTCCGTTAACCTCCGTTATTCCTCAGACATTTGAATCGTGAGCTTTTCTGCTTTCGAGCTAGAAGGAGAATTCATTTATGCGGTTTTAGATGTTTATAACTTTTCTAGATACGCTGTTCTCGCCGGCCACGAGCATAAAGCATGTGCGTACCCTAACACCGCTTCCACCGCCCTGGACGGACTTAACCCTCTCTGTTAGTTATTCCATACAATAATCTTCCCTCTAGTTCTCTTCCAGACATTCCTTCATCTTCGTCTCATGTTCGCGTGCAAGCAACCATCACCTCCATAGACAAGCATTGCATCACCCTCTCTCCGAATCTACCAGATCACGAACAACAACAATCATCCCTAGACTTCAACTATGCTATTTATGCTCTCGGTTCCCACTTGCCTTCGCCAATAGACCTCTGGAGTCACAAAAGAGAATGCGGAGTGAAACCGAGTTTGGAACCACCAGGACTCGGAATATCAACATATGGAGGAACGAAGTCGGAGGGTATCTCATCCCTCCGAGAACGCCAGAAACGCGTCGAGGCTGCCACATCTGTGCTGGTCGTAGGTGGCGGCGCGCTTGGTATCCGTAAGTCGCGTCTTCATACGTACCACAGCAGGACGCGTTTAACTATATTTAGAGTTTGCATCCGACATCGCTGCCGTGTACCCGCAAAAGCGAGTCACACTTCTGCATTCCCGACATCGTTTGTTGCCAAAGTTCGATGACACAATGCATGAAGAAGGTGAATTCCGTGTTTTAGCTATTGAAAGATTTTAACTAAGCGATGCATATGACACAGCCCTTCAGGGTCTGCAGGAGTTGAATGTTCGGGTCGTTCTCGGAGAGCGACTCGATTTTGAGTCTCTCCGACATATATCCGCTACGAAAGGGTCTTCAGAGCCACGCATAGTGCGGACTCTATCAGGGCAGGAAATATCTGCCGACCTACTGGTAAGCTTTTGAATTTCACGAGCGTCAAAATGACCTAAATGAGCCACTAGCTCCTATGTACTGGTCAAATACCGAACACGGGGCTCCTTCGGGATATGGACCCTCGTACCATAGTCCAAGAAACCGGACTGGCATCCGTTCTGCGGACTATGCAGCTTCATGTCCCACCACCTACTCCTGAGCCTCATGATTTTGAGGCAGATACCGATGATGATGTACTACATTGGTTGAAAAATATATCTCTCGGCGCAGAAGATTCAGAAGAAACGGGAGAGCCAGAATCGTACCCGCCGTCGGCATCCACCACATACGCTGACATTCCTTCGACACCATCTTCTCCACGTACCCTCTGTTCTCCGTATTCCCTGTCGCCTCTGTCATCCACGAATACCTTGGTTGAGGCCGAGCCACCCCACGAAACACTATACCCAAATATTTTCGTCGTGGGCGATGCAGCAGACGCGTTTGATGCAATCAAAGCTGGACATACAGCTTATTACCAAGCGGAGGTCGCCGCGAGGAACATCCTACGGCTCATTTATCGAGATGAGAAATTTGGGATTGCGGTCGAGAACGGCCTAGACTCAGAACTCGAGGAATACGCGCCTGGCCCACCAGCCATCAAAGTAACCCTCGGCTTGACGAAGTTGGTATATGAGGTGGACGGGGTTGTGGGCACGAAGGATGATGGTGTCGAGGATCTGAATGCTGCTGTTATGTGGGCAGCGTGTGGGATGCGGGATGTGAGTGAGGAGGATATGTTTGCGTAGTTTTAATGTTTGGGCTTGTGGGCTGGAAAGTGCTTCGCGCGTTCGGCCCGTTGGCTTGGTGTTGTTTCGATCCGACTGCAGTGTTATATTTGCGACATACGGTTACCTCCCCAACTGTTTTGCTTCCCACCACGAGCGTCTGAGCGACACCAGAGAGCTGATCGTGTAAATGAATCATACCAACACACTGAGATCCACATAGCCTGCGTTAGACAGCAGGTGTGAGCTTATCGTGTGTTGTGAGTCCTGGTATGAATGAGCTTTTATCCGGTTGCGGTTGAAGGCGACGCAGGTGAATGAAGAGGGTTTGATCGAGTGTATTACTGGTGCTGTAACTTGATAACGAAGTTTCCCATCAATAATCGGCACGCCTCACAAGCGAATAAACAAACACAAGTACGTGAGTGGCGTTGACAACTAGATGCGATGCGTGTACCGGCGAGGGTGGCAGGAGTTTGGACTTTGAGCGTTGATTTGGACCCCTGTTTGTCGGACAGGTTATATCAGGGGGGTGATCAAACTTTAACTAGTGCTCCATTTGACGTAGTGTCGTACACTGAACAGACACGTGTAAGCGGGCAGTGACAATCATGAAGCAGGTGTGCCGTACCAAGTGGTCGGCATGCATTTGAATTTGAAACTTTTGTTGAACGGGTTCTACAAAATCAAATCAGTCATTTAACATTAGGGTGCTGTCAGGAAATACATGCTGTAGCTTGGTCTTTACATTTGCAGCTTAGGATGTGCCGCCACCCTGATCCTGGAGCCCGTATGTTAGTGAGATCAATAAACCTTGCTGAACGTGGAGGGTATTCTGGGTCGTTTGCAGGTTTGGTCCCTGAATACGTGAATCGCGTGTGGCGTTGAGATGTAACTGCCACAATTCTCTGGGAGTGAGAGGGAAACAAATGGAGATTTAAAGCCTTGGAGGTCGGACTTTGAGTCCAGGAACTGGTCATTGGGGTATTCTACTCTTGAACATTCGATGACAGCAAGAACTGAGAAACACGTGTCAAGTTTGTCCATATCCATATTTTGGCACACGCACGGGATAGAAGAAAGCGACAGGTGCGGACTCTAATATAACCTGTAACGCGTGGAATAAATGATGATGAAATCCTGAATGCTGATGTATGTTCGGGGGTGAAGGTCTGTCTCTGAATTTGTTCTGAACGGTACCAAACACCAATCAGTTTCAGTCAGAGACGGACCTTTCGGCGACACGACAAGACATTTAGAGGCTCCGTGATAAACATCATAAGCTGTGATCAGACGCATCAATGAACTGCGCCTGATAAAGGAAGGTGCCTCCTGTTTATGATTCATTTAAATCGTCAGTTTATATGGCAGTGGGCGCAATGATTGAGATAGATTTCTCGTGACAGAGATCGCCATGCATTATGGTCTCAATCGCGTTCAAAGCGAATCATGACGGCGGCGATCCTCTTTCGATTTGATAGCTTCGTCGTTAGTTGCTGGGCAGGTGGCTGCAGCCTGCAGTGGGGGATCGAAACGAAAGGAGGATCCAGTAGGATCCAGTGAACCTTTAGCTCACCGTGTTTAGTCAGGTTTGGTCCTGTTCGTCCTCTCGCCGATCAATTTATGTAAAATGGCGGGTCACTGTGCAGCGTCTGGCAGAGTCCTGAGGCCTGACCAAAGAGCATCCATGTATTACTTGTACGTCCCAAGTTCGCTTACCAAAACCTCTTGCGCTTCAGTGATCGTTGACTTCGCCATTCGACACCCTTTGATATTGCGGCATTGCGAAGCATATTGAACAAAGATACAGCCTGACTTTGCGGATTCGATTGGCTCTAGAACTTCATGCCAAGCTACAATACTCCTTCACGTCCTCTTGCATGCATCATGCTAATTGTTCCATGAACTAGCGAAAGCAAGCACATCAACACTCGGACTAAGAAGGAAACGAAGGAAGGACAGGCTTACTCAGGCACGTTGGAGTTCATGCTCATTCGCAGACGAAGTCATCCCCTTCGTCTACCACTGTACAGCAGTTGTGACATTGACAGGCCTGATAAGATATGATTTTGCCATTAGATCCACAGAAATACCCGTAATCGTTTCCATTGTTATATCCTGTCATGCCTCTTGAACACCCGGCTTGATCTACAGATAGCGGTAAGCACGTGGTATGAGGTCTGCACGTAGGCCGCGAGAGTACTCACTCAAGTTGTCGCAGGGTAGGTTCTGGGGGTTTAGCGTGAGGTCCTCAGATGCGATAGCTACGCTAGTCATCAATGCGGCAGACGCGATCAGAGTGGCGAGCCATGCGAACTTCATGGCAAATCTTGTTGTTGAACTTCAAGCTAGTGCATTGGCTTTTATACACAGGTGGTATAGAGGCGGCCAAAAAATCCATATGTACATACATAACTGCATGCTCGGTAATGAAACGGATGCCATCTCATGTTCCGTGGGCCGTGGCATCGTTTTCTTCAGGACCTCAAGGGTGCAGCCAAACACACATTTACCCAATTTCCATGGCATTCGCGTGATCCGGCAGCGTAAGTTCTTTTGGTGCGGTTGAGTGAACTTCGGTCTATGATGGTGACCTATTGGCCCACTTTTGTACTGTAGTGATGTGCCAGACGCACGAAAAACTTATCTGGGAGCATGAGAACTGGCTGTGCTTGACAATGGCAGAACTTAGGGGCGGCGGAACCTAGCAGAGTTTTGGAGCCTCGCGGAGATATACTGGGACGATAATTTTTTTGCCTGAACGGTTAGTGTAAGGGGCAGAATGGATTTGGCCTTGTTGCAATTGGCAAAACGGCAGGAGTCGGAAAAATGTTCTGAGCGTCTTTCGAGTCTTTCCAAGTACATTGGAATGACGGTAAAAGTAATCCTAAGCTACTGCATCGAGGCTACAGCTTCAGAATCAACATTCTAGGACAATGCACTCTCAGAAGAAGGTTGGAAACAGGAAGCGAAGGGAGCGAAGAATACACTTGACGAAGGGAGTTGCGAACGTTAGTGGGTTCAACGAAGCGATGGTAAGGACGCGCGTCAAATGAACACTCACCGATCAATTTAAAATGGCGGATCACTGTGCAGCGTCTGGCCGAGTCCTGAGGCCTGACCGAAGAGCATCCCTGTATTACTTGTACGTCCCAAGTTCGCTTACCAAAACCTCTTGCGCTTCAGTGCTCGTTGACTTCGCCAGTGACAGTCCAGGGTTTGTGCTTCGAGGTGTCCATCCAGGATACTTGGTGCGAGACCGTGGCACTCCTTCGACACCCTTCGACATTGCGGCATTGTGAAGCATATTGAACAGAGATACAGCCTGACTTGGCGGATTCGATTGGCTCTAGAACTTCATGCCAGCTACTAAACACTCCTCTACGCCTTCTTGCATGCATCATGCTAATTGTTCCATGAACTAGCGAAAGCAAGCACATCAAAACTCGGACTGAGAAGAAAACGAGGAAGGATAGACTTACTCAGGCACGTTGGAGTTGAGCAACGTTCATGCAGGTCCGCAGACGAAGTCATCCCCTTCGTCTAGCACCGTGCAGCAGTTGTGACATTCACAGCCCTCATAATATATGATTTTGCCTCTAGATCCACAGAAATACCCGAAATCGTATCCACTGTTAAATCCTTTTATGCCTTTTGAACACCCGGCTCGATCTACGGATAGCGGTAAGCACGTGGTGTGTGAGGTCTGCACGTAGGCCGCGAGAGTACTTACCAGCGTTGTAGCAGGGTAGGTTCTGGGGGGTTATAATGAGGTCCTCAGATGCGATAGCTACGCCAGTCATCAATGCGGCAGACGCGGTCAGAGTCGCGAGCCATGCGAATTTCATAGCAAAACTTGTTGTTGAACTTCCTTCAAAGCTAGTGCATTGGCTTTTATACACAAGTGGTACAGAGGCGGCCAAAAAATTCATATCTGCATGAAGCAGATGCCGTCTCATGTTCCGTGGGTCGTGGCATCGTTTTCTTCAAGGCCTCAAGACTGCAGTCAGACACATTTGCCCAATTTCTACATTTGTGTGATCCGGCGGCGTGAGTTCTTTTGGTACGGTTGAGTGAACTTCGGTCTATGATGGTGACCTATTGACCCAATTTTCACTTTTGTACTACAGTGATGTGCCAGACGCGCGAAAAACATCTGGGAGCATGAGTTTTGCCAACCGGCTTGGCAGAATTGGCTGTGCTTGGCAATGACAGAACTTGGAGGCGGCGGATCCTAGTAGAGTTTTGGAGCCTCGCGGAGATATACCGGAACGATAAATTGCCTGAACGGTTAGTGTAAGGGGCAGAATGGATTTGGCCTTGTTGCAATTGGCAAAACGGCAGAAGTCGAAAAAATGTTCTGAGCGTCTTTCGAGTCTTTCTAAGTACATTGGAATGACGGCAAAAGTAATTCTAAGCACTACATCGAGGCTACAGCTTCGGAATCAACATTGTAGGACAATGCGCTCTCAGAAGAGGGTTGGAAACAGGAAGCGAAGGGAGCAAAGAACACACTTGACGAAGAGGGTTGCGAACGTTAGTGGATTCAACGAAGTGACGGTAAGGACGCGCGCCAATTGAACAGAATCGTTGCCGTAGTCCAACTGAAGAGCGCGTATGTCAGTGAGATCAATAAACCTTGCTGGACATGGAGGTCGTGTCGCAGGTTTGGTCTCTGAATATGTGAATCGCAAGCCTGTTGCTTACGACATCACATCACGTGGCTGTTCGATTCCCTTATATCATCACGCTATCGTTTATCGCAGACTCGGGTCTTTGGGCTACTACGACATTGCTCTTTTGCATCATCTCTCGAAATCCACGATCTCGTCTTGTTACCTCTCGTCTGATTCGTCTTAGTGTTTCCCGCTGTTCCACTGGTGGGTTTCCAGTGGCGTTGAGATGCAATGCCACAATTCTCTGGGAGTGATGGAAATGAATAGCCGTGGAGGTCCGACTTTGAGTCCAGGTGCAGATTCTGATATAACCTGTAACGCGTGAAATAAATGATGATGAAATCCTGAATGCTGATGTATATTCGGAGGTGAAGGTCTGTGTCTGAATTTGCTCTGAACGGGTACCAAACACCAATCAGTTTCACTCAGAGACGGGCCTTTCGGCGACACGACAAGACGTATAGAGGTTCTGTGATAAACATCAATAAGCTGTGATCAGACGCATCAATTAACTGCGCCTGGTAAGGGAAGGTGCCTCCTGTTTATGATTCATTTAAATTGTCAATTTATATAGCAGTAGGCGCAATGATTGAGATAGATTTCTCGTGACAGAGATCGCCATGCGTTATGGTCCCAATCTCGTTCAAAGCGAATCGTGACGGCGCTGATCCTCTTTCGATTTGCTAACTTCGTCGTTAGCTGCAGCCTGCAGTGGGGGATCGAAACCAACAGAAGATCCAGTAGGCTCCAGTGAACCTTTAGCTCACCCTGTTTGGTCAAGTTTGGTCCTGTCCTCTCACCAATCAATTTGAAATGGCGGATCACTGTGCAGCGTCTGGCCGAGTCCTGAGGCCTGAGGCCTGACCAAAGAGCATCCATGTATTACTTGTATGTCCCAAGTTCGCTTACCAAAACCTCTTGCGCTTCAGTGCTGACAGCCCAGGGTTTGTGCTTCCAGGTGTCCATCCAGGAACTTCTAGGATACTTGGTGCGAGACTGGGGCACTCTTTCGACACCCCTTGACATTGCGGCATTGCGAAACATATTGAACAAAGATACAGCCTGACTTGGCGGATTCGATTGGCTCTAGAACTTCATGCCAGCTACAACACTCCTTCACGCCCTCTTGCATGCATCATGCTAATTGTTCCACGAACTAGCGAAAGCAAGCATATCAACACTCAGACTAAGAAGGAAATGAGGAAGGACAGGCTTACTCAGGCACGTTAGAGTTAAGCAGTGTTCCCGCAGACGAAGCCCTTCCCTGCACCGCCTGCGTCTACTACCGTACAGCAGTTGTGACATTGACAGGCCTCATAATATACGATTTTGCCATCAGATCCACAGAAATACCCGAAATCGTTTCCATTGTTATATCCTTGTATGCCTCGTGAGCATCCCACTTGATCTACAGATAGCGGTAAGCACGTGATGTGGGGTCTGCACGTAGACTGCGAGAGCACTCACCAGCGTTGTCGCAGGGTAGGTTCTGGGGGTTTAACGTGAGGTCCTCAGATGCGATAGCTACGCCAGTCATCAATGCGGCGGACACGATCAGAGTGGTGAGCCATGCGAACTTCATGGCAAAACTTGTTGTTGAACTTCAAGCTAGTGCATTGGCTTTTATACACAGGTGGTATAGAGGCGGCCAAAAAATCCATATCTGCATGGATAACTGCGTGCTCGGTAATGAAACAGATGCCATCTCATGTTCCGTGGGTCGTGGCATCGTTTTCTTCAGGACCTCAAGGGTGCAGCCAAACACACATTTACCCAATTTCCACATTCGCGTGATCTAGCAGCGTAAGTTCTTTTGGTGCGGTTGAGTGAACTTCGGTCTATGATGGTGACCTATTGACCCACTTTTGTACTGTAGTGATGTGCCAGACGCACGAAAAACATCTGGGAGCATGAGAACTGGCTGTGCTCGGCAATGGCAGAACTTATGGGCGGTGGAACCTGGCAGAGTTTTGGAGCCTCGCGGAGATATACTAGGACGATAATTCTTTTGCCTGAACGGTTAGTGTAGGGGGCATGGACTCGGATTTTGTGGCGTTTGCTCCCTAACGAGGAAGGACCACCCAGACTTGAGGGATCGATAGACGACCAAGTCTTGGGGCCCGAGCGTCGCTGTTTCAAGTGATTGTGCTTTTTCAATTTTACCTATCTATTTGTTATCTATTATACCACAAGCTTCATACACCGCGATAGTATTTAGAGTCGTGAAAACTGTACTGAAAGCTACTTAGTATTCTTCCAATCTATCTGGACTGGTATCTGGTTACTTACGATAGAGTCTTTGAGTTGTGCCGTCATCTAAAGTCTTACCAACTTCTACCTGCCGTCACAGATTTGGCCTCGTTGCAATTGCAAAACGGCAGAAGTCAGAAAAATGTTCTGAGTGTCTTTCGAGTCTTTCTAAATACATTGGAATGACGGCAAAAGTAATCCTAAGCTACTACATCGAGGCGAGGCTACAGCTTCAGAATCAACGTTCTATGACAATGCACTCTTAGAAGAAGGTTGGAAACAGGAAGCGAAGGAAGCGAAGAATACACTTGACGAAGGGAATTGCGAACGTTAGTGGATTCAACGAAGCGATGGTAAGGACGCACGCCAAATAAACACTCATCGATCAATTTAAAATGGCGGATCACTGTGCAGCGTCTGACCGAGTCCTGAGGCCTGACCAAAGAGTATCCATGTATTACTTGGTGCAAGACTGGAGCACTCTTTCGACACCCTTTGACATTGCGGCATTGCGAAACATATTGAACAAAGAGACAGCCTGACTTTGCGGATTCGATTGGCTCTAGAACTTCATGCCAGCTACAACACTCCTTCACGCCCTCTTCAATGAATGCATCATGCTAATTGTGCTAGCGAAAGCAAGCACATCAACGCTCGGACTAAGAAGGAAACGAGGAAGGACAGGCTTACTCGGGCACGTTGGAGTTAAGCAACGTTCATGCAAGTCCGCAGATGTAGCCATCCCCTCCGTTTACCACCAGACAGCAGTTGTGACATTGACAGGTCTCATAAGATGCGATTTTTCCATTAGATCCACAGAAATACCCGAAATCGTTTCCATTGTTAAATCCTTTTATGCCGTGTGAGCATCCTGCTCGATCTACGGATAGCGGTAGGTGAGGTCTGCACGTAGACCACGAGAGCACTCACTAGCGTTGTTGCAGGGTTGGTTCTGGGGGTTTGTCGTGAGATCCTCAGATGCGATAGCTACGCCAGTCATCAATGCGGCAGACGCGATCAGAGTGGTAAGCCATGCGAATTTCATGGCAAAACTTGTTGTTGAACTTCAAGCTAGTGCGTTGTCTTTTATACACAAGTAGTATAGGGGCGGCCAAAAAATCCATATGTATGCATCCTCGGTAATGAAACAGATGCCGTCTCATGTTCCGTGGGCCGTGGCATCGTTTTCTTGAGTTTTCTTCAAGACCTCAAGAGTGCAGCCAAAGACACATTTATCCAATTTCCACATTCGCGTGATCCGGCGTAAGTTCTTTTGGTACGGTTGAGTGAACTTTGGTCTATGATGGTGACCTATTGATCCAATTTTCACTTTTGTACTATAGTGATGTGCCAGACGCACGAAAAACATCTGGGAGCATGCGTTTTGCCAACCAGCTTGGCAGAACTGGCCGTGCTTGGCAATGACAGAACTTGGAGGCGGCAGAACCTGGCAGAGTTTTGGATCGCGGAGATATACTGGGTCAGAGTTTTGGAGACTCGCGGAGATATACTAGAACGATAAATCGCCTGAACGTAGTGTAGGGGGCAGAATGGATTTGGCCTTGTTGCAATTGACAACGGCAGAAGTCGGAAAAATGTTCTGAGCGTCTTTCGAGTCTTTCCGAGTACATTTGAATGACGGCAAAAGTAATTCTGAGCTACTACATCGAGGCTACAGCCTCAGAATCGACAATGCACTCTCAAAAGAGAGTTGGAAACAGGAAGCGAAGGAAGCGAAGAACGCACTTGACGAAGGTGGTTGCGAATATTAGTGGATTCAATGAAGCGACGGTAAGGACGCGCGCCAAATGAACAGAATCATTGCCGTATGACGCAAAGGGAATTGATAGTTCGTGGTGGGCCGGTCCTATGCATCAACTCTGACTTGGTGAATAAGGATGGTCAACGATATTATTGACTCAGATTCTCACTCAGCCACTCTGCAATATGTTATTCAATCCTATCTCGATAAGGAAGACACTCCTTGATTATCCGCGTCAGAAATGATCAAACTGGCTCGTCTGAACATGCTTGCGAAACAAGGTATTCGAGTACTATATAGGGGGGCTTCATGTACATTTCGGACGCGACGACGCCATTATCTATTCCCAAAGCTCTTGCCAAACAACAACACCGCTTTCAAAATCACTGACAACCGCCAAAAAGCGGGTAGATACTAATAGTACTAAGTAGTGAAATCCAAATCTCATACAATCAAGCCCCGGCATACTCGACAAGCATATCAACCGCATGATCACGCGCATCCTGCAGCGAAGAGGTATGAGGTGTGGGATCGGACGCGTTGACGGAAGAGGGTCGTAGCGGGGGCACCGAGTAGTGTTAAGTGGGAGGCATCGATGTCAGCTTTTGGGCTGCTGCTTCGAGGAGACGGACCAGTCACTACTTGCGATGGTGTACAGCGAGAACCTCGAGGCCGATGGGGAAAGAGAGCTCGACGCAGTAGTTGTCAAGTTACTGTAGCAGGCGAGGGGGGGGGGGCAAGGAGCGCTGACACCGTTTTCCGCTGACCCAAAGACGCGCACTGACTGCCAATGGCGTACCTGGCTGTGACTCTGCCAGGGGCACCATTGGTAGTCAGTGTGTATCACGAAGGTCCTCGCATCATCCAGAGACGTTCTGGTGGGCTCGATCGGTGTGACATCCGAATACAGACACATGCGAGGATCGCTCCCCCTTAAGGGTCGGAGTCGCAAAGTGCATCATATCGCACCAAATCTCGGAAGCACATTTGTTTCCGTTCGACCGAGAGCGTCTGATTGACACCCAACTGGAGCAGACCAGAGCCGATCGTGTACTCGAATGAACCGGTAAACCGGAAATCACATGGCCCGCAGTGGAGAAGCACAGTAATTCCGCACAACGACCCTTCATGTATCAGAGGTCGTGATATTATAATTTCCCAGTACAACAAAGATTAGCGAGGCAATGAAAATGGAGAGCAAGATAAAGTTGAGATAAATAATAGATCTGCACAGATGACAACACAGCACATCACAACACAAGCGATAGCGATGAAGACGCCCCACAAAGTGGCGCGGTGTAGATGATGATAATCATATGACATTGAGTTCCTCAAGATGATGTCGCAAAATACCATCACGGACGCCGGCCAATACAGCCTGTGTCGCTTTCGTATCCTGTACACATGCAGTGTGTGAGCCGGAGTCAGGAAATACTGCCGAAAGGGGAACTCACGATGGCAGACGTCTCGTGACAGAAGAACGTCCGTGCTCTCGGGGACAATCGTTTCTATGAAGCCATAATCAGTTCTTAATCTATTTCGAAGCCGAGGAGGGAACCTACGTGATAGGCTCGGAACTTCTCCTTAAAATATTTCGTCACGTTTTCCACGTCGTTAGGGGTACTTCCATAACTTGGAACATAGGTCTCTACCCTGATCCCCGCCGCGAGAGTTTTCCGTAGGATGTCCATCTTGTTGAGGAACAGGATGATGTTCGCGCGCGCGAGGAGGGGATTCGCGCAAACCTCTTTCCAGAGGTATATTGAATCCTCTAGTCGATTTACCTGTCGGTCTTCGTCGAGGACTTGGTTGAACGCAAGTGGCGCAAGAAAAATGATGGCTTGAACTGCAAGCGATATTAATAACCGTGTCTTCAGGTGTGACATCGAAACTAACCATCATCAAAGTAGGGCACCCACTGGGGTCGCATACTTCGACTGCCACCAACATCGTAAATGTACCACTCTGAACCTGTGTAGCGAGTCAGGGGGATGCGAAAAAAGAGGGAAGTCACGTACCGTTATCTTGTAGGAAGCGATGTTCCTCTACACCAAATGTTCGTAATCTGGCCCGGACAATATCCGCTATGACAGGATGTCAGGGCGACGAACGTACGGGAATCAGGGATGCAACAGACCTTCTGTGGGTTCGTAGTCCACCGTTGCGATTCTCGCCGTGTCATTCAGGAAAAAACCAGGAGAATCTTCTAGCCGTACTCCGCGTCTTCTGAGGACTTCCCGAATGACCTGGTCCTCCCACAAGGAAATGATATCATCCTTGGAGGCAGCAAGTACCAAAGTTGGGTCATCCTTACTCCGCCCGTCGCTTGTCATTGGGCGACGTTGACCCGTGGGAGGGACCCGACGTTCCAATGTAACTTTCTCCAAAACTGTTTTCCATCCGCTGCCGGCCCGCACGCAGATCTCTGGCGTTCGTGAGGGGTCGTAGTGTTCTGGAAGTAGCTGTCGCGTGAGATTTGTCTCCATGGAAAGGAGGGGAAGAAGGCGCATTCGTGTACGCCGGTGGTGATCTGAGAGTGATGTTGATGTTGAGCCGGTAGGTGACCGAGAACGTGGACCTGATATTTCTAACTCATCCTCGACAATAGAAAGAAGTTTTTTCACGGAACTGGGGTTGCCTGTCAGACGCAGGAAGTAAGTTTGGGCAGAAGATGATACTCACCCGATGAGGTTGAGTTGTATGATGGTCTTCCATATGAGTGCTTCGCCATGGAAGTACGTCGGACAAAATGCGAGCTGAAAATCTATGGCAACACGTTAGATTCCAGGCACTCGACTAAGATACAAAGATATACTCACTTCGTAACATTGTTGATTTCCCGGACTCGGCTTGGCCTAATGATGATATGAGCGCTGCCGTCAAAGGAGAACTCTCAGGATATGGTGCATACCTAGTAGCAAGACCTTGATAGCCTTCTTCTTCTTGTCAAATAACTTCTTAGACTCCAAGATACTCTCATCTATTTCGCGAGAGATACGCTGAGCTTCCTGCTGGCGCGCAATGCGTTCACTTTTCTCCTCGACGGTCTCGTTGGGAGGTGGCTTGAATATGCTTGACCAGGCATCGTCTTGAATGGGTTTTTGCAAGTTTATGGGAGTGAACCTATCAAGAGAGGTCCTCGACTGCGATTTTGCTTGAGTCATGGAAAAAAATGAAGAGAGAGAAGTAAAGCGGTGTTGTTGAGCAGTACTGGCCAGTGACAAGCGTTAGTCCATTAAAAGAGATCATTTGGTCTGCCAGATCTAATTGCCAGATCGAAATTTCCTTTTCAAGATTCCGACATGCCATGTCGGAGTCCCCTACCAAATGGGGAAGTCACAATGCGCCAATTACCCAATTAGTTCCTGATGAATAATCAGACACGGCGCAAGTACTAGTAGCGTTCCTAATAACAGCATCGTTTTTGCGTCAATAGTGACCGGGTGTCCCCGCGTCTAGGCTCTGTGTAACTAATTCACCCGGATTTTGCTGGAACTATGTGTGGGTACTGAGAACACACTACGGAAGCCATTGATCAGCATCATCGGAAATTTCACTAGCGACCCTTCAAGATCTTCAGTGACCTCTATATGTTTACGACATCAACCAAGAGACAAAGGTCACTTCTGAAACACCACCCCTCCCTGCGGCTGCCGAGCATGAAAACGTCAGCGCGATGGTGCAAGTCCTTGAAACAACGTTGGTAACGTTGCCCGGCGCAGCATGGTGGTGTTCACAGTTTTCGCCGGCTTATGTCGTGCATCCTACGTTGAGTCACGTTATCAGTCACGTATGTCAGCCAATGCGATGTCGCGCATTAATTTGCTCGATGCGTTCTACAAATTTAGTGTACATGCGTGTGCAAGGAAGAGTTTATTGCCAGCCCTGGTCCCTCATCCGATGGGTGAGAACGTACCCCCTTCCTTCAGGCTTTATCCGACGGCCCAAGTACAGACTTGGGCATCATCATCCCAATCTACAGAATAACAATTGGTCAGTCCACCTGTCAGCGTCCATCAAAATGCCGACATAATATCACGTACCACATAGTTAGGCATGTCAACCTGATAAAAGTAAGTATCTCGATTCAGGACTAGCACGCCCACGTACCACTTCATGCATCCTCAAATCACCTGCAACACTACATAACATATACGCTTCCACCCTATCCAACCCATAATCCGCAACCAAAAAATCAATCATGTTCCTCACAGCCGATCTCGTAGCCTCTCTGATATCTAACCGGCAAAACAAAATAGCCGGCATGAGTATTGATCACGTCTTCATCTTATCGTCAAAATGTATATTTCATACCGGAATCAATGCCGGTCGTGCAATAATATTCTTCCTCGGGCTTTGTATTAGCAACCGCCGTGCTAAAGTGTGGGGTCTTCGTGTACGGCTTGTCTTTCCTCACTGAGAGCCGCACCGTGACTTTCATAGGCGTTTCAATTGCCGTTCCTATAGTCATGTCGATCGAGGTCAATTTTTGATCGGGTTTTATGTTTAGGCCGATCTAACATACCACATACTTCTGTTGACGTAATACCCCGGATCAATAATGTTCATGGGGCGCCGTTCCGGCACGTACCTCCGTCCCCCTGTGCAGCATGACCATCCTATGTATGACATGATAACAATTTTGTAAACAGATCATCATGCCAATCGACGGAACAAAGTTCTCACCCCGATGCTAAACAGTGCTCCCTCCACTTCAACTGGAAGAAACAAAGTCGAACCCACCGTAACATGTCTCGTATCGATGTTTCCCCCAGTATGATATGGCGGAATAGTCGAAAAGGCGCCCTTCTTCTTTTGCGCGACCCCCATCTCACCCGCAAACGGCCTTAGTGGCACCTTGATACCCTTTTTCTCATCAAACCACGCATACCCCTCCTGCGTCTGAAGCTTCCAGATTTTAAGCGCTGGCTCCGGGAACTCATCCGTAAGCAGTCCAAAGCCTGGGAATAGAGCCGTCCATCCCCATTCAGGGTTCTCGATGCGCAGAACGTCAACTTGGAGTGTGTCACCAGGCTGTGCGCCTTCCACGAATACGGGACCGTTCACTGGATTAAATGCTGCCATGTTTACCGTTCCTAGAGTTACGACCGTTGACTCTGGAGTCATCTGCCCATTGGATGCGTCTATGCAATCAAAAGAGACTTCGTCCCCTGATTTGACACGCTGTGCAGGGGGAATGCTGTGTGAGAAGCGAATTAGCGTTTGCGCGACAATGTCGGGAATGTAGTGCTTTATACCTGTTGTCCCAAGCAAGGTTAGCACACTCACGTTTGATAGAATGGATCGACATGACTGTAGCTCAGTAGACAGAGATTGAGGATTTCCGGCGCGACAGCGACAAAGCCAAGGCACAGGTGTATTCGCACGTACTATATATACGACCCTAAGATAAATGTCTAGATCCACACTGAGACAGATAAGCCATGATAGTGGCTGGTCATGGGGTAACCCAAACTTGAAAGAACGGACGCCCAGACGGAATCTTCAAAAGCCAACAGGAAACCGGCGGAGCTACACGCCAGATCCAAAGCTATTCCAATCGACTTGGCGAGGCAATGGATTATACCTTGCGAAACAGGTCAAGTCCGACACATGCCGCATCGTCGGCCGGCCGTGAGGACAGTTCCACGGCTGATCCATAGTGCTCATGTGCTGTACGATCTGCGACGAGTATAGGTCAAAGCTGATTCCGTTAAGTTACGTTGCAGGGCATACCGAAGTCATCCCGTTTGAGCTCAATGCTCTCCCTATCATGACGCTCTTACGACACGCCCGCATAGGCAAACATAGGCTCGCGCCTTGGAACACCGTACCATTGTTCCTACAGGACGGTCATGCATGAGATGGATGAGCTCTTCTAGATCTGCACATGGACATCAGCATAGACCCTCGATACATTCACACAACCAATTCATACCTTTCGTGTTGAAAACAGTGTCCTTACTCACTGGCTGCGATACAAGATACAGTCTGCCCTCTTCGTCATCCTCACCGCCTTGACGGACGACTTCAAAACCATTCCGCTTCAGAACATCGATGTTTTCAACTGCTAGAATCTCGTCTGCAGCCGTCAACTCCAGAGGCTCGGGTCTGCACCGCGTCGTGTCAGCAATCCTATCCACGTCATTGCACGCCGCTCACCTAAAAAGCCTCTGAGATTCAATAACAGTCGTCTGCTGAAGCGTCTCAAAGTTATACTTCTCATCCGCTGCATGCTGGTCAATCATAAACAAATCATCCAGCCCTTCCTCAGGTTTCTGCCACCGAGTGACAATAAAACCCAAGTTAAACTGACCGACCACTTGCATTTTGTTAAAGTCTGTCTTCGATATGATCCTGGAAAGAGCGTCAGAAGCCTTGGCATTATCCTCCGCGTTTTCTACGTTGGCCGTATCTAGCGCATCGCGAACTCTGGAGGCTGTGCTGGAGAGCCCTGAAGGAGCGGGTTTAGCCCGCTCGAGATGCAGCCATGTGTGGCGAATCTGATCGAGATTACAGCGTAAGGTTACCGGCGGGAGGTGATCCTTAGGAGAGTGAGTAGTTGATGCGTTCACTTCGGTGTTAACCAGAGTTATGTCGTCTTCTGTGAGGTCAACGATGCCAGAAACGGCTTGATCCATCGATTCAGCTTGAGGGTCCAGTTCAGGGGCTGGGTGATCCTCAAGACGTGTCACAGGGAGTGGGGCGGGCACCGGGACCTCAATATCCATAGCATCGTCAGGTGAAGCAAGAGTCTCTTCAGACGTTTTTCTGGCCCGGGTTGAGGTCCGTCTCGGTCTAGCCTTCGAAGTTACGTTCACCGCTTCCTCGTCTTCCATCAACTGGTCTTGCTCTTCAGCACCATCGATCTCCTCGGATAAGCTCCGTCGGGCACCCGTGTCTGGTGAATGAAGACGATCTTCAATCTGATCCCCAGAAGCCTTGGCTACCTTGCTTCCAGCCCTCGCATACTGACTCAGCGTAAACCTAAAGCTCGCCCTCCCGTCCCGTTCGGCCAAACGCAGTCTCTTCCTCGGGCCATCATCTTCTAGATCGCCATCCCCAGACCGTATGCGGTTCCACGAAGCACCATTAGTGCTTAAAATAGTCTGTACCGCAGGCGCTTGGCTCGCCGATCGTTTCTTCGAGTCGCCAAGCGCCCGAGATGCACGTATGCGATCAGTGGCGCTAACAACCTGCTCGCGGTCAGATTCGTCCTCTTGTTGCGATCCGTGATGTTCGGCAGAACGAGTTGCTTGTCCATTGTCTCCGCTTTCTTCGACTTCGGAATCAGGAAAGAATAATGGATGTGGCGCTGGGCCGATCATGTCGGGTTGTACAGACGGTGAACCGGATGCTGTCCGGTCTGTTGCATTGTGTGATGGTGCCTCCGGCCCAGGCTCAAGAAGTAAGCTAGGGGTCGTCATCGTGATGGGCTCGTCTTCACGGTCTTTGAGTGCCGGTTGGTCCTGTTCTTGGTTGACGTCGGCCTTGCGGGCAGAACAGCTAGTGGTTCTTGTGTGCTTTGTTTGGGTAAGTGAAGTTTTGGGCGTAAATGATGGGTGCAGAGTCGGTTGTTGGGATGACTGAGCGCCAACATCGAACGTCGAGCGAGACGAAGCAAAAGACTCTTCCAAAGCTGTCTTTGAACAATAATGAGAAAACGAATGTAGGGATAAACATTGTTTGTACCTTGAGAGCTTGAATTAGATTCTGCTCGCTGTGGAGAAATATCGTGCGTTTATCGGGACTGACATTGACATCACAGGCATCTGCTCTCCAGTCAGGATGAGCTGTAACGCAGAGGTGAAGCACTCACGAGTGGGTAAAATAAAGTCTGCCACGATAAAGGGGGACTGGCCAACATTAAAGGACCTGTATACTTCATTGAAGGCTTTCTGGACCTGGGAACCATCAGATGCGGATGCCAATAGCAATAGATGCTACTACCTTTCCAGGATTACAGGGGCGTCCGTTGATAAAAAAATATTGGCGATCACTTCCTGTGCGGCCTGCGCCTACAGCAAACTTGGAAATAAGTCCCCGGACTTTCACTGGGGTGACGCTGGCACTGAAAACAAGCTGTATTCAATGTCGCTGACCGCCAAAAAGTGATAAAAGGAAGCACCTCTCCTGGTCAAGACGCCGCAAGACAGCCTTCTCCGTTTGGACATCAAATGAAAGATCGAGGTCGACAACATTGTCAAGCCCCTTGGACCCCCATAATGCTGTGACCGACGCTTTGACGGAGGGTGATCCGTCGGTTTTGAGCTGTATTGTTTTGCGGCTGGTTGCGCAATGAGCATCTCAGGAGCACAGGTAAGTAGGCAACGTACCCTCCCTCCGGTTGGTTGCTCACAGCCAGTCGCACACCTCTGTTCTCGGTTGCGCACGGAACTAGAGCGTACGCATACAGCAAGTTTAGGGCCTTGCCAAACTCCCGCTTCGCGTTTCTTTCGAGTTCCTTACGTCGGACTGGCAGTGGTTTGAAGAGAGAAGAGACGGCGACTGTAGTTCCCCGCTGCATATGACAGCATTATACTAGGTGAGATGTCGAGGTTCCTCGCGACATACCTGTCTTGCGACCTTGGAATTGGAATTCCTAAGTCTGCCGTTCCGGTCCATTTCAAGTATGGTACCCATTGGGGCCTCATTAGCTGTAGCGGTCGTAAGGGTGACACCATCACTGAGAGCGCACAGCGAGGACAAAGCTTCTCCGCGAAAGCCGAAGGTCAAGACGGTTGAGAGATCCTCGAAAGCAGCAAGTTTGGATGTGTGATGTTTCAAGGCTGAGCGGCAATCAGTGATGACATAGAATACAGGCTGAAAAGATGAAGCTTACCGACACTTTCATAATCCTTTGGGGCGATTCCGCACCCATTATCGACAACTTCGATGGACTTGAGTCCATAGTTGAGAAATCGAACCTCTTCTAGAAGTCAACTGCGCGCACAGGCATCAAAGAGACGTGGCGCACCGATATTTGTAGCACGGGCGTCAAGACTGTTCTCGACAAGTTCTTTCACTGCTGTCTGTAGGTCGATGACTACCTGGCCAGATGTGATCCTATGCACAGAATGACTGTCGATTGCTCTGATAGAACCTTGGTCCGTTGCTGTGGGATCATGGGAGCTCCCAGTCATGCTACTACAGCAGTTCGCGGGTGTGGCATAGAAAGTAACTTTGATGATCAGCTGGATGCCGGTAACACTTGGGAAAGCAAGGTAGCTTGGCCTGGCCAACTCGCTATTTCAGATCTCGGAGGTCAAATGTCAGCTGGTGAGCGATGCTTATTGTTACTACCCGATTTGGTTCTGGCGAGTCGTATATAGACGACGCTGTTTGTCAGAACTACTACGACGAAAGACAACCAGTTTGGATGTCAACGTTGTTCATTCGTACTAAATCAGTACAGACGATTAACGACGTCGACTCAGACGATCAGTCTAGTCCAGACTGATAACGAATCGTGATCTGTACCCCAGGCTTAGGGCTGCCCTTGACTGGCTCGGCAAGTGACAAACTGTGTGGGACCGTGACACACGAGGCAAAGGCGTGTGAGGAGAGTAACTTTGGCACTTTTGCACAGGTTCGTCGTTTCTCTGCCGAACCTCACTGAAACTGAATTTCTAGCAGTGCTGTTACGAGACGAGACGGGACGGAAGGTATGTAAGCGGTCGTTTCAAATTCAAGCGTAAATTGGAGGCTGACAAAAGGATCTACTTTCAAAGCGGATCCACCCATCCTTCAAAAGGAGCTTTTGTTGAAAAGCTTGGTGGCAACCACAACGAGGCTCGATTCACTCCGGAGAGTACGCCCTCATGTCCTCATCGCCCCCACACAACGAGGTCCAGCTCTCAAGAGAGTTCCTCCTCGCCCTCCTCTCTGAACTTTCCGTACTCGTCTTTCAAGAGTTCGGTTGCCAAATCCGCCTATTCATCCATGGTGGCGCGGTGATGATTCTCCACCCACACCTCTCTACTTCCAGTTCTCGAAGGACTACCAGAGATATCGACTATATACGTCGTGCGTTTGGGCATGAGTGGCGGAAAAAAGGGGTGTTCGACGCTGAAGAGCGTTTACAGCGTTGCATTAACGCCGTTGCCGTCAAGTTTCGTATAGGGTATGTCAATCCTCCCGCCCCATCTCAAGTGACATCTTCCAATGCATGCGCCTCTTAGCACCGACTGGATGAACGCAGATCCTGACGTTGCCCTCCCATTCGCTCACAAGTGAGTCACTCCACAATTGCCCTCCACACATCTCACGGTCCCCCTTCAGCTCCCAAGGGCAGTTATACGACCCCATTTACCACTGACTCAAAGCAGCCGAACAACATCGATATGAACACCATATACAAGTCGCAAGGCCTCAGTGGTCATCAGTGTGACTATGTTTTGGGGTGTGGCACTCAAGCTCGTGCGCTACAAGAAAGAGGACCCCACTGATATAGTGGCTATGCTCCGCCACGGCACGAAACTCAATGGCGTCCAGTGGACGCCCTCCATTATGGAGACATGGATCAAGACCCTCTGCTGGCCCATGGGCTACAACTCGTACAGACCGCAGCAAGCGGAGGAACTTCGGAACCGTATCCATGATGCCGTGCACCACTTACAAATGTTACCCGAAAATTCACCAGAGGAGCCCTCGGCCATGGCGTTTGTCCCACCTCCTGCACTCTCCTCATTACACACGATGTCGAGCAGCTTAGCTCCACACCCGTTCTCACAACCGCCGTCGGCGTCCTCACTGAATTCCATTTACATGTTCCACAGCCTGTCACCTCCCGCACCCATGGGGGAGCGCACGCGCCGGTCATCGATAAATTCATTACGACGTCAAAACTTCTCACCGCCCATGCCATTGTCATTCACATCATCCCAATCACCGCATACAATCCCTCACTCTCACTCGCTTTCGCAAAACCCTTTCCGCATGCCGGAGCCCTGGGCAGCGCCTCCGCCACCGCTATTTCAGCCGATGCCCTCCAACGCTTTCTGAATGGACCTCCTTCGACCAGCATAAGTACCTAGACTGCAACCGAACCCAAACCCGGGTGTATCAAGTACCGCAAGGCACAAGTCATATATCTGCACTCTATTAGTCGTATACGTCATCCTTTAAATAACTGCTTTCTTGTCCAGAGTTTTGCTCTTTTGATACTGCTATCTATACTTTCATATGTTTGCGCTGGTATGTACGATATCGTATTTCGTTTTGTAGCTAGGTAGCTTATGTAGTTGTAAAACTTGTCGTTGACGACTTATACTTTCTAGACTGGTACCTATCACTGATGAAGATATGTGGAGAGAACGTTGACTGCGATCGCGATGTATCATAGGCCACTACTGTAAGTAGATAATAGATATGCAGCAATCGCTCGGAAGCTGTTAAACTGTTCAAACGTTCACTAGGAAGGTCACCCGTGTTCTAACTTCCACTTCTGATGCATCATGTGGTTACAGTTTTTCAACACGCTGATATTCGGACCGAGACCTATTCCATCGACGGAAGACCGCATCATTGATCAAGACTGCATCGTACGATGATTGCGAAGGGCTGTAAGTGAACTTATAGCAGACTTGAAGAGTCTCACTTTCCTCTCATCATTTGCAGAGGTCGCGTTTCACCAGCCTGCGGTTTCAGATGTGAACGCGAAGATAGTCTGACATTGTAAAACTTAATCACTGATCTAGTACTTAGATCGTAACCGAGGGGGAATATCAAGTGTAAGTCGTCTTTATATAAGAGCCCCGACATGGAACGCTGGTCAATATCGATGTCGGGCCCTCTTCCAGGGACCACCCTCGCATACTCAGGCTCACGTACCAGACCAAGGTGATACAAATGATCTTCTTCATATTTCCCAACGCACCGGCAGCGAAGGCGGGTCTGCCACCTTGGATGACGGAGTTGAGAATAAAATAAAGAGTATGATTGGGAACACGACCCAGTGAACCCCAGGAATTGGTCTTGGGGAAAAATGGATAGCGGTTACACGTCATTTTTTCCATCAGCGAGTTCAATTCATGCCGACTGGTTTTAGATCGAGTCAGGTCTCGCTTTTCACTTTCGTCACGCCGTTAGCCAGCTCTATCATGGCACCTGGTTTGCCCTACGTGGCTATAAAATATGGCATTACCGACCCAATAGTCTTAGCATTGACTCTGAGTATCTTCCTTCTGTCGTTTGCTATTGGTCCTCTATTTGCGGGACCCTTGTCGGAAGTGTATGGTCGTTTATGGGTCCGTGATACTTTCCTTATGATCGCTAAAACACTTCGCCTGAATGAGTTTAAGGTGCTCCACCTAGGGAACCTATTCTTCCTCGCATTTAATCTTGGCTGCGCTTTGTCACCCAACATTGTATCTCTCATCGTGTTCCGATTTCTAGGTACGTTATGGAACAGCTGCCGTCGCAATTTCTGCTTATTCTCCGCGAAAAGCTGGATTTGCAGGCGAGTCCACCCATAGCATGCGGTCCAAGTGTTGTTAGCGACCTCTCCGCGGAACGCGAGCGTGCCTTGGCTCTGGCACTATTCAGTGTTGGACCCTTGATAGGTGCATTTTACAGTGTGCGACGTTGAAATTCACACGTCCGGCAGGTCCCGCTGTCGGGCCCGCCATAGGAGGTTTCATCGCAGAGTTAGTCGGCGTGGAGTATGTTTTCTATGTCATCGTTGCGATCTCTGGTGTTGCCGAAATGCTTGGAATCCCTCTCTTGAGAGAATCCTACGCACCAGTTATCAGGCTTCGTCGTGATACAATGACGTTGGATCCCGAAAAGTTAGCTACAGGACATCCTGCCCTGCCATACCAGATCGGCAAATGTACCTACTTGTGGCTCAACCTCAAGCAACCTGTCATACTTTTCACTCGGAGTCTCATATGCTTCATCCTGAGCTTGTACATGGCTTTGTAAGTTTGCGGATTGCTGTGGTGTCATGCGGCTAATACTAACTCTATTCAGGATGTACGGTCAGTATCTAGTAGCACATTGCATTGGATGTGAGCTGACATCGTGTGGCAGGTATCTATTACTTGATTTTTGCTACTTTTCCCGGTAAGATCATGCTTGCCTGCTACCACGGGAATGATTATTTAAGTTACGCTTAGATCTCTTTTCGAACGTGTACCACTTCGACATCGGAATCGGAGGTCTGACGTACATTGGAATTGGCCTTGGATTCCTAATCGTCGCACATTTCAGAAAGTTAATCTAAGTACCTGCTTAATACTTGACGATAGAGCTGCAGAAAGACATCTCGTGCCCTGGCAGATCGTCAGTGCTGACCAAATGCACGTGTGACGTGAGTAGATATCAAGGCATTAATATCTATACGTACTGCGACGTACGTGTCTTTGGCAGCTATTGCCAGTTGCAATCGACTGGCGGTCTTCCCCTTCTGTGTTGTAAGTAAAGTCAAGCCTATTGATGTCCTCGATGTAGAGGAAAGTCAAACCGTGTCTTCGGACCACTTTAGGCGCTCTGTTAGTTTCACAAACTCAGGATTATTAATTGAAGTCTTCAAGAAGTCAACAAAGAGATTTTGATATCGTTTCTCTTGCTCATCCAGGTCGTCACTGAGTCTGTCGATCTCCTACTGCATGCATAAATGCCAGGAAGCTAGTATCAAATTGAAACCTTGCTTATGTACCTGGCGCATTTGCTGGATTACATGGTGTTGACTTGAATCGAGATGATGCAGCTGATCCTCGTTTATTCGCACCTGGTAGATATGTGAGGTATAAATAAGGGAAACAAAAGTGGGGACATACGTCGGCACCGGTAAGGACGATCACAAGTGATTCGATTCGACCATCTATTGATGCAAGCTATAACTTGACGCGTTGGCATACACAGCTCCGCAAATTTGTCGAGAACTTACAATTTCTCAAAGTATTCACGCGTGGCCTAACAATGGAATTGAAAAGTCAACCCAGGCCAGTATGTTCACACCTATCTTACCTGGTCATCAGCTGCCCGCCTGATGTCTGCAACTGATAAAATAACGAGCGGTGAGACAAAGCTATTCACCTTGCCGTTCGAACCCAGTACTACTACTTCAATATTTTTGATGTATTCGTTAGTTCGCTTTGTTCTGTGAAGATACTGTCAGGTGTGACGAAATCTCGACTAGCATTCACACCGCTGACGAACCTTTTTTATTTGCATCTCCGAAATCAGGGATGTCGACGAGGGCAATTGCACCGGATGCAAGTACGTCAAATGCACCATAGATACGAACACTGAAAGAAAGGTAAGGACAACGCACGGGTAATCAGTGTTGTTGAGATCCGTACCTGTCTACCAGATGCCAGATGGATGGCTCAAACTGGAAGACCTTGAATGGTCAGCAGCGTCATCCACGGTTGTTTGAAGGGTTGTGACGCACCAGCTGCTCTTGTAACATGGCATATGAAGTTAAATATTGCCGGAGCTGTGCACGGTTTAGAGATGCTAATCAGGTGCGATGTTCAATTCCGACTTTCCTGCACTTCCAGATCGGCAAAGCCTGTGCCTTCCCTCTGGATCTCGGTCCCGAGTACGGATGCTACAGGTTCATGCTGCAGAAGCGCATGTATATCGTGACGAGGCGGGGGGTGGTAGTGCATGAAGGCTGCGACAAGTAATGTTCAATGAAAATTTAGTTACTTACTGAGGATAAACCTGTACCAGCAACGGCTCGGAGCCTCGGACATCAGCAAGTACTTAGCACCGAACGAAAGAGCTGAGATATTCCTCTTTCAAAGTCTCCCATGCATCTAACGCAGGCCCGCAATCATCATAGTTGCTACGCCCTATATTCGAAGTACCGCCGCCGCCGTCATCGACAGTTCTGCGGGCAGTTAATATCATGTGGCGCAAGGAAAAAATTCTGACTGGACACCTACATAATATCGTCAAGAATTTGTGCTAGAGTCTGGGGTCGACACCCAATGCGCATGTCTGGTGCAAGAGAAGATCATGAACACTCACTTTTTCCAGCTGTCTTTTGAAATGAAGTTGATGCTCGCTCTCCAAGTTGACGGAGGTAAATCTTCGTAGATTACTTCTGTCTGCATAGATGTGCACGCTCTGCCCACGCAGCGTGCAATTGAAAGCGTCGGAATCGAGAAGGGTAAGTGACTTCAATAAAATTGCGGCTCACCCCTGCGAGATGCAGCCACATCCCAATTCATGAGGGCAGCACTACATAACGATCAGTGCTACGTCGCTCGCGTCGATAACGCTGGCGCCCCCAAGATCGCATTGATGGCGGTGCTTTTTCCAGCTCCAGTCCTTCCAACAAATGAAAGCTTCCTGAGGCGGGGGCGGCCCCCCTCGGGAGTCCGAGGTTTACTGTTGCTAAGTTTCTGTGCCTCTAACTTCCTCCCTCGCAAATCCTTGTCAAAATGGTCCTCCCGTCCTCTTGGACCAACTCTCTCGAGCTCGAGCTCTAGTTTTTATTCGTAGCACTTATGATGTCGTAGCACAATCGTGCGTCTTGTGTGCATGTTTCAACTTCTCTCTCCATCGGAGATCAGTGTCGCAGCACGACGTAAGTATATGTAGGGATTAGTGCGGTTTAAGAGTTGGAGTCGGAGGTTTAAACGTTTATATTCCATCGTGGTGCCTCATCCTCAAGGCTTCGCTTCCTGGCATGAACCCTCCGGCAAGTTTGCAACGAGGTGTCGAATTTCCAGCCAACCGGCTCCCAACTTCCGCAATCACAGAAGGTCACATGTATTGATATAGCAATGTCTACATGTCACGATTTCATGAAGTTGTTCCGAATGCCGTGCTCCAAGTTTTTCCATCGATGATTTGTGGGGTTGTTGAAGGGTTAGAATCGGGCGCTAACTCTATTTCATCAAAGTGCCTCATGATCCTTGCATGATTCTCAAGGCCTCATTCCTATGATTCGCCATGACAAATCGAGTTGCAATACTACCCAGGCTTCAACGGTTTTATAAGGCTCAAAGACCACATTCAGGCTCGGTGTGCCAACATACTACTGCCACTTAGCACCTAGGTGTACGGAAAACGGAGTATCATACGTATGATTGGATCTGGATGCGCAGAACTTTGATGTTCCGTCTCAGGTGCGCGTTAGTATGTTTCAAGGTTTCCCTGGACCTCATCCTGAACTCTCTTTGCAACGAGGTGTTGAATCGCCAGCCAATCGGCTCACAGCTTCCGCAACTACGCAACTTCCAGGCGTTGTTCTATCGATACATCAGTGTTCATATCTATCTTCTACCTCGTGCACTGAAACGAGCCCCATGAACTGGCCCGGCGTAATGCCCTGACTGATATGTATACGTTTTCTCGAACAGTCGGATCCTATTTTGTGTTTGATCTTACAAGGAGCTGCCCAAGTTAATTTGCGCTCAACTGTTCAAAACCCATCTATATCAACTCCCAGTTCGTCCAAGATTATGTAGCTACGATCTTTCCATCACCTCCATTCGAAATGTTGCATTCACACCGTGATATTTTCCAGACCCTGCCCGCATATCGGAAGGGCAATGGTTCACCTCCAATTATGCCTGATGCCGACCGTTCTTTTGATTTACCTGGCTCGCAGCCAAATCCGAAGTTTAAAAGCCAGCCAGGATCCCAAACAATCACGGCACGATATGACTACAGTAAATGGCAATCTGCATCACTGCCTCTGGTTTGGGTGAGCTGTCTTCTACTTTCTTCCTGGCGGACGACATCAAACAACGACACAGCTTGCAGTCCGAGACAACGTTATCCCGCCTCACGCTGTTCCATTTGGCTCGGATGATCATGGACCTCTTTTCATTGCCCGAGCTTATTTAGAAGTAAGTCCTCTCACGCAATTACCCCATCATTTGCGACTTATGAACGTAGGGAGCATTTTGTAAGTCGATTCCAGTAGGTATCATTCTTGCTCATTGAGCGTCACCTGCAACAGTCCTGGGGAAGGCTGGTTCTCAGCTCACGAAGGGTGCCATCATCAGCGACGGAAGTCAGAATATAACGGTAGCCACCTCAACCTTTGACGGCGTATTTCTACTGAGAATTCCATCTACATAGGTGACCCAGTATGACATACTCGTGTGCGCCGCACGGCTGAGTTGGGATATCCCACATTCTTCTGGGACAGGCTTTATACACCAGGACACCGTGATTACGAAACATGACATCAACTACCACCTTGAGCCAGCTCCCCTGTATCGTCAGGATATTCCTGAAAATGCTCCTGATCTCGCGGATACTTACAACAGGGTCAATCATGATGACAGTCAGCGTTCGGTAACCCCCGACCCCTTCATCGCTGCATCGCATATTAGGGCGCGGTCAGTTGCTCGCAGCAACTCTAGACATGACCTGTCATCAAACGAATCCTTAGACGTCGACATATGGAAAGCTGATGCTGCTTCCGTCTTCAGGCCTCCTCTTGAGTTAACGGAGAGGTCACGATCACTTCCTCCCTGGACGAGAACTTCAGCGGAGTCGAATTTTGATGTTCGGGAGGATCTGGTTACTTTTCGGTCCGACAGTGCACGAAGCGCTGGTGTTTCTGCGATTGTTACGTCCACTCACAAGCCTGAGTACGCGCCGGTGCCCCACCCACGTGTGGCAACATCATCAAGAGCTGGAGTCTGTCTCGATTGGCCCGGTCAAGAATCTTACAGATCCCCCGCGTAGGTTAACAATGATGACTGAGAGACTCTTATTAATGAGCAACCATTCTCAGCGTGCCTAGCGCTGTCGAGTACTCCGCAAGTGAACAAGGTACTCCCGCTGGTTCCTTCGGGAGGTTCGAGTGCACAGGGTTCAGCGAAGTGGCGACTTTCGATGGTCCTAGCAGTCCACCCCCTGAACCTTTCGCTCAATCGATGCGTGCTGGCTTCGTCCAGAATGTCTTGCCGCTTCGAACGTCTGTAAATTACCACACAAACAAGCCCTTGTTGAACTTGGCAACTGGCCACTCGTTGGCAAGCATCGACACTCCTCAGATTACCAGTTTTTCCAATGCCTCACCAAAGGACGATTCTCAGCTTACGTTCATGCATTACCCACCTTCCTCACGCAAAATGTCGAGCGATTCGTCACCGTCTCGACCATTTATAGCTGCCTCTCGCGGTAGTGGGGCAGGCATTCCACGAAGCCCTGTTTCGTCTCTCCACGCACTTGATGTCGTCAAAGACATGAGAAAATCACAGTCAAACCTGACCAACTCTCCCGTACACTCTGCCGCAGACGCAATCGGCATCTCCGCCGGTTCGGACGATTTCGGTCATGTCAATCAGCATGACCAGTGCGCATATCCTATTGCTGGAACAATTGCTCAGGCGCATGAATGGCGACGTAGTGTGTGGCCCCAGAAATATCAGCCAAGGGAAGGTTTAAGTCGTGTTCCGCAACCCGGGCCTACCATTCCATCCATTGCTTCACCCCAAGCTCAGAGCTCTGTCGTTTATGATCATGCAGACGTTAATTTACGTTCTACCGAGTATATACCCTATGGCGCATCCAGGAGTCCCAGGGAAACGTTCCCCGATGGTGGAGACGCGATCACCTCGGAGCATGTATATGACTCTGAGCATCGGCAGCTTGTCTCCCGAACAACCTTTGGCATCGAAACGCAATTTTGTGACGGGACTGAAAGCGATGCAGTCGCCAGCGAATTCGTCACGTCGATCGTCGACACCCCGGTGAACGCTGGGATTGTGAAGGATGAAGTCAAACTTCTGCCTCACCCGGCGCCGCTCATCACTTCTATGTCTCAAACAGCTGTGGACAGTAGACGGGGACAGACTAGTACTCTAGTGCAGGAGAGCGCCTTCGAACAGGAGCTCGTTCAAGAAAATCGGGTCGCAGTTACCGCATCCTGCGAAATCACAAGCATGGGAGATATTACATCGGTTGTTCCCTGCCGCGAAACCGTGGTAGCCGAAGAATGTATGCCGTTGTCAACTGTCCCATATTCTCCGAGCTTGCCGACTTCACGACGACAGTCTGCCCAGACCTTCTCGCCAGTTACGGGTGACAAGCTCCGTAGGTATCATGAGGACGCAGAATCATCTGTCTTCGTCCGTGCGCCCTCGGCACTTGGGGAGAACGATAACGCAACTCTAGCACAATCAAAAGATGTAGCAATCGTAAACCCAGAGAAGTTGTGTCTAGCATCCAACGGTCGTCGGAATTCATCTTTCAGTAAAAATACATCGACCATAGGCCAGAGTTCACTGGTTGCAGAAATACACGGAGAACCCTGTAGTCAAGACGTAGCAAGGGACTGGCCTGGCCAAATCTCCTTGTGCGTAGTTCCTATGCTGTATTTCCCCTCAACTAACATTCTCCAGCACTCCGAAGCTTATGGGTGGAGAGAAGGATGTATCTGCAGATCGTAAGCCCCAGTCTGCAATGGGCAGAGAAGACCATCGTGAACGGGAGACGGAGAGCGAGGTCTTGACATCTCATTCCTGTACTGACAAGATTCTCAGAGGATACACGTCGGAGTCCGCTACATTCAACGATGATAGGCGGATAAATGAGGATGCCGATGGCGCTGCGTTGTCCTTGTCCTCGACCAATACTAGGTTCGAGGTGTTACTTTCGTACGTGACGCATGTTTTGAGCTCTTTGCCCTCGAATAAATCTCTTTCAGCGAACCGGGCATTCCGCAGAGCGTGGGAACCGATTATACTCAGTCTGGATGCCAGCGCCAGTCTTTAGACGTTCACACAGTTCCAGAGAGTCCCGTGCAGATATCGGGCCTTCATTCGACCGAGAGCAGTTACACCCAAAGACAGTCAGCCCATACATTCTCCTCGAGCAATGAGCCATTTACTGATGTGAAGCTCAACAGGGGTCGTGAGGAAGCAGACTCGTGTGTGCTCACCTTGGTACTTGGGGAGAACAACGCAACCGAGAATACGCAGACGCCGAGTCCAGCACCCAATGATCTGCGGAACACGTCTTTCCGTGAAGACACGACAGGTCAGACTTCGTCCTCAATCGCTAAGCTACAGGAGAGATCCTGTGGTAAAGATGTGACTAGGGATCTGCTTACTCAAGGCCCCTCGTACGTAGCTCCTACTCTGTTTAAATTTGTCTCACTCACATTATCCAGTATTTCAAGCGTCGAGCACGACAATGTGGATGTATCGGCAGACTATATGCATCAGGCTTTGGAGGGCAGAAGAGACCATCCTGGACGGGAGACGGAGAGCGAAGTTAAGCTCAACTTATCGTCTCATTCCCGTACCGTAAGGAGTCTCAGGCAATACGCATCAGAGACTGTCGCATTGAAAGATGGTGGACAGATCAACGAAAACACGGACGGCACTGTCTCACCCCCGTCATCAACTAATACTGGGCCCAAGCTGTCTCTTTTGTAAGTACACCATTCAAATTTAAGTTTCTTGGACTGGAATAAACCACTTTCAGTGAACCGGGCGTTCCCCAGGATGCGGGACTCGATCATATTCAGTCTGGATGCAAGCAACAGACATCAGACGTCAAAACGGTTTCAACGGATCTCGTGCATGCCTCGAATGATTGCTCGACTGAGGCCAAAGGTCAGAGTCCTCTAGTTACCAATATACAAGGGGGACCCTATGGTCAAGATGTGGCGAGAGACCAACCTCGTCAACGCTCTTCGTATGTGATCCATACACTGTGTCTCCCCTCAACTAAGATCATCCAGCGCTTCGAAACTCGAGGACAACGAAAAGGATGTATCGGCAGATTGTATGTACCAGGCTGTGGTGGGTAGAGGCGGCCATCATGAACAGGAGACGAAGAGCGAAGTTACGCTCGACCCGACGTCTCATATCAGTACCGTCAGGATTCTCAGACAATCCACGTTGGAGACTGCGATATTGAACAATGATAGGCGGATGGATGAAGACACCAACAATGCCACTGCGTCACCCCCGTCCTCAATGTCTGCTATGCCCAAGGTGTCTCCTTCGTAAGCGATACATACGCCGTCTGCCCTGACATCGTAATAAATCTTTTTCAGTGATCCGGGCGTTCCACAGGATGTAGGAACCAATCATATTCAGTCTGGATACGAGAACCAGTCTTCTGAGGTCGACACTGTTTCAACGACTCTCGTGCAGACCTCGAGTCATTGTCGCTTGACCGAGAGTGAAGGATATATCCGACGACAGCCATCCCAGTCATTGTCCTGTAGTGACGAGCCTGGTGAAGCAACCTTAGATACCCACGTCTGTCTGTCCTTGGCACATGAGCAGAACACTTCAACTTCACCACGATCCTTGGACATATCAATCGAGAACACACAGAAATCGAGTTCGGCGGCCTCCAGCGGACTTTGGAACTCATCTTTCACAGAAAGCACATCGACGACGGGTCAGAGTCCTTCTCTAGCTGCTAACATATATGGGGAACTGTGTGGTCGAGATATGGTCAGGGACCAGCCTTATCAAGGCTCCTCGTGCGTAGTTCCTATGCTGCATTTGCCATTAGCTAAGATTGTCTAGTACTCCGGTACCCGAGGCGGATGAAGAGGATACATCGGTAGATCGCATGAACCAGACTATGGAGGGCAGAGGAGAACATCATAAGTGGGAGACGGAGAGAGAAGTCTTGACGACTGATTCCCGTACCGTCAGGAGTCTCGTACGATTCACGTCGGAGACTGCCACATCTGATGGTGATAGTCAAACGGATCAGGACGCTGACGGCGCTGTGTTGTCCCAGACCTCACCGAAATCTGAGCCCAAGTTATCTCCTTCGTACGTGACATTCCCTTTGAGCCCCTTACATCGGAATAAACCCTTTACAGTGAACCGGGCGTTCTGCAGGATGCGGGAACTATTGTTCAATCTCGATGCGAGCAGCATTCTTCAGAGGTCATCGCAGTCTCAACGACGTCTGTGCAGACTTCGAGCAATTGCTCGACCGAGAGCAGAAAAGAATACATCCATCTAGACAATTCTTCACAACAATTGATCGATCTTCCTAGCGTCGTGCCAAACATATTGCCGGTGCACGATGATCCCCAGCTACCTCCTGCTGCGTTAAATTGGGGAAATGACTCTTCAAGTGGTTCCGGCGAGTCATATGTGATGTACGAATCAGCATATATTATGTGAAAAATTCGTGCTGATTTATCTGCAGTGCTTCCACTGTCTCGAACGAGGGTAACTCTAAGACAGTGGCAGTTGGCGCCTTTGTTGAACATTCAGTTTCAAACGACGACGCCTATCCTGTGTCATGTGCTGAAGGGGCTGCAGTGGCTGTGGGAGCGCAACTATACGATTGCGTGCCTACAGAACCAGCGGTCATATCACTTCCTCATCCTGTCGTCCAACGTGCGATGACGCGTCATTCAAACGTGGTTGACACCCCATCTCAGGCGGAAAGTCAAGACAATCTTTCCTCTGCTGTTGAAACGAGGAGTTACGGTGCGCGGGAGTCTGTGTGTGTTGATGTCTCAACACTTGTGATACGAGATGCTTGCGGGGCGAGTACAGTTACCGTTGCGCCTAATGATCCACCCTTAATTGACGATCAGTTGACGCACAATGCTGCATCCGATGGCGCATGCAAAAGTTCAATCTCCCTCGATCACAGACCACTTACCAGACAAATTACGGACATGTACGTTCAAAATTCTCGCGAGTCGCTCCTCATTAACATTTCGTTTTCAGACGTGAGGAGGTTGCCCATCCTGCACCATGCGCTGAGGGGACTGTGTCTGTGGAAGCACAACTAGATGGTTACATACGCGCAGATCCAGCAGTCATATCACCTCCTCGTTCCGTCATCCAACGTTCCATGACGCTTGATTCACACGCCGTTCAGATCCCATCTCAGGCTGAGAATCACCAGAAGCTTTCTTACGCTGCCGAAATGAGGTGTTGTGGTGCGCAGGAATCTGATTCCCGTACCAACAGGAACCTCAGACGATCCATGACGGAGTCTGTCGTAATAAGTGACAATAGACGAATGAACGCGAACGCCGAGGGTGCTGTGGTGTTCCTGCCCTCCACTCATACTGACACCAAGTTGTCTCCTTCGTATGTGACACACCCTTTGAGTTCCTTGCACTGGATTGATGGAATAACCTTCTTTCAGTGAACAGGGCGTCCCACAGGATGCAAGAACCAATCATGTTCGGTCTGGATGCGACCATCTGTCTTGCGAGGTTATCACGGTCTCAACGACGTCCGTACCACCTAGTGTCGTGAGCGTATCGCCGATGTGCGAGGGTCCCCAGCTACCTCCTGTGTTAGACGGGAGAAATAACTCTTCAATTGGTTCCGGCGACATGTATGAACCAGCATATGTTATGTGAGAAATCCGTCCTGACGTTTTTGCAGTGATTCTATTGTCTCGAACGAGGGTGACCCTAAGGTCAGTGCCTCCGTCAAGCATTCAGTTTCAAACGACGACACCTATCCTGCGCCATTTGTTAAGGGGCCTGTGGCTGGAGGAGCGCAACTATACGACTGTGTGCATGCAGAGCCAGCAGTCACATCTCCACATCCTATAATCGTCCAACGTTTGGAGAATCAAGACAAGTTTTCTTCCGTTACTGAAACGAGGAGTCATGGTGCACGGCAGTCTGTGTGTATTGAAGTCTCAACGCTTGCGAGACGAGATGCTTGCGGGGCAAGCACAGTTACTGTTGCGCCCAATGATTCTCCCTTGCTTGACGACCAGTCGACGCACAATGCTGCATCCGTCGGTACATGTGAGAGTTCAATCTCCCGAGGCGCATGCGAGAATCCAATCTCCATCACCGCATATGAGAGTTCAATCCCCCTCAATAACGGATCCCTTACCAAACAATTTACGGCGGAGTATTCCATGTAGGTGCAAAATGCTCGCGAGTCGCTCCTCATTAATGTTTCTCCTCCAGACGCGAGGAGGCTGAAGTACAGAGGAAGTTGCAGGACATGGGCGCGTGTGTTTCCAGTGCTCCTACTGTCTCGAACAAGGGTGACTCTGAGACGGTGGTAGCCAGTGCCATCGTCGAACATTCAGTCTCACACGACAAAGGTTATCCTGTGCCATGTGTTGAGGCTGTGGGAGCGCAACTATGCGATTGCGTGCACGCAGAGCGAGATCAAGACAAGTTTTCTTCCGTTACTGAAACGAGGAGTTATGGTGCACGGGAGTCTGTGTGTGTTGAAGTCTCAACACTTTCGAGACGAGATGCTTGTGAGACAAGTACAGTTACTGTCTTGCCTAGTGATTCTCCCCGTCTTGGCGACCAGTTGACGCACAATGCTGCATCCGATCGCGCATGTGAGAATCCGGTCTCCCTCAGCGCTTGCGAGACTCCAATCTCCCTCGGTCCATGCAAGAGCCCAACCCCCCTCGATCACGAATCCCTTACCAAACGAATTGCGGCAGATTATTCCATGTACGTGCAAAATTATCACAGTCGCTCCTCATTAACGTTCCTCCTCCAGACGAGAGGAGGCTAGAGTACAGAAGAAGTTGCAGGATATGGGTGTGTGTGTTTCAGGCTATCGCTGGATCAAGCAGTCGGAAGGTTATCGATGCTCAGCAGGTGGCCATTACGTTTCCAATGCCGAGCTGGGTATCTAGGTCGGATTCAATGGTACAACCAAGGACCTTGCCTGTTGATGCTGAGACAGGCATTGTCGTAATTTAGAGAAATGCACTAGAGAGCGAGATCAGTGGACATTTATGCGAAGGTTGCGCTGGAATAATGTATGCTTAGAAATGAAAGTCGCCAGTACAATGATGCCAGCGAATCAATTTTTTTTGTCCTAGTCCACATCGTAGACCGACAAATGTGCGACTCTGCAGGTATGATAGAAATATCAGTCAGGCATAAGTGATCACACTGGTGTACCTTTCCTTGTCACCAGCAACTTGATGATCTTTGCTCGAACTGGTGCGACGTAGAAAGAGAGCAGAGAAAAGACGATAGGTACTCGCTCGTAAGATTTGAAACTCGAGCCTTTGTTGCATACTGCACATTATTTGCAATAATTCACGTCTTGTAACGAGGTGATACTGATCAATAACATTTACCTTGTCAACAGCACAACGTACAACAACGATCAGATTCAAAACGCGAAATCATATGTATTCTATAGCAGACGACAGCTTACCTTCAAACCAATGAATCGTCACTCATCAATCATCACGCCCGAGAAGCCTTTCAGCTCGTCCCTGCGACAAATGCGGTAGGGAAGGCTCGTCTCAACGGGCACCGAGAAAGTGACTTCCAACGAGATAGTCGAGGGGTAATCAACGACTTCAGTACTGGCACTTGAGTCCGGTTGCGGAGCCAAGACATGCTACTTGAAATCAGGTACGTTGAAGTCGAATACTTGCATGTTGCCGGATAATACCGGCAAGACTACCCGATAGCCATGAACGTATCTAATGGACACTCATCAACATCTATCGCAACAGTCTTCCATTCCTCACCTTAGCCAGTGATATGAAACTTGATGATGGAGCATGCGGGCCTCGTGTGGGCTCCATTCCTCCCAAGGCACCTCGATGGCGCTTTTTCTCGTTGTTCGCGGTATTTCCGTATGCATTTGAGGAGTGCTGTTCTTAAAGCAGAGAAAGAATCTTGGCCTAGCGCTAGGGACCTCCGGGTCCACCTGGATATATTGCACAGATAGAACGTACATCCGCTCTACCCGGTTAGAGCAAAAGGCGCATCAGGAGGACACCATGGCACGAAGGGACCTGTATAAATCCTGCTGTGCGCGATATAGGTGCGGGACATTAGGGGAGGTAGGGATATGGGTGGTGTCGTGCTCGTTCTCTCCAAGCGTAAATACTTGGGTCGAACCCCCGTCGATCCCGCGCGTGACCATGCGTGCACGGCTCGAAATGAAGGAAATATGGCTGGACAAGTGATTGCCATCGCGATCCTGCAATTCAGTGTAGAATGTGAGGGACTAGGTGTTCATATGCGAGTGTTTACCACGAGCATTTGCACCGTCTTCGTGATGGGAGGGCCTTTACGACTACATCCTCCACGAGATCTGTATGAATGCACTCGCTTCGGGGTAGAGTCACCCTCCGAGTAGGCAATATCGCTGAGCTTGAGTCGGAGCCTGAATACCTAATTGTACCCTCCTAGGGGCCTTCGTCTCTCGCGTACAGTTGCGCGCACTATGTCGAACGATCTTGCCACGCTTACTGCAAGATTCGATAGACTTGAAGTAACCTTTTAAGGAGAGAAAATAGCTCTCGAGAAGAAATTTAAAAAGAAAATAATCAAAGTAAGTTCTTGGTAATGAATCAGGTTCTCTAAACCTTACTGACGCACGTCTGACCGCTATTAATAAGGCAGATCTCAAAATGCAGGTCAATGTCATGGAGGGGAAGGTATACGATCTCCTTGAGGAGGCCACCCAGCGTAAGGAGGTGGTTGACAACCTCAATGGGCACTTGCAGACAGTAAGCCACGTCATCACTCACATAGTCAATAATTTTGATAAATGTTCCCTCAGTACACCAAATTCGCTGCAAAAATTCTCCATCGCGCTTCGCTGGATGATGCACGCGTCAGAATCATTCAGTATTATGGCCTCTCGATTGAGCAGCTGCAACCTAGGAAGTCCTATTACCCACAAGAAGCATACCGCGATCGGCTTGATGCCATGGTAGACTTTGTACAGAGTATGCTGAGTGTTGACGACAAAAAGAAGATGCCGTGAGATAGTTTAGAACTTATTCTTGACGAGTACAGCTTCAGGATGGGACACAAGTCTACTACTCGAGGCCATAATTTTCTAGTATGTACTAGATGTACGGTATACCTCAATACCCTTCACATTCTGGAACATGCAATATTCCAAGATCCGCTATCGTGGGCCCTCTCTCATAAGGACGACTCTCGGCTTACTACATTCACGCATTACCTGCATTCCTCGCAGAATGTTGAGTGGTTCGCCAATTTGCCTCAACCATCTCTCACGGTAGTGAGGCACTTGAGCTGGGAAGCCCTGTTTCACCTCTCAGAACACAAGCAAGTCAAATCTAACCAACTGTCCTGCACTGTCTCAGACACGATTGGCATCTCTGCCGACTCGCACGATTTCAGCCCATAACCATCCATGACACGATGAAAGCAGCAGTCCGAGCATGCGTCTATGAGCCGTCAACGCTTCAATATATGTATGATCGGGTGACAGAAACAGTTCGACCGTGATCACGTACGTCTTGCAAGTTGCAGCTCGAGCATTTGCTGTGTGACGAGACTCGGTGACAGCACTCTCGTTAACAAGCATCTTTCACAGCCTGGCTAGCTAAGTCGAGTACTCCGCAAATGAAAAGGTATTCCAGGCGGTGCCTTCGCGAGGTCTGCGTGCACAGGATTCCGGGACGTGACGAATGCGATGGCTAGAATATATCGGAAGGTTCAGACAGGGAATTGTAGGTTTCTTAACCAAGTTACTTACCGCAATTCACTGACTGAACTTTCCGCAGATTAACACGCTTCGAGGACTGGTATCGCGTGCTCCTAGGCCTGTAAGTCACCACCAAACGAGGATTTTTTGACTTCGGCAATGAGCCGCGTAGCATATACTGCTCCTCGGGTCACTGGTTTTTCTAATCCCTCAAAGAGCAAACCCCTATGTTATATCGCCGGAGAGTGGATGCGATTCACTTTATCCGTACCATGTAAGATCCCCATCAAACCGCAAGGGACTAGTAAAATTTTCACTGCATACTATACAATCTCTGCAGTAATCTCCATCTGGTAACGAGATACTTATGAATAAGTCTTATCTTGTTAAAACACAATGTACAACAACGATCAAAACGCGAAAACATATAGATCCTTCATGTCACCATCAGCAAACGAAGGGCTCTAAACAACACAATCAACATCAGATTGCGTATTCTGTAACACAACGACAACTTACCCTCAAACCAATTAATCTCCGTTCATCAATCATGACGCCCGAGAAGCCTTTCAGCTCGTCCCTTTGACAAACGCGATAGGGCAGGCTCGTCTCGACAGGCCCCGGGAAAATGATGTCCGACGAGATGATGGAGGGGTAATCAACGATCTCAATACTGGCGCTCGAGTCTGGCTGCGGAGCCAAGACATGCCGCTTGGTTTTGGGTACGTTGAAGTCGAAGACTTGCATGTTGCCGGATAGTACCGGAAAGACTACTCGATGGCCATGAACATATCTAATAGACACTGATTAGCATCTATCGCAACAGGAAGGAATTTTTCAGCTCCTCCTCACCTTAACCACTGATACGGAACTTGATGATGGAGCATGCGGGTCTCGTGCGGGCCCCATTCCTCCCAAGGCACCTCGATGGGGCTTGTTTCTCTTTGTTCGCGGTATTTCCGTACATATTTGAGAGGAGTGCTGTTCTTGAAGAAGAGAAAGAATCTTGGCCTAGCGCTAGGGACCTCCGGGTCTACCTGGATATATTGCACGGATAGAACGTACATCCGCTCCTCCTGATTGGGCCAGAAAGGCGCGTCTGGAGAGCATTTTGCCACGAAGGGACCGGTATGAATTCCGCTGTGTACGATATGGGTGCGGGACTTCAAGGGAGGCAGCGCTAGACTCGCAACCTGGGTGACTTCGTGCTCGTCCTCGCCAAATGTGAATACTTGGATCGAGCCCCCATCTATCCCGCGCGTCACCATGTACGCACGGTTGGAAATAAAGGAAAAGTCGCTGATATGGCTAGGCAAGTGATCGCCGTCACGGTCCTGCAAAATAGATTCAGGCTGCGAACGACTAGATGTTCATAAGCAAGTGCTTACCACGAGCATTTGCGAAGTCTTCCAGTTCCAGATGATGATGCGAGGGCCTTCGAGCTCCATCCAAAACATCATCCCAACCACATCTTCTACGATCTGTACAAATGCATTGGTCATGGGGAACGCGGTGAGGGTGCGCAGAACATGAGATGCCGCTTCGGGGTGCTGGACGTTGGAGGAGATTGTGCGGATATATACCTCCAAGTAGCCAGAATCATTTGCGCTGCATTCGAAAATCGGTTATCTGTGCGATTCAAAGCAAAATACGATGGGGACGTACTGGTCGTCATCAGTTTTGACAAGAGCGATGAGGTCTTGTGATGGATCGATGGCGAAGTCTCTCGTTGAGATCCCTATGTCGGTCCGGACCAGCGTGCGACCAGGATCGGACGAGGATGGTAGCCAGGTGGAGATGAAGGTTCGAGAACCGGTATGGTTGTGAATGCCCCCAGAAGACGACGTCTTTGCGAATACGCCTCCTACGAGCTCGTATGCCTGGCAGAAACCAGGCATGGGTACGCGAACCTCTTTCTTCCACTCAAATAGAGTCCACGCACGACGAAGATTAAGCAGTTGTTCCAAACGCTCAGCAACTGTGACGGTGCTCGGAGGGCCATCGACCATACAATCGAGGCCAAGCTCGATATGATACTGGAGCTCTGTGGAGGAATCGATTATCCTGTTCAATTCGTGACAGACCTGAAAGGTAGTAGTTAAGTACAAGGTCACGAGCAGTGTAGAATGCGTACGGAGGAGCATCGCAATATAGACCGACAGTCTAGATGACGAAGGATTTCTACCAGTAACTCAGAAGGGAGAAGGATGAAAGTGGTAGGCGGTTCCTTCACGTCCGCGTTGATAACGGGCAGTCTGCCCACCATCGATATCTGCTCTGCACAAAGTTTCGGTGCGATCATAGTAATGTGAATATAAGTCCTGACTGCGGGTGTTGATGCAACTTTGATGTGGGACCTAATCAGTGATGCCGTATGGGAAATTGAAGGGATGCGGCAATTTCAATCGGAATCCGGATCACCTCGGCGTTCACGTTCAAGCTAAGCTTCAAGCTTAAGTCAAGACTCAAGTTCAAGTTCAAGGTTGGAACTCCATTGTTGGGCAGAGAGGGATACTTAATTATCGGAGCAGGAGCGCTGGAAGTCACGTTGCACTCAAAACATGGTCAAGGGAACCGGAATCCTGTACTACTCAACTATGGTCCATCCACCACACCTTGGGCACGTACATGTCCTTCTCAAGATACCCCCGTGCATCCATAAAATACTGGGGTGCTCAGTGATCGTGCAAACAGACGTCTAGACATGGTCATTTGTATATCATCATGCAGAGATGTGATAGTAGGTGCTAAGGGCTCTTAACGCTGTAACTCTACTGACGATATTTGGCTGTCTCATATCTTTCATTTACTCTCCCTGACCCTCCTCCGAGGCTGAAACATACCACTACCTTGGCGAATTTCTCAGTGCGGCACCTTCTAGCCAAGGACGACCCAATAATTTCAAGGACTTGCAACATAATTCAAAATCTTGTGTTTGCCACACCAAATATAGAACTGACAACTACGTGCAGCTCGGTGTTCATTCTTGCGTAGTTTTTGAGGTCAAGAACGAGATATGTAATGTTCGCTGCCGCAGAACTTTACTGCCAAACGATCTCTTCCTATTTCCACGCTACACGGTCTTCGGTCTCGCCAAAGAAGCTGATGAAGATGCATCTCATCATGATGGATCAGATGTACATTGATCGGCTTCTTTGGAAATTATACATAGTACGCACACCGAGTTATCTATGTTGACGACAACTTCAATAGGCGGTCATATCAGTCCAAGCTCGTCTTGCTATATGGTTATCAAAGAAATCCGTATCCGAAGCGAAAGAACAGGAGTCAGTCCTTTAGTTGTCTTCTTCGTGAGTTCGGTGTTCTAAAGGCTCGCCGGCTCTGGGGCAAAAGAATCTTACCTCGAGACAATACTTCATCCAACCTGTTAGACTTCCCCCTCGGTGGGTTATGAGTATCGACGTTGCCGATCGTGTTGGCATTCGAGCACCGATCTGGTTGTACGCGAACCATTTACTCCCATCGGAATAGGCTTGGGAAGGAGTTTCCTACGTAGCACTGGATGGACGAACGGTTGGGGTAGCGGCAAGCCCCCGATAAGACCTTTCGCGGGGTCGAAACCATTGTACCTTCCCCTCTCAGCCTCCCTCTCGCCTCAGCTGACAGGTCCCTATGCTAGGAGACGGACAACTGCAGTGAGGACGAAGGAGTGCGGTCAGCCCAGCGGCACTCACATGAACCCGGTAGCTGTGGCTTCGCTTTCCCAGCTTCTAGTAACGATTCAGTTGCAGTTTTGATCAACCGTCCGAACATCCAGGTGCTATGTATTACTTCTGTGTCCTATGTTCGCTTACCAAGGCCCCTTGTGCTCCAGTGCTCGTTGACAGCCCAGGGTTTGTGCTTCAAGGTGTTCACCCAGGAATTTTCCAGGATACTTGGAGCAAGACTAGCAGCACTCCCCTCGACAATGCAGTATTACAAAGCATCTTTGGACAACGAGATAACCTGAACTGATTCGATTTTCTCCAGAACTGGCAGAACCTCATGCCATATTTTTGATATATTGTTAAAACTACCCAACAATACCCCTTCACATCATATTGAACGTATCGTGCGATTCGTTCCATGACTGGTGAAAGCAAGATTAGCACTCGGACAAAGAAGGCAACGAGGAAGGACAGGCTCACCCAGGCACCGTTAGTTGAGCAATGCTCATTCGCAGACGAAGTCATCCCCTTCGTCTACCACCATACAGCACTTGTGACATTCACAGGGCGTATAGGATTCAATTTTGCCGTTAGTTCCACAGAAATACCCGAAATCGTTTTCGTTGTTATATCCTCTAATGCCTAATGAGCACCCCGCTTCATCTATGGATAGCGGTAAGCACATGGTCTGAGGTCTGCATGTAGGCCACGAGAGTACTCGCTAATGTTGTCGCAGGGTAGGTTCTTGGGGGTTATTGTGAGGTCCTCAGATGCGATGGCTACGCCAGCCATCAATGCAGCAGACGCGATCAGAGTGGTGAGCGACGCGAATTTCATGGCAAAAACTTGTTGGTGATTACTGTTGCCTTGCTGAGCCCAGACTGAAACCTAGTACATTAGCTTTTATATGCAGGTAGTGTAGGGGCCAGCCGGAAAATCTACTCGTAACTGGATGTTCGGTAGTGGGACAGATGCCAGCTCACGCTCTGTGGCACAACGCTCTTCAAGGTGTCAAGAGTGCAGTCATATACACTATCACCCAATTTTCGCATTCACATGATGTGGCAGACGTACTCTATGAGACCATTCAATTGATACGGTACGTAAACGGTGGTGACTTATACTAATTTTCACATTTGTAGTGATGTGGCAGACGCACTAGCCCCATTCAATTACATTTTGTTTCGCCCATTTGATTTCGTGCAAGCAATATACATCTCATTTGCGAGTGACAGCTGGTAGGAACGGAACAGAGATACAAGAAGTCGCAAGTATTTTATTCTAGGTCTACAATATTGCAAAGCGTGCTGAGATTGGGATGTGCCGACATGGCACGTATCGCAGAGGCGTGAATGCACTGGCAAATGGTGCACTGCGTCATTGATCATAACGGCTCGCAGTGGACTTTCCCCATTGAAAACGCGTACTAACCGACTTCTACACCACACCACGTGCATCCGAGACGTCGTAGACGTGCCATGACGTATGCACAGTCTTGCAGTTGAGATTTCGAGTATGTCGTTGTTGTGTCATCGCGCTTGCATCGTTGAGAGTCCGCGACACGAATTTAATGATTTATTCAACAGGTTCCAATATATTACTATCCCTTCCGGTGCAATCGGCACCCCACAGAAGTCGGCAGGTCACACATTTTGGCAGGAAAACGTGACACCTTTGTTACAATTGGTCACAGGCAGTCACACAAAACCCTGCGAAAAAGCGTGACTGCCGACTTCTGTGGGATGCCGATTGCACCGGAAGGGATAGTATCTTAGCATTTTATCAGCCGCTGGTTCCACACGCCAATATACGCTCATTTGCGAAAAAAATAAAATGAGCGAAATAAGATGTAATTGAGTGGGGCTACTCGGTGACCGATCCCAGTCATTGTGGTGCACGTGGCAATTAGAGAAGGGTAGAAATTTGGTGTGGCACCGCACGTCTGGACCCGAGACCTCAACAATCAAACGAATCGTGGGAGCATGGTCGAGGAATACAGCTTGTGACGAGATCTGAGAAGCCTGAGCGGTGCCTGTATGAGCGATGCCAGCGGTCGCAGTTATGAATTTACTATCTATGAGAGCAGGATCAGCAGCAGCCTGAGTCACCTGTGAAGATATTATTCCGCCGAGAGCATTTATGTTTTGAACATATGAAGGATACAATGACGGTTGCCTGACCTCACAACCATCTCTCTCGATCCAGAAGTCTGCTTGCTGGATTGGGTTATGTGTAGAGAAAGTTTTGCATGCCAGGATTGGTCCCCGTCACTTTCATGTAGGTCTGGACGGAAGAGCTAAAGACAACAACGGTGAGGGACACAGATAATATTCAATATGGAGCAGAACTGTTACACGGTATCGGTCCGGGACGCAGAGAAGTAAAGATCTCATATCAGCTCTTTGCCCGGCCCCGTGTAAGCTGAACGCTTACCTTATCGCATATCATGTGACCCTTCCCCTTATATTCCGCCGTTTTCAGACCAGACTCGGGCGCTTCCCACCTATCATCACATACTCATTCATATAACGCTCAAGAAATCGTCCTGTTACTTTCGCCCGATTCGTTTAGTGTTCCTTGTCGTTGTTCACTTAGTCGACAGCCCAGATGCTTCCGCAGTATAATGACCTTGACACTGTACTTTCTGACGAGTTCCTCATCCCATCAAATAGAGATATAGGGGCTAAAATTGTTCCAGAAGAAAATGGTGGAGAACTTCGTTACGTAACTACACAGATTGCTGAAGCTTCGAACTACTATCTAGCTGACCAGAGATGCACTTATCTTTGCGGAAATTCTCTTGGTCCTTTAACCACACGGTCCAAGGCTCTCCTGCAGGAGGAGCTACATGTTTGGGGGACACGGTGCGTATCGTGCCGAGGCAACGGTCCCTTATCATGATGGCCGTTTGTTTGCTGACATCTCTTGCGTACAAAATACCATTACAGAGCCGTCGAAGGACACTTTGTGCACCCTTATGGCCGCGAGTGGATAAATATTGCCGATACGGTCACCCCATTACTCGCTGAATTGGTGGGTAAGTTACTATCAACTGTCACTCTTTGTAGAGGATCGGGAAGTTCTGATACGGTGCCTGATCTAGGTGCCTCGGAGAAGGAGGTGGCTTGCATGGGCACTCTGACTGCGAACCTGCATCTGATGATGGCCGCATTTTACAAACCTACTACTCAACGTTTCAAGATTCTATGTGAAGGCAGAGCTTTCCCCTCGGACCAGGTTGATGGATAACAGTTTTCATCCTCCTCTGTTTCTTACACGCGACATAGTACGCATTTGCTTCCCAGGCTCGTCTGCACGGGTATGACCCGAACGAAGCGATCATCGAAATGTGCCCTCGGGAAGGCGAGTTTACACTACGCGAGTCCGACATACTGGACTTTATCGCCAAAGAAGGTCCCTCGATTTCTCTTGTGATTTTCAGTGGCGTGCAGTATTACACTGGTCAATGGTTTCCCATGAAGGCTATCACCACTGCAGCCAAGGCACAGGTAAATATTGTCCAGCCGCTCTCTTCTTAGATTATTACGTACATTTTCATAACCCGCCATGACGTGAAAAGACAGGCGATGATCCGCTACATTCAATTACCCCGCACATTACTTCTTCTCTTTGTCTGTTAAACATGCGTTGACCACCTCCATTCGTTCTTCTAAGGGGTGTATTTGCGGCTGGGACATCGCTCATGCTATCGGAAATGTTCCCATGGCGCTTCACGACTGGGGTGCCGATTTTGCTGTATGGTGCTCATACAAATATCTCAACTCAGGCCCCGGCGGAATTGGCGGGCTTTTTGTGCACAAAAAATGGGAAAGCAGCCTATTTCCCCAGTGCGTAATTCTTTTGCCAATGCGTTGCATTCACCACTTCTTTCGGGGATTCTAAACGGCGTTACTACTAGGTATGCAGGGTGGTGGGGGCACGATCCAGCCACCAGATTTGCCATGCCTCCTCGGTTTTCAGCTATCCCTGGCGCACAAGGATTCCAACAATCCAATGCCTCGGTCCTTGCAACTGTGTCGCTTTTAGGTTCTTTGCAAATCTTCAAGGAAGTCGGCATGATGACTCCCCTACGCAAGCGATCGCTTCAGTTGACTTCCGAGCTGGAGGCGAGACTCGTTAAGTCAAGGTTTTATGTCCCCATAAACGAGGTTTCGGCACGATGCCAAATATCACAGGATGGAACGAACAGCAAGGATGACACTGCACAACAGGACAAACCCGGATTCACCATCATCACACCCCGTGATCCCGAGTCCCGAGGTTCACAGTTATCGCTTCTATTTCTGCCACCCAATTCAGACGTGGCGAACAAGGTTTTTAATGCATTGTCTGCAACGGGCGTTGTCGGAGACGAGAGAAAACCCGACGTGATTCGCTTAACACCCGCACCGCTGTACAACACATTAGGTGACTACGAGAGAGCTGCCTCGTGCCTTGAAGACGCATTCGAAGGTTTGACGAAAGTAACATATTGTAAGAACAGCGGTTTAGATACAATATCGTTCCACAAGTACCAAATCAAGTAAGTAGAGGAATTTTATCTAGAATGTATTGTCCGACAAGTTGCACAAATTCTCCGCCTGTTAGTACAGCATTATGCTCTTCCTTGAGTTCACCAAAGTTCCTCGTGGCATGAGGAATATTGTGAAGTAAATGCTGATACATTGCTTCGCTCTGAGCTTCATCAATTAAAGTATCACCTTTGGAATGCACGATTAACCAATGCAAGTGGTGGTATGCCACCCTCGGGATCATCTTCGTGACTGAAGCTTCCTCGTAAGTACTCCGCCGACCAAATGCGGCCTCGATGAACCAAGCCCTGTAAGCAGGGAAACTCGAGAGAAGGAGATCGATGTCATATATCCCCTCTGATGTGATTATGGCCTTTGTACTTTCGAGAAGCTTGGCTGGTGGGCACAAAGGGTCCTCGCCTCGTTTAGCCTCGAGGAAGATTGATGACAATATATGAGCACCACAGCTATGTCCCATCAAACATAATCTGTTTGGGTCATAGACGCTGATGTCATGCGGGCCTCCCCAGGTGATAACAAATTCAAGAAAGCGAAGAACATCCTTCACGTGATCGGGATGGTGGATTGCATTGGCTTCTGTCGTTTCCCGAGGGGACAGGCGGTAATTTGTGACCGCCACTGCGTATCCAGTGAAACTCGCGAGTCTACGAGCCAATCCGGCATGATCGAGCTTATCTTCGCTGAAGGGGAGGATGAGGCATGGTAAGGAATGAGATCCTCCGTGGAGAGGCAACCCACCTTCTCCATGCACCTCCATGTATGAAACAAACTAGAGGGGATATGGTGTGTGGACCACGAGGTTGTTCATCCGAGGTATTCCGTGGCTCGTATTGTTTCGGAATATAGATGTCGAAGTTATGGAAATTGTTGCACGGTTCAGACGGGATGTAAGATATGTTTGTATATTCCTCCAGAAGTTCCATTACAACTGAGAACTACGCGATATTAATGAGTGTGATGCATACTAACCGAATAAACTCACTCAGTTACTTACGGCGTAACGTTTGGCGTGAGGTGGATGGCTGGGGTGGACGTCCGGGAAATGGTTACTCTAGTGGAGCCATTTCTAGAAGTCGGGGCTGCTCGTCGAGTGCTTATCGAGCGGAGCCTGTATGTAGCCGAGCGCTTAGCGTCGCCTAAGTACCTCCACCAATGAGAGCGCACGCTTATGGCTGAAGAAAGCTTCAAATGCGAACGTAAACTAGGCCGTCTCTCAGATGCTTGGTCCAGTCTTAGTAAAGTCTAGGGACTCGATAACGGGGCGGGCAGGCTGACTAAGCGTGTGCTCCAGAGCACAGCGGCTGTGCGGTGACCCCTCGCTCGTCGTGGTTAGTGACATGAGCCTAGCCTGGAATAGATACCCGAGCATTATATTACCTGTTCCACAAGCGGACGATGTGTGTGACAGTGTGTTGTCATTGTGACTCGGTATCGAGCGGTCATTTTCTCCCTCCATTCTGTCTCAGAGCAATGCAAAACAAGATATTTGCTATATGTATCTATCCACTTCTTTCACACCTAGATGCTCTCGAGGGCATCGAAGCTAGCAGTTCTGCTGGATCCAAGTCCTGCCCTATAACTCGCGTCGACTTTCCGACTCGCAGAGTCATGGCCTTCAAAGATCTAAGTACTCCCACAAGTACCATCTCTGGATCTTGGGCTTTCGCAATTCGCAGCAGCTCAGTGCAGACCAAAAATGTATCCGTAAACAGTGCTGTGACGGGAGGGGTCATGGTGTCATCGAAGACCTCCATATTCAAGCTTACAACGAGACTACCAAACTTGTAAGTACTTCAGTCGTATGCTATGTATGCAAGCACTTGTTTGAGAATTCCTCTATTCCAATATCTCCATTGCTCGAGCGGCAGTGAATTTGTTCAGAAGCAAGTACGTCGATCAACTCAGGAACAGACCACTAGCTATGTAAGTCACGTCGTGCCATCAACCATACTGCACCGATGCGAAAGCAGAAACACGACTCACTGTAGTTCACCGTCACGACATGCCACCTACTCTTTCACACATGCCCAGAAGAACTACCACGCCGGTGAGTCATGTGGTTAAATCCAGGACAAAAACACACTGTAATAGTACCGCCTTCACTCGGAGGTAAGCGTATCTCCCCACATTTATGCCCAGGGCAGCATTTTGAATTGTGCGACTGGCAATGTTTGGACAATCATTACTGCGGCTGTCAACGGGACTGGCAGATATTGATGCTGCCAAAGCAGTAACAACGGCGAGGGCGAAGGAGAAATGCATTATTTGTGGGGATGTTATATGGGGTCAAACAAATCTGAAGGGAACGGCAGGAAGACGTCTTGCTTTTATGTGCTGGAAATATAATCGACCCTTGCTCATATGTTCCTAAGATCTTGAGCTCTGAGTTCACGCACGATTATACGGACAGTCCGACCGTAACTTAGTGCGTCAAGAGTGGGCCAGGTGCTGCAACGTGCCTGTGACGCGGCACTGCTATGCCCAGATTATACATACCTTCGAATTATGTATACCAACCTTCAAATGTCATGTCATGTCGCTCGAACACTTTTAATTTTGATTGTTCATGTGCATGAATGTCCATCTGCGTCCCACTCCACTCGACTAATAATGACCGTTGGAATGTCATGCAATACTTCAAGTCCAGATAGAATCGTAGCACTACATAGTCTCGGTTCCAGAGGGCGGGCTATTTTGACGCGCCCGTGACATAGTCTCCCCCAGCCAGACAGTCGTTCCTTCGTATTAACCCGTGACGCAACTGCGACGCAAGTAACAACACACATGTCCCATCCATGGTTCAAAAGCCAAAAAAAAACAAGCGATTCCGTTTGCCATACGACGTAGGCGCACCATACCGTAAAGTTATCTTGACTTCGAAGCAGACTGAGTATAGCGGCACGGACTTTCTCTTTCAAGTCATTCACACCTCGTATATCGAAGAGATGAGCTGGGCGAAATGAACTGCAAATTGGGTGGGGGCCGTGGGGCTAATGTAGTATGATCAGGGTGTGATGCAGGCAGCGGTACTGACATCAGTTACATGAAGCTCAGCGACGTGGCATGCGTGAAGCAGCTGAAGCCTGATGATCGTGACGCGGCACTAAGCAACAGTGACGTGGCACAGAAAAACATGGACGTGGCGTAGCACATACGTGCTACTACTATCCACGGAGTTTGTGTATACGCCTTTTCTTACCACAGTAAGGACTTGGTTCTGATGGGAAATGTGGCGTTCTCTAGGCACGTGGCCGTCAAGACTGGCATGCAGCTGCGAAGACAAAGCTGCCACTCCCAACAACCCAATAGTCATTGCACTTACAGCTGACAGTCCCAGTTAGTCTACATTAATCCCACTACATTCCTAGTCATTGCCTTGTGGCTTTAAATTACGAGGCCTCACCAGTCACCTTTGGTAATATGTAAGTATGTACATTCATCGTGTCTCTGAAAACATGATGCACAAGACGCGGCACAATTATCACTCTGTTAGTACCTTCACGAGTATGACAGAAGGTAAATATTGTTTGCTCCTATACAGCGACAACAAATGCACGCGACCAGAACAAATCACTGCAAAATAAACACTACTTACCTAGAATACCAACTCAAGACAATATTCAGGACGATCTCGGTGTGATGCGGGCAGTGGTACTGACGCGACATACTGTCAAGCTTGACACGGCCGTGACGCGGTGCTGAAAAACATTGACGCGGCACAGACGAACCATGACGGCAGCATGGGTGAGGCTTGATCCCGAACTGACACGGTCCAAATAACACTTCATGCAGCATCTGAACACTAGCATTAGACAAGACCACATTAGAGATAGCACAGGAGGCGTACTACTACACCTTGACACTTGTATGAACGTAGAGTCCGTGCGGCGTGCCTTCAACAAGCGCTGTAAATGTAATGAGAAGTGCATTTCAGTACTCGAGCTCTATGGTATGGGTCTGTACGCAGATGGCGATAATGAAAATTAAAGTGTCGAGCACATAACGTGTGTGGTAGTGCCGCAACGAGGTTCAAAGAAATGAATATTGTTGTCCCATGCTGTAGATCTGTTGGACGATGGAACTCGGACAGCTGATTGCCAGGATCGCTTCCAATCGAGTTCAACGGACAGTATATATGTGGGGGCACGGAAGGACTCGGCGGTGATGACCTGTAGATAGAGCGTGAATAAACAGCAGGATCATATACTAAGTGGCCCACCTTTGGATCTGACAGATTGGTCCTTCAAACGCGCAAGGGGACACGATGAAGCAAACAATGACAAGCGGAACAAATTGACGGTGTATGGAGTGGGCTTTGACGTGGTAGGGTGAATTCCTCCATGCCCTCCCACTCCCACCACCGTCTTTGTAGATTCAGGGCATAGCTTCCCTGAAATATCGGAACGGACGGAATTCATCACTTTTCTCCTTTTCACTGGTGCGGAAACGCGTGAATAGGAAGGCAGATGGTAGGAAATTGCTGGTGAAGGGCATGTTTCAGGTGTAGAAGGTATCAAAAACTGAAGGGAACTTGTCCGACAGTTGATGCGAGCACTACTGGTGAGTGGTGTGGTGTTAATGTTGGTCATGATGAGACACAGGCAGCTCACAGACCCAACAATATTTGTCTTCAGATGCGATGCGACGGTAATTTGCAATTTAATATGGATTCTTGCATGAGTGGTACTGAATGTCCTCTACTTGATTCACCCGATACGCAATTTTCATAGAAGACCTTTCTGAATACGGTACCTACACTTCAATTACCCGTACATCCATTTAGCAGACAACATCCTTCTTTTGTCCCTTGAAGTCAGCGACCAACGATAGGAAATCAACACGGAGATTCGGACACACTACCGTTGTTGAGAGAAGTGACCGTCAAAACTCGTTCGTCAAAGGCCATACTGACTATCTATGTCTACAAACAAAACATGTAATTATTTGTACGTCAAACATCTGCGTGTCTTCGATAACAAGACTCCCATGACAACCCGTGAGCCATATGGCTGAGATCCAATGGAGTGGCATCTGGCACTGGGATGATCCACCGCAACCTCGGATCGTCCCAGCGGTGATTATAAGTTGGCGGGACCCAAAACAGAAGCCTCTCTTTCGGTCCAATCACAGTCCATCTGTCATCTTCCCGAATCCTCACCGGGAGTGCCGACTCGTTTTGCGCCGGGTCAGTGATGTCGTCGATAAGTGCAGTTGTATCAACGAGGTGTTGTCCCGGATGAATGGAAAAACGTATGAAGCGTTGCAGGTCATGTTCTCGAATGGCTAGTGCATCGAATGGGTAGATTGTGCGGTCTTGAGATCTAGACACAATGTCCGTTCCGTCTGAGCGAACTGCAACAGAGCCAACACTATCCAGATATCCCTCTAATGGTGCCCGCTGCGTCTCGCCAGTCGCGACATCCCATAACTGGATGGCTCCCTCCCATGACCCAGACACAACACGCTGGCCATCCGGTGAGAATGCGACAGATTGGAAAGAATGACCTTGTGCCCCGAGAAGTGGCCAGAGCGGCTCGCCAGTCCCGGCATCCCACAACCTAATGGTATTGTCACCTGACCCTGACACGATGTGCTTTCCATCTCGTGAGAATGCAACAGAATAGACCCCACCCATATGTCCCTCGAGAGGTGGCCGCAGGAGCTCGCCAGTCTCGGTGTTCCACAACCGAATGGTATGATCCCATGACCCTGACACGATGCGCTTGCCATCCGGCGAGAATGCAACAGAACTAACATCATTTTCGTGTCCCTCGAGAGGTGGCTGCAGTGCCTCGCCAGTCCGGGCATCCCATAATTGGATGGTCTTGTCCATTGACCCTGATACGATGCGCTTGCTATCAGGTGAAAATGCAACACAGGTGACGGACTCCGTATGTCCTGTGAGAGGTGACTGCAGTAACTTGCCAGTCTCGGCATCCCACAACCGAATGGTCCCGTCTCTCTCCATGAACCTGCCATCCCCCGACGCAATGCACTTGCCATCCGGCGAAAACGCAACAGACTTGACCCCATACTCATGTCCCTCGAGAGGTGGCTGCAGGGGCTCGCCAGTCTCGGCATCCCACAACCGAACGGTCTTGTCTTCTGACCCCGACACAATGCGCTTGCTATCCGGCGAGAATGCAACAGAGTTGACACGGCCCTTGTGTCCCATGAGAGGTGGCCGTAGGAGTTCGCCAGTCTTGGCGTCCTGCAACTGGATAGTTCCATCAGATGACCCTGACGCGATGCACTTGCCATCTGGTGAGAATGCGACAGACATAATGTGATGTGTATCTTCCTGGAGAGGTAGAGGTAGCTGTGGTAGCTCACTAGTTTCAACATCCCATAACCGAATGGTGCCGTCCCATGACCCTGACATAATGCGCTTTCCATCCGGGGAGAATGCAACAGAGTTGACATCAACGATGTGTCCCTCAAGAGGTGGCCGCAAAGGCTCGCCAGTCTCGGCGGCCCATAACCGAATGGTCTTATCTCTTGACCCCGATACGATGCACTTGCCATCCAGCGAGAATGCAACACACTTGACCCTCTCCTCATGTCCCTCGAGAGGTGACCGCACGGGCTCACCAGTCTCGGCATCCCACAACCGAATGGTGCGGTCGTCTGACCCCGACACGATGTGCTTTCCATCTGAAGAGAATGCGACAGAGTTGACGCTATCCTCGTGTCCATTGAGAGGTGGCCGCAGCGACTCGCCAGTCTCAGCGTCCCACAACCGAATGGTCTTGTCCTTTGACCCCGATGCGATGCGCTTGCAATCCGGCGAGAATGCAACAGACTGCACCCAGTGCTCGTGTCCCTTGAGAGGTGGCCGCAGCGCCTCACCAGTCTCGGCATCCCACAACCGAATAGTCTTGTCATATGATCCCGACACGATGCGCTTGCCATCTAGAGAGAATGCGACAGAGCTGACCGCACCATGATGTCCCTTGAGAGGTGGCCGCAGCGACTCGCCAGTCTCGGCATCCCATAAGCGAATGGTCCTGTCATATGACCCCGATACGATGCACTTGCCATCTGGCGAGAATGCAATAGAGTTGACATCATTCTCATGTCCCTCGAGAAGTTGCCAAAGGCGCTCGCCAGTTTCTGCATCCCAAAACTCGATGGTACCATTGTATGACCCCGACACGATGCGCTTGCCATCTGGAGAGAATGTAGCACAGAAGACAACACCATCTGGACGTAGCACGTGCTGAATCGCTGGCCAGGACGCATTGTGGCCAGAAGCAATTCGCAACACCGAAGGAAATGTGTTTGCAAACTTTGTGAAAATACGCGACTCCTTTGGTGAAAACGGTAGGGCAGACAGGTATAAATGGGGGGTGCTGAAGGAGATGGGAAAGCCGAAGTTGCGAATGAATTTCTGGGCATCCGTGGCGTCGTCCGCGATATCTTGGTAGCCTGTGTGCTGGGGGTCCACGTCAGAACATCCAGCATAGAAAGTAAGGGCTGTTGCACGTACCTTGACCCACTGGATAACGGACAACAGTGAGCCAGCCGAAGTATTGGTCATCTTCAGCAGACTCAGCACTTCAAACCAGAACAGTAATCGTTCGTGGTTGAAGAATGCTCGAACTGCGTCTGCGAGAGGCAGATTGAATGGTGCCTTTCGCAAGTGATCCGTCCAGAATCGACAGGAATAGAAAAGCTCGGGGGAGATTCGCTGTTTGACTCGTTCATCAAGATCGGAGATTTCGGAATTAGGGAGATAAGAACTGGGCAGTCGGCATATGTTGAATCGTAGGTTGTGCTCCATGACTCCAAGCGAAGCAAATGCAATATTGTTGTTAGCAAGAGATGAGTTGACGAAGAACTCGCCACTCCGCTCTTTATCTGTGAGAAATTCGGAAAAGGATGCATGAAGCGGACGGACGACGGTAGAAGGATCAATGGTACCGCTCAGCAAAGCACCCATGGGCTTCACAATTGCAGTAACGATGGCTGGGTCACACTCGTCGTGGAAATGACCTCTCATTGAGCGTAATGAAACGAGAGGGAGAGGCTCCAGAGTTCCTAGTACCTGCGCCATCACGGAACAAAACCGAGTGAGACGCTTCTCCCGCTGTTGCAGGCTCTGGGGAAACATCGATTTCAGCGTGAACTTGTACATCTGGTCGAGGAGTGGGACATGTTCGCCACTCTTATGGCTGATGATGGCTTCGAAACGTTCGCGCGGAGTTAGCCCAGGGTCGTTCTCCCCCTTGATATATGCACATGCTAGACGCGCCCACTCAAACAGTCCCCCAGATTCGACCGCGAGAGAGGACAAGGTGTCGTCGCTGTGAACGCCATCCACGCCTGAGAGTTCATTGGTGACATACTCCAGAATGTCGCGTTCGGTCAACGTGGATGAAATGCTATCCATAGACTTTTGTCGCACGTGTTTGACTCCACCCAACGCATTGTGGATGTCTGGTAGAGGTCGCGATGTGAGAAGGATGCGGAAATTATGAGGAAGATTGGTTATGCAGCTTTCTTCATCGAGTTTGCCAGCGAGGATTCGGAGAAGATGCTGTCGTGTATCGTCGTCGCCGCTCTCGTCCAATGCCTCGATGGCGATCAAAGTAGGTCCCACCATCGCCCCCGAAAGCTTTGACGCAGGTTTCATGATCAACTCTTTCCACTGCTGTACGATGTCAGGCGTAGTCGTGAGTGAATTGTCGTGATGGACAATGTCTGCTATTGCGTGTCGCATTTGCTTGTCGCGATCAGCGAGACCTCGTGCGATTGTTGTGAAAACCTTTTCATGGCGTCGTTGCACTGCTTGAGTACGGTCGAAGCAAAAACAGGACCCGAGGCGTCCAAGCTCTCTGAAACGATCTGCGATCGTATGCGCGATGGCGGATTTCCCAGTCCCAGCATTTCCATGGAGCCAGAATACGCGGGGAGCATCATCCACAGTGTCGTTGATCCAAGTGGTGATCTCATCCAGGATGTCCTCTCGCGTCCCTGGTAAACACTTCTTTCTAGTGTCCAATCCTGCTCCTTTTGCACCCTTCATCTCGCTCAGGTCCACGCTCTCACCTGGAGCACGGATGTCAAAAAATGAAGATTCGACTGCATCAAGCACTTACTCAACTGCTGGACGCCTTCCAACATCCGGTGCACGACCACCACCGTATCTCGTACTGCCCTATCCCGAAACTGTTTCATGAGGTCATCAAACACGGCGTTGTATCTTGTCACCGTGTCATCGGTTTCCGATACGACGTTTCTGCCGAGCCTGGACCCTGCAAAAACAGCTAGCGTGAGCTCACTGACGACCAAATGTAGTTTGTCGGCTCACAGAAATTCTTGCTCTTGGAGTAATCACGGAGGAAATAGGAACACTCGAGGGTCTGCTGACATATTCGCACGACGACACTTTTCATTGATATGATAGCCGCCAGATCGTTCTCTGTGAGAAATATGTAGACTTCATCCATTTTTGAAAGGAGCTGGCTGATAGAGTCATCGCGAGTTGTCTGAGAGATGATTGTCTGTCAGAAATATATGTTGGTCAGGCATGCGGTCGGAAATATTGGGTACACTGTAGCTGGATACCTTAGAAACAACCGACAAAACACCCCACGCTGCCTTGGCATATGGATGGATCTGTGCTGCAACGTTAATAACCACATCGCTGCGTGACAAAAATTCCATACCTCCGTTATCGTATCAACAAGGGAATTGAACTTGGAAATCGTCCCGAGCAACGGGGTGACGAAGTTGTCGACCACAGCAACCGGGTCTCCTGCGTTATTGATGCCCGACACCACAGCTTGCACGGGCCCAAAAACAGGTTTTAACTCAGAGACAGCCTCTCGAGCTTCTAGGCGAGCTGCATCTACCGCTTCCGAGTCAGGCTTGCTAGTCGCATGGGTTGCGAAATCCTGGTCATAGCATATTCTGTATTATGAACAGGCTAAAGAAACTCGTATCACGCACATCTGATTCGGCGCCACGGGCTGTCTGACCTTGATCCGGGTTTGAGCTATCTGCGTCGCGAAGCTTGGCGGGCTGTCCTTGCAAAAGTTGATCTGAGGTGGAAACCTGCACCAGGATCATTGCATAAGTACGAGGCATTCCGCAAGACCGCTCACTCACGTTTCGATCGCCGTGAGAGGGGGAAGGGTCTGTCAAAGATACATCAGCATGGGCAGAGGTCATGCTTGGAAGCTTGTCGGTTCCCTCTTCGGGTGCCATGAGCTGTGCAGAGTCCTGTATCAGGGGTTAGGATAGTTGCGATAAGCATTAACTGATCGCTACACACTTCTCTTGCACGATGTGCATCTATCGAGGCAGAATTATGCTGGGATGGATTAGGGCTCGGGGTGCGTCCAGCACTTGGAGTGAAAAAATCCTTGGTCTTCGCAACCCATCCTCGACTGGATTGACCAAGTGGTGTAGGATCAGTCTCAGACGGCTGCAAGGGACATCAAATACGTGGACGAAGGAATGGAAAAAGAGCATACCAGATGAGGATCTGAACGAGTTTTCTTGAGGAAGGGGAAACGCTTCTTGCGGCGGGTGCCATCTCGGGCCATCATTGATCCGTGGCCTTACAGGGGAGTGCAGGATTTACCTGTAGATCGTATACAATCCTGACTAAAGGTATTTACGAGCTGG